TCTCTCTCTCTCTATCTCTGTCTCTCTCTCTCTCTCTCTCTCTCTCTCTCTCTCTGTTCTCTCTCTCTCTCTCTCTCCTCTCCTCTCTCTCTCTCTCTCTCTCTCTCTCTCTCTCTCTCTCTCTCTCCTCTCTCTCTCTCTCTCGGTCTCTCTCTCTCTCTCTCTCTCTCTCTCTCTCTCTCTCTCTCTCTCTCTCTCTCTCTCTCTCTCTCTCTCTCTCTCTCTCTCTCTCTCTCTCTCTCTCTCTCTCTCTCTCTCTCTCTCTCTCTGTCTCTCTCTCTCTCTCTCTCTCTCTCTCTCTCTCTCTCTCTCTCTCTCTCTCTCTCTCTCTCTCTCTCTCTCTGTCTCTCTCTCTCTCTCTCTCTCTCTCTCTGTCTCTCTCTCTCTCTCTCTCTCTCTCTCTCTCTCTCTCTCTCTCTCTCTCTCTCTCTCTCTCTCTCTCTCTCTCTCTCTCTCTCTCTCTCTCCTCTCTCTCCTCTCTCTCTCTCTCTCTCTCCTCTCTCCCTCTCTCCCTCTCTCCCTCTCTCTCTCCCTCTCTCCCTCTCTCTCTCCCTCTCTCTCTCCCTCTCTCCCTCTCTCCCTCTCTCCCTCTCTGTCTCCCTCCCTCCCTCCCTCCCCCCGTTTCCCATAGTTGCCTTCCGTTTATAGTGTAGACACCTTGTGGTCTTCTTTCAGCCTTCTCCATCTTCATTACCTTGCACTTATTGCGACTGAACTCTACAATCATTTTTGTTTGCCCACTTCTACAGTTTGTCAAGGTCTTCCTGTAACATTTTGCAGTCCTCTGTTTTTACACTCTTCGTTATCTTTACGTTATCAGGTGTAAGGACTCGTGCCCAAACATCTCGTCCTTTGGACATTTCGCATTTACCTGCTGTAAGAAAATATATTCCAGATGGGAGGAGATGAAGGAGACGACTCGAATATATAGATATAGGCCTACTTTATGAGCCGGCTTTCAAATTTGCGACAAAAAAATTACACGTGTTGAAAATAAGGCAATTTTATAATTTAGTAACATGTCCAAATACCGTAGACGCCTCGTTCGGCAAGAACGTCCATTGGACGGCAAGACGAACTTCCCTTGTTCTAAAAACCTGATATTTTATAGACTGCCTTGTTGTAAGTCCCGGACACCTTATAATGTCCGGTCTAATATGCCACATGTCCGTTCTGACTAATATAGGCTATCCACACATAGGCTAATTGATAGCCCATTCTTATAGGGCCATAAATTAAACTGACGCCTGTTGTGATGCGAGGAGACACTTAGGGAATGAAATAAGGCCCTCGTTGGCTCATCGTGAAGCTGTACACAGAGAGTAACAGCCTCACAATGGTCCTGCCACATGTCTTGTTCTTTAGGCTTTGACAACCAACATAATCAGGGCAAATGGGGCGACCTTCGACAAGCCGCCGGCTTCCTGCTTTCGTCGAGGCCAACATGTGTTAGTGGCTCTCAGGTAAATAAGCCATATACACTTCCCCGCCGCCTCAGTAACGCTGACGTGAGTTGAAACTTAGTGGGTCAGGCAGACGCTTCGCACCCCCGCAGGAATATTCAAATTCAAATTCAAATATTTATTCAGGTAAAAGTACATACATTGAGGAGGAGTTACAAGTTGGATTTATAGATAGAGCTAGTACATACAATACCTAAAGCCACTAATACGCATAGTGTTTCCGGCAATATCCCTGGAATACAATGTTTATCCGTTGCAACAAGGCGCAAACAGACTGATTGCTTTATCCTGAGTCATTATTATAACGAACAGATGTACACACACACACACACACACACACACACACACACACACACACACACACCGAAAATCCTAGAAAAATTATGACAGATACATAAAACAATTTGAGGCTTGAGGAGAACCGATAACAACGGCGCGGGGGCAGACGCCTCACGGAACCAGCTTCCAGAGGCACTCACACAAACCGGTTAACGGCAGCAGCGCCTGTAAGGATGACCAAGCCTAAGAAGTGCCTCCATAAGCCCCTATGAGACTGTTCTGGAATATGCCCCGCCTGCATAGACACCGCACCACCAGCCACACACACAACCCTTAAACCTGAAAATAAAAGAACTGACTTTTCGCCTCCGCCCTGGACCATTATCAAGTCGTTGTCAACCTGAGAACGTCTACACCACAGATTTCCAACATTTTTCAGCTCGCAACACACTGAGCAAGGCGCTAAAAACGTTTAGGAACATTTCAACATTTTCCCAGGTTTATATATATATATATATATATATATATATATATATATATATATATATATATATATATATATTTATTATATATATATATATTATATATATATATATATATATATATATATATATATATATATATATATATATATATATATATATATATATATATATATATATATATAATATATTTATATATATATTATATGACCGAAAGGGTAAGATTAATGATTCTAACACGAATCTTTTTAATATTTCTTATGTCTTTCTTCACTGTCGGGGGTAGCTGAAAAATTAACTCTCCAAAGTTCATTTTCATACTTTATTTATGGTCTGACGCCTAGAAGCGTTTCGCAAGAACAAACACTTCTTACATTTTCAAAGACAATTTTACATACTCAGATCGTGCTTATATTCGTTTTTGAGTGAGGTGATAGGATACAATATGTTTTTGGGTGAGGTGACAAGACACACATCAATGAGAAAAGACAGAACATGACACAAACAATGGGTATATATAACAATGGGTATATATAATAATGGGTATATATAACAATGGGTATATATAATAATGGGTATACATTTATCTTCTTGCTTCTGTGCTAGTTTGGGGTCTTGAAGTGGGTAGAATGTAATTATGTGTTAATTGGCTGTTGATTGCTGGTTTGACTTTGATGTGTAGGGCCTCGCTGATGTCGAGTCTCTTGTTATCGTTGTATCTGTCGATAATTTCTGTGTTGCTTGTTAAGATTTCTCTGGTAGACTGGTTGTGTGAGACCATCACCAGAGAAATCTTAATCACCTCACCCAAAAACATTTGTATCCTATCACCTCACCCAATAACGAAAATAAGCACGATCCGAATATGTAAAATTGTCTGAAAATGTAAGAAGTGTTCTTGCGAAACGCTTCTAGGCGTCAGACTGTAAATAAAGTATGAAAATGAACTTTTGGAGAGTTAATTTTTCAACTACCCCCAACAGTGAAGAAAAACATAAGAAATATTGAGAAGATTTATGTTAGAATATATAATTATATATATATATATATATATATATATATATATATATATATATATATATATATATATATATATATATATATATATATAATTAATATATATATATATATCACCGTACAAAAGAAAATTATTATAATGCTTATTTAATTGAAACGTAATTTGTGGGCGGAGCCAAATGAGTGAAGGCTTTGTGACGTCACAGCTGGGCTGCCTTCAACATATAATATTAATTACCGCCCCGGGCTATCATAGAGTGCCTGCGCCTCACACCGCCCTACCAAAATGATTATATTCATTATAAGTGAATTTCCGTACATATTTGAAGTTATATCGCGTGATTGAATATACTTTTTTAGCATTGATATACCTGTATTTATATTGTACAATACAGGAGAGCGTAGGCTGGCTGGCGTAGACATAGGAGACCGTAGGCTGGCTGGCGTAGACATAGGAGAGCGTAGGCTGGCTGGCGTAGACATAGGAGAGCGTAGGCTGGCTGGCGTAGACATAGGAGAGCATAGGCTGGCTGGCGTAGACATAGGTAGAGCGCTGTCTCTGTGGTAGCCGTCTAGCAACGCACCCAAACACGGCCCTGTGTTGTTAGCGACACCCGGGGCACCGCGGCCACCCTCCACTCTCCCTCTAGATGTCTACGCCGTGTCTCACTAGTCATCATAAATGATCTTTATCAGTTGCCTTTTCGGACGATGATAATGTTATGATTGTTAGTGTGTATATGAAGGCATTACCGTCATAGACTCGTGTGGTACAGGACCTATACGTTCTCTTCTGGCTCACAACCGCGGGCTGAACGGTTGGGCAAGTTTCTTTTCCACCTGATGCCACTGTTCCCACCCGAGGGGTAAAGTAGGTTTACTCTGGAGTTAGGAAACTGTTGTGGGCAGCGTCCTCGGGAAGGTCAGTGGTTGGCCTATATAGGGGGGGGAAGGGTGACCTCATTAATGATTTCCCTTTCACGTAATGACTCACTTAATTAGCAGTCAACAGGTACTGGGCAGTTACGTAATGGTTGTGGGGTTACATCCTGCTGGGGGGGGGGGACCTCAATGCAACCTTCCCCGGGGGGGACCTTCCTGTCCCCCCCGACAAAATGACAACTAATTACGACGTAAAAAATATATGGGTGGATATGTCCGGTCCTGGACAGTCTGTTCTGGACTTAAGGTCTCCTCTCACTAAGGGTCAATACACAACGCGGTCACCCATCCAGTTACTGGCCATGCGGGTGGGTTTAACTTCACTGATGACACGGAATGATTTTATTACTAAAAATACATATTTAATCAAGAGATGAGGGGTAGGGGGTCTCCCTGTGGCGCGGTGGTACCACACTCGCCCGGCGCTTTGGCCTAGGTTCGTATCCTGGCCGGGGGAGGATTGACTGGGTACCAATCCTTAACTGTAGCCTCTGTTCACCCAGCAGTGGATGGGTACCTGGTTGTAAAACGATTTGGCGGGTCGTATTCCAGGGAAAATTAGTATTAAGGACCTGCCTGAAACGCTTCGCTTGCTAGTGGCTGTACAAGAATGTAACATGTATATGTATAACAAGATTGTATGTATATGTATAACAAGAAAGTAAAAAAGGGGAAAGAGAGGGTGAAGATGATGGAAGGTGAAAGAGGGGAGAAGGGGAGGGGTGACATACCAGCAAGACAGTGTGAGGGGACGGTACAGCGCCCGCTGGTCTCACCTACGTGTCCCCCGCCCCCCACACCACGCCAGTGTCACCCTGCTCGACACACCAGGTACACGCACCTTCCTCACCTGTGTCACCTGTGTCACCTCACTCTCCTTGTACCTCGGTAGTGTACCTTCGCCTGGTCAGTATACCTTCACCTGGACAGTGTACCTTCACCTGGTCAGTGTACCTTCACCTGGACAGTGTACCTTCACCTGGACAGTGTACCTTCACCTGGACAGTGTACCTTCACCTGGACAGTGTACCTTCACCTGGACAGTGTACCTTCACCTGGACAGTGTACCTTCACCTGGTCAGTGTACCTTCACCTGGACAGTGTACCTTCACCTAGACAGTGTACCTTCACCTGGACAGTGTACCTTCACCTGGACAGTGTACCTTCACCTAGACAGTGTACCTTCACCTGGACAGTGTACCTTCACCTAGACAGTGTACCTTCACCTGGACAGTGTACCTTCACCTGGACAGTGTACCTTCACCTGGACAGTGTACCTTCACCTGGACAGTGTACCTTCACCTAGACAGTGTACCTTCACCTGGACAGTGTACCTTCACCTAGATAGTGTACCTTCACCTGGACAGTGTACCTGTACCTTCACCTAGACAGTGTACCCTCATAAGGATAGTAGCACAGAGAAGGGAGGATAGTAACTAGACGGTGGCTGGGTTGGGGGAAGAAGGGTAGGGGGGGGTGGGGGAAATTAAAGTAAGTGTTTGATGTCTCCGTGGTGTAGTGGTAAGACACTCGCCTGGCGTTCCGCGAGCGCTATGTCATGGGTTCGTATCCTGGCCGGGGAGGATTTACTGGGCGCAATTCCTTAACTGTAGCCTCTGTTTAACGCAACAGTAAAATGTGTACTTGGATGAAAAAACGATTCTTCGCGGCAGGGGATCGTATTCCAGGGACCATAGGATTAAGGACGTGCCCGAAACGCTACGCGTACTAGTGGTTGTACAAGAATGTAACAACTCTTGTATATATCTCAAAAAAAAAAAAAAAAAAAAAAAAAAAAGTGTACAGGGAAAGGTTAGGGTCGTGTGGTGTGTGGGGGGGCTCAAGGTGAGGGGAAAAGGGGGGTTAATATAAGCAAGTGGGTCCCGTATCGGCATTTTAACCGATATCGCTGGCATGATGAATGTTCCCAAACCTGTGATGAAGGGTGGGGGGTGAGGGGAAATTGTAGGGATACAGAGAATGGGGAAACGAGGGGAGAAGAAGGTTAGGGCTAAGAGAGTGTCGAGGAGAGATCAATGCTGCCATAGATACGTGGACAAGCGCTCACGTCTCCCCAGAAACCGATTATATTGCATGAACGTGGACAAGTACCGCTCACAGGACGGGTATGGGGCTTCACTGTACATGTACTAAACTAAGAGCACCCGTTACACACACAGATCACACTAACGTGATGCATCAAATGAAGTGTAATGATGTAAGGGCGAAGAGGGAGAACGGCCTATTGACATAGCTCGGGTGCAGTGGGGGGGGGGGGGGGGGTTGTGTAAAATCCAGGTTTGTACCTCGGAGAGGCTACGGGATCCAGTAAGTTCAGTAGAACTTCGGTTTCAACCCTTTTACCCTGTCGTTGCTCAGTCGATTAAGGCAGTGTCTGGGATGCTCCCGGACGCAGGTTCGATCCTTGTCACGGCCCTTGTGGATTTGTTCATAAGAGCAGCCGTCCTCTGCCCCAGCAGAGGGGTGATGTCAGTGCAGAGAAGTACCACAAGAGTCGGTGCAAATGCCCATCCTTTTCCTTATATGAATAAACCATCTAACAAGAGGAATTAAAAACATTTACTTATCTGTTGGTGATACAAAACTAACAAGATGAATCGGAACAGAGGACTGTGATATGCTGTAAAATGAATGTTTCTCTAGAGATGATCAGAGGAATGGCTTTTCGACTTAAACCAAGACAAATGCAAAGTTAGCCGCCCTATTCTCATCTTGTGGGGGAAGTGGCAGAAAGGGTTGTCACTTAATGGGTTCAATTATTGAACCCATTATGAACCCTCATTGCTTTAGCGCTAAGCAATGAGAGAGAAGAGACAACACAAGAGATGTAGATAGAGCAGACAACGAGACTATACCGCATTGTGGCTACCTTGTGATGGTTTCTAGGCTTAGCGTCTCCGCGGCCCGGTCATCGACCAGGCCTCCTAGTTGCTGGACTGGTCAACCAGGCTGTTTGACGCTGCTAATCGCAGCCTGACGTACGAGTCACAGCCTGGTTGATCGGGTATTCTTTGGAGATGTTTATCGAGTTCTCTCTTGAACACTGTGAGGGGTCGGCCAGTTATGTCCCTTATGTGTAGTGGAAGCGTGTTGAACAGTCTCGGGCCTCTGATGTTGACAGAGTTCTCTCTCAGAGTACCTGTTGCACCTCTGCTTTTCAACGGGGGTATTCTGCACATCCTGCCATACCACAGATAAAACAAAATACAAAGTAGAGAGAGACTAGAAAAGAAAACAAAGAATAAAGATAAATGGATAACTGATAATCCCCATTCGTTTCAGACAAGCAGACTCGCCAAACATGCCACTAACAGGAGGGGATAGTTCAGAGTGCAGCTACCGCGGCATCTGGAGGCCTGCTGGACCCCGAGCTGCAGGGCGTCAGCGTCCCCGTGGCCTACCACCGTCTGTGCAGGTGGTGGTGGCGGTAGTGGTGCTGGGAGTGGGCGTGGACGCCCTCCCAGGCACCTTCATCACCGACGGCAGCATCCTCAACAAGTGGCTGCCTTCTGGGATGATCGACAGCATCACGGCCGTCAACCAAACAGACTGTGAAGCTGCTTGTGTTGGGGTGAGATGTACTCATGTGTTCTTGTACGCTTTTAATGTTTCTTCGACCATCTCTGGTGCAATATCACATTAATTTACAATAGAAAGACAACTCACAGAGGTTATTAAAAATATTGATGAACATGAAACAACAGTAGGTGACTGAACATGAAATGGACGCACCAGTCCAATTGCGAATATTTGCGTGTCACGGGAAATTACCACCAGGGGGACCGCATTCATTAGTTACGCAAGTACTTACGAACCTGTACATATTTTCTCAATTTTTGGCAGCTTAATGAAGTGTTGTTATCTAGGATATGGATAAATATCATTTCAATTCTTCCTTCGTGGTCTGACACTCACATTTTTCATCACGTGTTAATTTTCGTGATTTAAACATATATATATATATATATATATATATATATATATATATATATATATATATATATATATATATATATATATATATATATGTCGTACCTAGTAGCCAGAACTCACTTCTCAGCCTACTATGCAAGGCCCGATTTGCCTAATAAGCCAAGTTTTCCTGAATTAATATATTTTCTCTAATTTTTTTCTTATGAAATGATAAAGCTACCCATTTCATTATGTATGAGGTCAATTGTTTTTTATTGGAGTTAAAATTAACGTAGATATATGACCGAACCTAACCAACCCTACCTAACCTAACCTAACCTAACCTATCTTTATAGGGTAGGTTAGGTAGCCGAAAAAGTTAGGTTAGGTAGTCGAAAAACAACTAATTCATGAAAACTTGGCTTATTAGGCAAATCGGGCCTTGCATAGTAGGCTGAGAAGTGAGTTCTGGCTACTAGGTACGACATATATATATATATATATATATATATATATATATATATATATATATATATATATATATATAATGTATATATATAATGTATATATATATATATATATATATATATATATATATATATATATATATATATATATATATATATATATATATATACAATACAATACAATACAATTTTATTTAGGTAAGGTACATACATACAATAAATATTTACAAGGATTGTTTGACTTATAGGTATAGGTATTTGACTTATTTGACTTATAGGTATAGGTATTTGACTTTATATATATATATATATATATATATATATATATATATATATATATATATATATATATATATATATATATATATATATATATATATGTCGTACCTAGTAGCCAGAACGCACTTCTCAGCCTACTAAACAAGGCCCGATTTGCCTAATAAGCCAAGTTTTCATGAATTAATGTTTTTTCGACTACCTAACCTAACTTTTTCAGCTGCCTAACGTAACCTAACCTATAAAGATAGGTTAGGTTAGGTTAGGTAGGGTTGGTTAGGTTCGGTCATATATCTACGTTAATTTTAACTCCAATAAAAAAAATTGACCTCATATATAATGAAATGGGTAGGTTTATCATTTCATAAGAAAAAAATTTGAGAAAATATATTAATGCATGAAAACTTGGCTTATTAGGCAAATTGGGCCTTGCATAGTAGGCTGAGAAGTGCGTTCTGGCTACTAGGTACATATATATATATATAAAATTAATCCCTAATTCTTGGACTATGATCTCTTGACAGCATCCTAAGTGTAACGGGTATGCAGTGTCTGCGTTCGAACGGAAATGTGTGCGCTACAGTGTGAAGCCGGGCATGGTGCAACCTGTCCAAAATAATGGCTATGTACTCTACGTTCTTCAGAGAAGTGAGTGAACAAGATATGACTATGGCTGCCCAGCAAGAACAGTACATTATCTTCAATGTCCTTTTAGCCACACACCCATTCTATGTCATCCTCTGGCCTTCTCTCCCGGTATACAATGTACAGTGAACAATGTAGATGTGCATTATTTTGTTCCTGTACCTTATAAAATGTAAACAATGTGAAGGCATAGACGACGTTGGATTATTTCAAGGCGTTCTGTTTAGTGTCTGGAGTTTTCTTCATGAGTAGGTTGGCCGTTTTCTTGTTTTTATAGTAAATTGTCAATTGCATCTTCTGATTTTTGTCTGTGGTGATAACGTTCCTGTTAACAATATCTTTCAGGACACTTTCCTCCGTTTTATGAGCCGTCGAAAAGAAGTTCCTGTAAAACAGTCTAATAGGAGGTACAAGTGTTGTTACTTTTTTATTTATTTTGAGATATACACAAGAGATGTTACATTCTTGTACAGCCGTTTCGGGCATGTCCCTGGAATACGATCCCCCACGAAGAATCGTTGTTACAACCAAGTACACATTTTACTGTTGAGTTAAACAGAGGCTACAGTTTAGGATTTGCGCCCAGTAAATTCTCCCTGGCCAGGATACGAACCCATGATAAAGCGCTCGCAGAACGCCAGGCGAGTGTCTTACCACTACACCACGGAAACTGTAGTGTAGTTGACTATTCAGATTCTTCCTGTTTTACAGGAACTTCTTTTCGACGGCAGATGCAGATTTGCAGATGACAGATTGATGATAAAGTGGGAAACGCAAATGATGTTGAAGCCTTTCAAAGAGATCTACAGGAACGCTCACCAATAGTCAGATGACTGGCAAATGCTTTTTAATATTGATAAATGCAAGACCCTGTATGTGGGACATAACAACCCACGCCACAACTACCAAATTAATAACATTACATTACAGTGGATTGATGAAGGACCTTAGAGTCAAAATCCACAACTTGAAAGTTGCACAGCAGGTAGGGGGCAGCAGTCAAAAAAGCTAACCAAACACTTGGAATAATCAAGCGTACCTTTGACTTCAAGGAAAAGAAGGTAGTGATCCAATTGTATAAATCTCTGATTAAATCCCCTATTTGGATCACTATATCCAAGCATGGAGATCTCATCTTCAGAAGGACATAGCTGCTCTGGAGAAAGTGCAACACTAGGCAACAAAAATAATTTCAGAGCTAAGTCAACTCAAGTATCAGGAACAGTTGAGGGCCACGGGGCTAACAACACGGCAAACAAGGCATGACAGGGCGGATCTTATTGAAACTTTTAAAATACCTGTAATGAACAATTTGAAGAATGTTGAGCAAGAAGATTTCTTCAAAAGGTTAGATGTAACACAAACAAGGAGCAACGGTTTCAAGCACAACAAGCCACAATGTAGGACCGAGAACAGGAGATGCCTTTTCACCCACGCGGTTATTAACCCATGGAACCGCCTACCTGCCGAAGCCGTAAATGCCAAAACTCTGTTAACTTTTAAAGTACAACTGGAAAAGATCAAAGGCAAATGAGGGGGGGGAGGACCTTTGACAAGTCGCCGGCTTCCTGTCCTCGTCGAGGCCACTAATGTTAGTGGTTCTCTGGTAAACTCAGGTAAATTAATGACAATTTTTTTTCTAAAATGGTCTTCATAATCTGAAGAGGATCCTAATTTCCAGAAATTAATACAAAGTTACCAAATTGACGCAATATAAAGTAATCCTATAATTTCTATCTGATCATATTTTTTCAATATTTTTACTGTTTTAGGCTTTTATTACTAAATATTGTTTTACAAATATTTAGTTTGGTTTTTATATTTTACAGCGCCTTTACTGTACCTTACAGTACTATAAATTGCACAATAATTTGCTTAACTTTTGAATTTTGTTACCAAAAAATGGAGAACCCTACTATACCTCTTGAAATGCAAAACATTTTGACTGTTATTTGTAATAAAATAAAATGTTTATTTAGGTAAGGTACATACATACAAAAGATTTTACATAATTTGATCGATTTATAGATGGAGCTAGTACATACAATGCCTAAAGCCACTATTACGCAAAGCGTTTCGGGCAGGAAAAACATTAATGACTAAATCTTAATAACTAAATAATGATTTTAATCACTTTTCTCCTGTGCAGGACACAAATATCACCTGTAAGAATACTCCCCTCTGTAAGAATTCACCCGATGGTACAATCAGCATGAATGAAATGTTACACAAGGCATTGACTGATGCAAACACTTTCAGAGCACTCATCGGACTCTCAGATGAGAACACCGAGGGAGTATGGTTGTATTCAGATGGTAAGGCATAATAATTTGTGTTTGCTGATTCTATTACGATAGCTGCTTACCCACCGTTCTAACCTCTTGTACAGTTCTTCATTCAGATATAATTACCTTATAAACCAAAAAATCGGCAATCCTTTCTAAATGCCCTGGCTAGTCTTGGAGTAGAACTCCTCTCGAAACTGTTTACAGGCACACTTCTGTACTGTAGATGATTTGACTACAGACAGATGTTGTCGTAAACTCTTTTAGGTACACCTGATAGAAGGAACAGTAAACACACAATGAGGTAGATAGATATATAGTTGGTATAATATGGTTGGTTGTTAATGTATTGCACAACAGTGTTGTGACAAGGTGAGCAGTAAGATGAGGCTGGATAGTGCAGGTGGTGGCTATGTCAGGCCCAGCTGGTGGCAGAGTCCAGGCACGGCTGGTGCGAGTTATAAATCTTATGCTAGACTTAAAACGATCCTGGTTGTGGTGCGCAGTTGAAGGGTTAAAGCACTAGGTAGGAAACTATGAAGATGAAATTAGGTACTTTTTCGTTTTATTTTTGAATAAGGCGAAAGTTGGACAGCTTTTCAATTCCTTAGGGAATGAATTTCATAGACTAGGTCGCTTTATTTGCATGGAGCGTCTACACAGATTAAGTTTGACTCTGGGGATATCAAAGAGATATTTATTTCTAGTGTGGTGATTATGGACTCTATTACATCTGTCCAGGAAGAGTTTCAGAACAGGGTTTGCATTTAAGAACAAGAGTTTTGTAAATGTAAATGGCACAAGAGAATATGTGGATATGTGGAGTGAGTTTATGTTTAGGAATTTAAACAGAGGGCTGAGTGTTGTCTGAAAGCAGTTATTGTTCTGATAGCAGATTTTTGCTGGGTGATGATGAGCTTGAGGTAATTTACAGTGGTTGAACCCCATGCACAGATGCCATATGTAAGATAGGGATAGATTAACGTATAGTATAATGAGAGGAAAGCAGAATTTGGAACATAATATCTGATTTTAGAGTAGACCAACAGTTTTAAGACTTTCTTGGTTGTGTGTTGTATGTGGGTGCTAAAGTCGAGTCTCTTGTCTATGTATAGGCCAAGGAACTGTCCATCATTTTTAATGCTGATGTTAACATTGTTTATCTAAAGCCGAATTGCATTTGTTGATTTGCTTCCAAGTAAGATATAGTAGGTCTTTTCTATGTTTAGTGTGAGTTTGTTGGTTGACATCCAGAAGTGGATTTTTTTTTAATTCATTATTTACAACATTATTTAATGTGTGGGGGTTGGGGTCTAGTAGATGAGGGTAGTATCATCAGCAAATAATACAGGTTTAAGAATGTTAAAGACATTAGGAAGATAGATCATTGATGTATATAAGAAATAAGAGAGGTCCAAGGATGCTGCCCTGTGGCACTCCTACGGTTAATGGTAGAGTGGAAGAGGTTATATCATTGATGGTTACATATTGGTGTCTGTCATTAAGATAGGGTCGAATATAGTTCAGGGCAAGGCCTCGGATTCCATAATGGTGGAGTTTAAGTAAAAGGTAGTTATGGTTAACAGTATCAAAGGCCTTTCTCAGGTCAATGAAGAGTACAATCAGAAACTCATTTTTGTCAAGGGCTGAGTAGATTATATCAAGCAAACTAATAATTGCATCGTTGGTACTTTTTTGGGAGTGGAAGCCAAACTGGCAGGGACTAAAGTACAGTATGTTGAATTTTACGAAGTAGGAGTACTGTACAGCTGTTTGTAAATAATTTAATATTTTTTATAAAATAGGTAAATTAATTATTGGTCTGAAATTGTTTGTCTGCCAGATTGCCTCCTTTGTGAACTGCTGTTACTCATGCTTTTGGGGGGATATTAGGGAAGGTATGACTAGAGATTTGTTGAACAGCAGATCTATGGGTAGCACAAGGGCATGAGAAGCAACCTTTTATACCATAGATGGTATTTCACTAATGTTCTCAGCTTTGGTTTTTAGTGAGTGAATGCTGGACACATCTGTCGGGGCTGACTGGTGAAAGGAGAAGAGAGTTTGAAAAGCTGCCTGAAAGATATGTGGTAACATATCTGAGTTTGTGGGATTTTTTCTTGCAAGGTTAGCACCAACCGATGAAAAGAAGCTATTAAATTCAGTTACCATTTCTAAATCTGTTGCAGGTGTACTGTATAACCATCCTCGGAGAGTTTTATCTGGTTATGTGATTGTTGTTTAGATCCTTAGATCCTAGGATGTTAGAGATGGCTCTCCATGTGCTTTTCATGTTGCCTTTTGCTTCTTTGAATCTACTCTCATAATGGGAAAGTTTTGCTTTTCTTATTATACTGGTAGCATTGATGAGTACCTCTTAACTACTTCCTTTATGACTAGGCCAATCCTAAGTTTTTCATATTTGTTTCTAGTTGATTGCTTTGAGTATGCCACTTGTGAGCCAGGGATTGTTTAATCTTCTGCCAGTTACTTGCTTGGTGAGGAGGGGACAATAAGTGTTGTAAAGGCTTAGTTTTGGAAAGGAAGAGGTTAGCTAATGAATACATATACTGTGTATTTTTTAATTCAGATTCCCAGTTTATATTGTAAAGTGCATTTGTGAGATTGCCTATTACTGCTTCACTGTGTAACCTGAAGGTAAGTTTCTTGTTAGCTGGTGGTGTTAATGTCCATGTTTGCTACGAGAAAGGTAGCATAGTGGCTAGTTGTTCTGTCAGTGATTATACCAGATGCAAGGGGAGCTGTTATGTTAGTCCATAAGTGTAGCGGATGTTTGAGTGATTCGGGTGGGCTTGGTGATTGTGGGGATGCATACAGGAATTCATGCTGTTTAGGAAATAGTCGACTTGAGGGCTGTTTTGTTGACAGGTCAATATTGAAGTCACCTCCTAGAATGATGTGATTTTTGTTGAGATTGTTGGTTATGATAAGATTCCTTAGGTTATCTGAGAATGCAACTACGTTAGTATTGGGAAATCTATAGATAGTTCCAATAGTCAAGGAGGATTTAAGGGATTTAATTGAGAAGTGAGCAAAGGTATATTCACAGTAGTCATCTCTTATCACTAATGACACTATTGTAGATGAAGATATTTTGATAATACTGTGTATAGCTGTGCCACATTTTTTGTTATGTCTACAGTTGTAAATGACTTTATAACCAGCTAAGTTGTAAAGTTGGGTATGGTCTTTACCTAGCCATGTTTCTGTTAAAATAATGAATGGTAGTTTAGTACCCAGTGCTGTGAGTAGTTCATTTATATCCTCAAAATGTTTTCAACCAAAATGTCAGATCACTTGGTAAACTGATAGGTAAGTGTTATTTTGGAGTTTGTTTTTTGCCAGGTGTGCTGTGTAATACCTGCAGTGGTGATGATCAATATGCTGGTTATTATAGATTTGTGATAGCAGATTTAGTTCAGGATCAATATCAGCTTGCATGTAGATGCAATGGGGTCAAGATACAATAAGGTAAGCAATTAGTAGTAGGCATCCATCAGTCTCGGGAGACTATGGTGTTGCGCTCTGGTTGTCTATCTGGAGTGACCTCTCCAGGGCGTAAAACCAGGGTAGGCTAATATGGAGGAGAAGCTGTTACCCAGGCAGCAGGTCCCCCCTCTCCACGGCGCCAAAAGCAATTCCAGTATTTTACTGTTCAGTAGCAATTACAGAACAGTAAAATACTATATCTGCTGTAAATTTAAAATAACTATAGCAAAAAAAAACAAAATGCAAAATCACACATAATAGAAAGAAGTAAAAGTAAAAATAAAGATCACTGTACTGTGACAGTAATAGCAAATAACAATACAGTAAGTGACAAATGAGAAATGAACAATATAAAATGGTAGGATAAACAAGAGAAAAACAAAAATATAACAAAATGTGAAATTTAAAAACCTTAATGAAAGGAAAGGCAGAACTCTAATACACTTTGGTTGTTAGATGAAACAATAAGTTACACTCTGGGGTTGAAAGGGTTGTGTGGTAGAGGGGGACTCCAGGGATAGGGTTCACTTGGCATCTGGTTATTCAGTCATTAACCCACAGTCTGTGAGGAAAGATCTGAGGTGCACCTCAGTGGCTATTTCATAGATTTTCTCAGTGTCAGACTTCTTAGCTAGTATTTTACCACCTCTTACAAAACAATGTTTAATTGATCCATTGGAATTTTCACAGACTTGACGCAGTTTAAATAAAAGATTTTGTCTGTTCCTAGTCAAACATTCATTCACAAAGTTTTTTTTAGACACTGCAGCTTTGATAAGGTGTGATTTATGCGAACAGCTACAGTATCTCTAGTTTCACATGAATTCTTCTGTTATTTACACCAGGTATTTTATTACCCCCCACTCTATATGCTGCTTTGATGTCTCTTGCTTGAATTTCATAATTCATCTTTTCATGTAATTCACGGTTCACAATGTAAGCACAGTCCTCCCCATCAGTTTCTTGGAAGAAATTGAGTGAGGTGACAATGACAGAATCAAGGGGCTTTTGTTGGTGAGATTCGTCTTGAGAAACTGTGTTGCTGCTGAAAGGTGTTGAACTGATTCTCCAACTTCTCCAACACTTCTTCCTGTTTCCAAGTGGTTTTTGTGGGATCTAATTAATTATGTCCCTCAGAGAGCTTATTTCCTGTTCAAGGAGGCTAACTCTGGAACACAGTTCTTGATTTTCCTTAAGCCTGGCTATAGCTTCGGCTTGCAGACTCGTTATTAGGGTCGACTACTCTTCGAATGCCATCATTTGGGCTCCAAGTATCTGGGCTAATAACCTGAACCATGGGTTCTCAGTGAAGCTCTTAAAGTCAGGAAAAGAATCCTTATTCTTGTCCTTCAGGACAAGAAAGACTCATGATAGAATAAGTACTGTAGTATTAAGCTGAACTTAATACTGCTTGAAAGGATTTTTCTATCAAGACAATAATATTCAGTGACACAGTTGCACAACTAGGATCAATTACTGCATATAAATTTATAATTCTGAATTCAATGCATAATGAATTGCATGTGTCACTTACTGTTAGTAATCCACCATATTCATGAACAACAGGAACACCTGCTACCTACACCAACTGGGCCTGGAATGGAATGTGGCCAAGGACTGATCGCAACTGTGCTCTCGTCACATCCCATAAAGGAGTGTTTCGGATGGTAAATTGCTGGGACAAAAACTATTTCTTCTGTCAACTCCCTATGTTCTAAGCCTAGGCTGCACAACCAAACCATAGTGGCATGTTGTTTATCTAGATCCAGCATAGCCAGAACTCCTCCTAATCAAGTTGCAGAATTCTCACGTATCCAGTTCCAGTTACCCAAACTCCTGATTATCTACATTTATGGACTATGGAAAATAGAATCACGATGGCTATAAATAAATGTTACAATTATATTACTGTATTTATATTAAAAAATCAAGTGATTTTCATATCAGAATATATGAAAATATGTTTCATCACTTGCACTAATGAAAGAATGTTTTGTCTTGTTATATCAATACATGAAGAAATTCTTCATTACAATATACACGGTTAGAGCAACATTGTATTACCATATTATATATTATACAGTATTCTCTTGGTTAGACATAACTTAGCATACCTTGAGAATGTCCATATGCACTGTAGGCACCATATGTAACTATTATATTCTAGTTTTAGCACAGTATCTGCATCCAGACGTTTGCTGGAAAATGTGTGTTTAAGAGGCTTGGTTAATTGTTACTTCACCCCACCGCACTTGAAGACTTACTGTACTCTTCTTCAGCCAAATGAAAATGATTGATTAATTATCAGAAGAAAACACTAAGGTAGTATGGCTATACAGTATTTGTACAGTGAAAACAATGAACTAAAAAACAGTAATGGCTACATTATGCAGATTTACGGATATAACTGGTAGAGGTTCAGTCCCAATTTGTTTAGACAATCAAGAGATGAGTATCTGTATCTTAAGCCTTAAAATATTTATCCAACCAATTTACTTAACTACCCCACCTATAACTTGTTGGTAGATCATCTTATTCTAAGTCTCTTATTACCTATGTAATAAGAGAGATTTAATGTAATTTTTGTGCTATTATGGAACAATACTATGCCCAAAAGCTCAAAGGTGTTACAGTATCAGGATACACACACTGATGTCCCATACTTTAGTTATATTGTACGTAGTAGCATGACCAGGGCACACTACCTTGTCCTCAAGGTTAGGATTATTATAAGAAACTGCCACAACAATATAATTAGTGTTAGTTTATCATACAAAAGCTAACATAGTACCTGCATGCATAACTATTGATCATATACTGTACTACTATATATATACCCATTACATGTATTTCACATATCTTAAATGCTGTGTAAACTATGGACTCAAAAAGCTGTAAGCTTTTAGGATGCCAAAATGAACTGTAATGCAAGCCAATTTAGCTGCAAAATTTGCAGAATAACTCTTTATTAATGTTAATTATACCAATGCTAATGACCGAGACCGATTTTCATCAGTGGTTTGTGATTCTCTGCTTTTAAGTGTTAGCAAGATTAGAAGTACACATAAGTAATGAAAAAGTGCATATAGATATGTGATTCTACACCAAGAAATACAGTAGAATTGCAAAATAAACTGAACACTAATTGCCATCTGTTGATTCTCGATAACCTTTTCTCTTTTTTTTTAAGCACGAACCAAAACATTGCCAGAGTTTACTTCTTGCTACCATAAAAGGATGGCTTTTTTACTCCAATTCTCTACATGTTTTTCAACAAATCTTTAGTATTCAGCTATTTTAGGGATAAAATATACACTTTAGTATATTATTTTCCTTTTTTATTTTTCTTGCCCTTATCATCTCGTGTGCCGACGAAGCCACAGGAGACCAAAATTTGTCGAGCAGCATTGTTGATATGCTTAAACCTATCAGGCCCCAGGTGTATGCCCCCGTACCATCTTGTTACCACAACCAAAACGTCCTTGGCATCAAGTATCTGAATAAAAATTTTGTGGAGGTTCTTAATATTCAAATATGTTCTATTTCATGTAAATAATGTTATCAAAGTTGGATGTGTATAACACGCTAAAAAACCTCAAAAAAGAATTTGTATATACTGTACAGTATTGTACAGAATGCAAATGAGCAAGTTGTCAATTATGTGTTGCATGATACATGCATTTATCTACATCTTGGGATACTGTTTTTTTTTATTCCTTGGGAACTTCTCTTGATCACGTGTCCTTACAAAATCACATCCCCTCATCTCTAGATATTCATTATCTGCATAATCATAACCCAATTTTCCACTGTCACGGAAGGTGAAGGTACTTGTCCCCGAAAGATGGAATATATGCAGAACAAATAACGTATATTATTAAACATTACAAGAAATAAGAACTGTAGACACTGAAAGTCAAAGAATTCATTAAAGTACAAATAACTATAATAATCTATATTCTTTATATATTGTTGTTGTTTTAGATTCAGCTACTCAGAACAAAAGTTCCCAGTAGCACGGGCTATGGTGAGCCCGTAGTGGACTTACCTGGCACAGGAGCAGGGCTGTCTCTATGTGTTTGGGTACCAGAGACTCCTCAGCATAACAGGAGACGAGTACAACCACACTCCAGAAACAACAACCACCAGCATTGTGGCAGTTTGATAGACTTGAGTGTAAATTAATCCACATGACTCATTTATTCATTTCTAGTGCACTGTTTCCATGCTGTCTTAAGAGGTGGTAAGAAGACAATGTTAACATGGATGCTACATTTTCTAACATACTCCGCTACAGCAATGTTAGAGACAAAATCCATAAGGATCATTGACGTACCCACTAGCCTAGAGAGAGACTGGTTGTAAGGTCACACAATCCTGTGTAGACCAGAACTTATGATGAGTGTTAAACACATCAGCCATTGCACTTACTTTCCTGCTTCTTTTCTCCTACAGAAATTAAAAGATTATAAAAATTATCTTCTGAAATGCTATAATTCCTAGTTTAACAACCATTCACCTTAAGCTAACTTTTAATTTCAATAATATTTAAGGAAAAAAATAAGCGGGGGGATATAAACAGGTTTAGCAAGCATCAAGAGGTCAACAGCAGAACACTACAGTTGTTGACAATTTTCATGCAAGCCAAGCAGATAGGAAATACTAGTGAAAGCAAATTTAAGTCATGAGAAAAATTTGGACTATATTTGTAAATAAGATGCAAAGGGAGAAGTATACAACAAGATGACCAGAAGTAGGAGGATAAAAACACAATTATCCTTCAATGAATCCACCCATACACCTATTCAGAGTGAGGGGGCAAGCTGGCTGCCACCCTGCGGGCCTTGGGCTGCCCTCTACTCATAGTCACATACATCATAGATGGTTATTTACCGCACTGACATTATCATTTGCTTTGTTTACCTTGGGGGTAACTTATTTTCTTCAACCAATCACTTGCTTTGCTGCATGTATATTTTCTGGTGGAGTTTTTCTCAGTTTTGGGTCACACTCTTATCCTCAAGCGCTTCTTAACTTGTAGAGTGAGCCAGACCAACTGGTTACCAGAAGGTGGGAGCTGGCTCTCAAAGGCTTGGCATATTTAGCTAAAGCTTGGTGGTACACCAAAGTTAAGATGAGGATGTTATTGAAGAGTTTGTCCCTTATAACACTCAATTCTGATTTGCAAAGAAAATTATTACATCTAATTTAGCAAATTATTCAACATAGACTTATTAAAGTCAATTATTCTATAACATGAGCAAAGTTCCCTATAATGACTTTAGAACAAAAATTACTTAATAGCCAATTGTCTGTATGGCTAATGACAAAAGTATTGAAAAATTTACATTTATGTGTTTTAAAACAAATGCATTTGCTGACATGCTGAAAGAAAAACACTAAAAAACCATGAAGATTATATACAGTATAATATGATATTTTGCCAGTCATACATCTCTCATTAAAAACCAGTGGCAAGGCATAATATCAAATATACTGTAGCTTTCTCCCTATTTGGAACTATAGGGTTTTATGATAATCACTAACATCATTCAGTATATCTACCTGGAGCAGGTGCAAGAGGCGACTCCCAGCATGAATTTCTCCATCATCCTCACAGTTTTGGTTGATGTTAGAAGATCCCTCAGGCACAAAGCGGAAGGCATACATATTATGAGTTGCATTTGCAACCTTCTTGTTCTCATACAGCTTCCTCAAAACTTGTCTGAATTATACCAGGTATAAAATTTAATACTGTTGTACTTACATAATAATAAATCTGTCACACAGTACACACTACCCCAAGATATGAAGGCCACTCTCACAATATTTTATAATACAGTACAATAAACAAAATGAATACTGTATTCTTAAAAAAAAAAAGCACTGCCCCTTTGAATATACATGTATAGTACTGTACTGTGTAAATTCATTCCAGAGGCTTGCAGTGAAACTAAATCCTTGAAGAGCTGGAAAGAGTTTCCTAATAGATAAAGAAAACCAAAATATGAAACCACAATGGAAATTAAATCTAATACGAAAGAACATCAAAGTAAATTTGCTAAATTGTTGTCCTTCCAAAGACATAAATTGCAATAAATATATTGAAATATATTAAGCAATAGTGCCTTACTTGCTTGTTATTGAACCAATAATGTTTCACTAACATAAGTGCTTAGTAAATATCATAGTAAACTGAATAACTAAAGACTCGACACCAAGAAGAATGACACCCAGGCCACGCCTGGTCGAGACTGGCAGATGGTATCACTGATGATTCAGTATTACTGGGAGCAGGACACTATTAACACTGCTCCAGTTATTTTTTTTTTAAGAAGTACAGTACTGTAATTTGCATGCTATTCCTACTTTAGTTAAATCAGACTCTTCAAAGCATTGTGTAGCAGTGTTGTGGAGCACAACTAGGGCACAGTGAGACACAGGACACTGCTGGCCATCGACTACATCCTGACTTATCTTCTGCCGTCTCGACTTGTCTTGCTGCTGGACCCAAATAGGCCGGGACAAGATTGAGGCTGACAATTTCCGCAACTCTCCCTCACTTTAATCTTAGTCAAGTGCAAGTCATGACTTCAACCCATATATTGAAGTCATGGTTATCTTCGACAATGAAGGACAAACATCATCATCATCATCATTATCAAATCAGATTGCAAACATCAGTGATAATTTTCATGTGGTGTCTAAATTCTATTGCATTTCTAAATAGCTTTTGACATCAGGATTGATGTTACAGTTTATTTTTAAATACTGTATACAGATCATATGGAAATGTGTGAAGTGCTTTTATATTTAACATGTTTAAAGACTTGTGTCTTTGACTGGAGTTCCGCACTGTTCCAATTGCCAACTTATGTTAACCAATTATAGGTCTGAGGTAGTTTTGACATAAAACCCAAGGCACAAATGAGATATGGAGACATACAACAATAAGACTTCAACCAAATGTCAGTACCTGACATGAGTTTGTGACTTTACAGCTGCTAGATGTGGTTGGAAGTGACTTTTGCGGTCAGAGATGATCTCACCGGAAAATATCTCGGGACATGGTGAAAGGTCATCTGTCTCATCTTCGAGATTTACTGATGCTAAACATGTAGCAATCTGAAAGACAATGTATAAATTATTTAATAATTTGTCAATCCTATATTAATCTGAAACAGTGTTATATAATTTATAATGATATTGTTTTTATAATACTGTATTCCTAATAGTATTGGGGTAATTGAAAAGAATTTTGTTTCTTGTATCAATTACATTATGGATCAGTTTATTTAACAGAGAGTTATATGGTAATTTTAAAACTGTTTTCTTATCAGGATTCCAAAGATGCCTTTCAGTTTTAGTGTAAAGGATGCGTTTAGCTTCACTGGGTGCTTTTTTTAATGAACCACGAGGGATGATTTATGTTCGGCTTTTAAATAAGACAGGTCACAAATCCTACATGCTCTTAGATGAAGACTGGTACGTATACTCTTCTCAACTGAATTAGAATGATATGAGAACAAATTATTATACGAGTTCATGTGTATCTTTTTCCAAAAAGTGCTAGTCTTCCTTAGGAAAAAGTATTGAAATATTTCCAAAAAGCAACAAAGCCTATGTAGGGAAAACAGGGTGTAAATGTGACATCAGAACTGAAGAACACAAAAAATCATGAAGAATTATGGCTGGTAACAGTGCCCTAGCAAATCACAATTGCAAAAAGGATCACATTATTGATTTTAAGAAATGTGAAATAATCTATAAAATTAATAACAATATAACAAGAAAGGTAGTAGAAGGGGTTTTATTTAATACTCTGAATAGTCTCGCTGGTAACAAAAACTATTCAGAGGATAGTTTTACAAGTAAAATGATTGTAAGGGAATTAAAATTAGATTTGAATAAATGGATAAATGTAAGTAGTCCCAATAACCACTCTCTTTTGGGTATGGAGGGAATTACAAGGGAGAGCATCCAGATGAATACCTTTAATAATAATAACTCCAGTTCTCAGAATATTAGAGTGACGGAAAGGACAACCAATTATAATTCCACAGAAGACATCCCTGTGGGTACATCAGCAGTTGGGAATGGAAGTGATATGGTCAGGTCTAGAAGGATAAGAGGACTGGAGCCTAGGTAGCAACCTTATTAGTCGTTGAGATGTAAGTCTCATTCTAACCATATATTCAGACCTGGATAAAGCACTCGGGAGAGAGTGAAAGATTTGGTGTAAATCTTTACATAAAACACTGAACTGTACATAAATACATATGTGTGGGTTATTATCCTATATTATTATGTCTGTGAGAAAACATTACCATTGCATACTACATTTAATGATAAAAAAAAGCCACATTCTAAATAATTTCTTGTGGCCTCATATATAAGAAGTCAAATTCCATATTAGCCATCAACACTAAAATCCAGGAAATCCGTAAATATTTTTTACCACATTTTTACCCATTTACCTGGTCATCATGAGTCTCCTGTTCATTCACTTCACCGTGCTCCACCATGAACTGACGTATCCTTTCCACCCACATGTAAATGATGCTCTCCCCAGCATTTTCTCTGTTAAAAAAGTCAACCGAGACATAAACAAGCTTCACTGATTCAACATGACCACTCCGATATGCTTCTATCAACTTAAAATACAAATTATGATTACAATTTTGAAAATAAAAAACATCTTATTATGTACCTACGATAAAGAGTGCATATCAACTTCTCTGATCGAGAGCAATTATTGACAAATGTAAAGCATACAGTGCAGTATTAACATCTTTTTCTGCCAAATTTGAAGCTAAGACAGAGGCTGCATTTTGTAATCATTTTCAAAAACCTATTTAACCAATACACAAGTAGCTTGCTCTTCACAGATCAGCCAATGTGAGTTCTTACAGATATATTTCCTCCAAGTATCCACATAGTTCAAGCCGCTTGAATCCCTTCAGCCATGGCGCACTTAACATGTAAATGGGAGGAGAGGTCCTCGGATAGTCTGGAGGCATTGTCACCTAAAAAAAAAAAATTAAAGTTGATGGTACAATGCCATCATGTGATGCAGGTATGTACAGCTGTCTCTCATTCCCGCTTTCATCTTTCCATTTCTCATTTTCTTTCAGCTTCACTATGAGGTGCAAGTATTTTCATTGAATTGGTGTGATTAATGTCCCTTTAATGTGGTCTTCTGGTGACAGTTTACATAAAGAACATCCCTAGATCTCTTTCTAAGAGTTCTTCAATATTTTTTTTTTTTTTTTTTTACATAATTTGTAGGTTGTATTTAGCATGTTTTTCCTATTTCACATTTAACTATTCACACTGAAATTACACCTGACATGTGTTGTGCCTTTCACTTACTTTGTCTAGCTCATCTTAAAGTACATGGCAGTAATCTAAGTTTTCCCTAATAACCTAATCACTCAACATCATTTGCAATTCATATACTAACTCTGAATCCCTTCAGGTAGGTCATTTATATAGACAATGACCATTACTGGCACTAATACTGAACCTTATAGTACTCCACCAGTAAAAAATTTCCAGTCTGATAATACCTCTAATCACTACTCTCAAGGTGTTTCAGGTGATGCTATCTGTTATGGAAAGATATGGGCAACTGAACAAGTAACCGGTACCGTAGCTAGTTAGCTACGGTATGGCATTCTCAGTGTTCCCATGGAGTACTTGTAGTAGCTTAGAGTATAAATAAATTTTAAGTTTTGTATAGGTATAATTAGCTGGATGATCAGTGCATCCTAATGCCAGCATAACCCATTTGAACATTTGAAAAGTTTCCCATAGTACCAGTACAGTACCTAGAATGTTGCCCTGCCTCATTCCTCCAAATAGCATATTATTATTTTAGGGGCAACCATGAATCTTTTTTTTTAAAAATGCACTTCTCATATACTGTCCACTCATAAGCCAATTTTCATCAGTAAACTGTGTACAAAGGCTCTTCATGTAACCACTAGAAAGATGTTCAGGTTGGTATCATAATTTGTACGACTTTTTCTGCCACTATAGCTCATGTTTCAGACAACTGGGACTCAAAGCCTTACCTGCAAGAGAGATGTCAGCTCACCCTCCTCGATCTCTATACTATAGGATTTGTGCTCGACACTCTCTGTGTGGAAGTCTAGACCATAAATGGCGGACAAAGCCTCGATTTCATCATTCTGAAATTAAATACACTCTTTTACTGTTATGGAATTGCCACCTTCATTGGAGTATGGAGTGGCGATTTTGGTGCCATCTATAGGTCGGCACCTCAGGTCCCCTGATATTGGACGCTACGTGGGCAACACCATCTATTGGTAGTGGTGTGACAGCGACATTTGGCTCTGGTTTCCTGCCCTAGTTAGCAAGAGAGGTCAACGTGGATTACCTCTGGTGGATGGTGTGGCACGATCAGCGCCATCTAGGTTGTGCTACAAGCATAATGTCAACTCCCAGGTGAATGAGTGTCACCTCATGGTTTCCCCAGTGTACTGTCCATCTAATTGATGACGTTTAATGTCCACAGGAGTGACATGTGGAGGTGATTGTACTGAGGAAGGTAGTTTACCTTGGGCAGTCCACGTACTCTCAGCTTGGTCCTGGAAGAAGACTAAGCCGCCGCCGCCGACCTGAGCAGTGTGTTAGCTGCTAATATACACAGTGTTGGTATAGATCAGCGTACCCGGGATTGGGTTGGGAGAATAACGGACAACAGTGAGGTGCCTATCATGAAGTGCTGCTAGCAAGCTGCTAGAGGCTTCTGCTGAGGGATCAGCTACCAGTGTGTGTTTGAGACCTCTGTCAGCGTGTCGCTGGAGTCTTCTGCCAGTGGGTAGCTGGAGAGCAAAAGTGGGGTGTAGGCATCTCGTAAGACTGTCGGTGGACTGGCCCCACATAAAAGGTGAATTTGCCAGTGTTTGTCAGTACATGTGCACGTTTCCACTGGACGGTGGAAACACTGGAGTTGGTGAACACTGCCAACACAGTAGTGTCCTGTGTGAAAGTGAACTCTTGTACAGTAGTGTAGTTATAATCTATTTAATCTAATATATTTTTAATGGTGAAAGTGTAAATATATTGGTGAAGGGAATAGTGTATTGTTTATTCCCCCCCCTTATTCTTTATTGCACTATACAGCCAGTTCTTGAAAGCATACTATCGACTTGGGGTCGGATACACTAAAAGAGGTTAATCCATCAAGAACCCAGTTACTGTTACAGCTAAGTGGCTGTAACATTTACTATACTTTAAAAACAGTACCTGAGAACCCCCTAACAGAAACTTCAGAATTTTAAAAAGGTGTTTACAATCACTACAAGCATTTGCTCACTGTGGCTGTACTACTCATTACATAAATTGAATTTCATGGTTGGAAAAGATAAGAGAATCTTTTTCCTAAGAATGAAAATAACATCAATATTTAATGCAATACTTTTGAATGCTAAAGCCTGTATATTTAATAATAAAAGCTAACATATCCAAATGAACTTGTTTCAGTCATGTGAACACAACTTTACATAACATTTCCTTTCACCTGATGCTTCTGTTCACCTAGCAGTAAAGAAGTACGTACCTGGGAATCAGGCAACTGTAGTTGCTTGCATCCTGGGGAAAGACAGTAGTGAGCCCTACAAGACCTCGATAAGTTTAATAGGCTTCCTGTCCCCGACTACGAGAAATCATAAGGTGAACCATACACTATAGTATAATAATCCTTCCAAATATCTGTAATTTCTTCTGAAGTTTCATCATAGTGAATTGAGTGTGGAGTTGGGTGTGGGGTCAAGTAGCGGAATATGTATGGGGATGGGTATTGAGATGGGGATGAGTGTGGGAATGGGAATAGGTAAAGGTGTAATTACAGTGGTACCTCGGAATACGAGTGTCCCTGTATACGAGTTTTTCGGAATATGAGCAGGATTTGCTCGGAAAATTTGCCTCAGAAGGCTAGGGTTGTCTCGGAAGATGAGGGTGTTGATACGCATACAGGCAGACTAGCGCGTGGTAGCACGGCAATCGCGTCTCAGTTTACCAGTGCCTCGCGCCCAGTGACTATCCCGCCTGAATTCTTCACAAGGATTTACAGTTTTTTGTCAGTTTTTTTGCCATTTGAGCATAAAAATTTTTATATATCTCGCCGTGGGTCTCAAGAAAGCCAGTGGTAAGGTTCAACCTAAGAAAATAGCTGTGAGTAGAGGATGTCCCTTCTTCATTAAGAAATTGTGTGAAGTATGGGAAGAACTGCAAAGTTTTGTTGAAAAAACTCGCCCAGATAAAGCTGTAGCAGGCCATTGCATTGACCTTTTAAATGACAATGTGATGCCTTACTACAGACAAGTGTTAAAATGTAGGGAAAAGCAAGGGTCTTTACAGATTCTTAGTAAGACAAGCAAGTCCTAGTGCTATGCAGGCAAAACGTGCCAGGGAGTGCACCCCAGAGACGTCCTCACTGCCTGATGTTATAATGGAAGGGGACTCCCCTTCCAAACAGTAACACCTCTCCTCCTCCCCCCCTCCCCCCTCCTCACCATCTTCCATACGCCTACAGCATTCAACAAGGGTAAGTAATAACTTGAACATAGTTTTGTAGGTTAATTTAGATAAATTAGGTATAAAATTTAGTTTGAAGTGAGGTTTTTGGGTAGTCAGGAACGGATTAATTCATTTCCCATTATTTCTTATGGTGAAATTAGCTTCAGATTACGAGTTTTTGGAATACAAGCTGTCTCCAGGAACGGATTAAACTCTTAAACCGAGGTACCACTGTACTTGAGTGTAGTTACAGGATGCGAGCTATGCTCGTGGTGTCCTGTCTTCTCAGTACTCTTTGTCATATAACGCTTTGAAACTACTTATGGTGTTGGCCTCCACCTTCTAACTTGTTCCGACTATCTACTACTGAGTTTGTAAAAAAGTGGATTTTCTAACATTTTTTTTGGCAATTTTTTCCTTAGTATGAGCCTTTGTCCTCTTGGTTTTGAAGTTGCAGTTTTAAAAAAATCTTCTTTGTCAATTTTATCAGTTCCTGTTACTATTTTGAATGTAGTGATCATATCACCTCTTTTCTTCTATCTTATAGTTTCAACATATTTAACATCTCTAATCTCTCATTGCTCTTGTTTTCAGTTTTGGAACCCATGTATTTGCATGGCTGCACCTTTTCCAATTTACTGATGTGTTTCTTGAGATATATGCTCTATTATATAATTTTTCTCCAGGTGTTCTGCCCATTTGATTTTAATTACTGTATTTTTACTTATGTTTTAACTACAATGCTTGTCAACGATACTTTACTTACTTACTTGTATACAAGAAGGTACATTGGGTTGTCAGAGTACATAACATTGGTGTTTTTACAAAGCTACTAATGTGCATAGCATTTTGGGCAGGTCCTTAACCAAATGGATAAAGTAAGAGTATTTAAAAGTACATCGTAGCAAAATTTAAGTTCAACATAACAACTAGAATATAAATTGACAGTATTGATTATACTGGTGAAGTTGCATATCATAAGTATTGTATTAACATTGGGCGAGTGGCTAGCATAAGATATAGTATGGGTTACAGGCAGAGTTTTAAGCACAAGGTAGGAAACTATGTGGATGAAATTAGGTACTTTTTGGATTTAAATTTTGAATAAAGCATAGGTTGGATAATTTTTAATTAATTAGGGAGTGAGTGCCATAGATTATGGGTCCTTTTATTTGTATGCAGTGTTTGCACAGATTTAGTCTGAATCTAGGGATATCAAAGATATATTTATTCCTGGTAAGGTGTTTATGGGTTCAATTACATCTATCAAGGAAGAGTTTATGCTCGGGATTAGCATTTAGGATCAAAATTTTGTACATGTAAATAGTAAAACGAGATACAACACATACAAGAGGTACACGAGACATGTACAAGATACAGGTCTATAATTAAAAGGGTCATCCCCTACTACCATTTATTTTGTGTAATTATTTAAGTGTAATTATTAAAGTGTAGTTACAGGATGAGAGCCGTGCTCATGGTGTCAAGTCTTCCTAGTACTATATTGTCTTTATGACACTTTGAAACTACTGATGGTTTTGGTCACCGCCGCCTTCTCACGTAAGTCTATCACTTGGAGGGCTAATATACCATTAAACAGTGTCTAGGCATCAATATATCTGGGATATTTTGCTCTACTTTGTGATTAAATTATCAGCTTCCTTGAGCATTTCTGCCACCAATTTTCATCTAATTGTGTTCATGAAATGTTTATTTCCAATTAAAAGATTGTTTTCATGTTACAGTATATGTTCAGACCCGGCATTATATTAAGGAAATGTTATATTCTTATAAATACTTGCAAATTTCCAAGAGGTTCTGGGTAATTCAATGAACCCATTTTTCCTAGTGTAAAATATTTATATAGGGGATAGTTTTAGGTACTCCACCCTTGTAATTTTAACATTATTGCTGAAATAAACCTCTAAAATATATAGAAACTTTGACCAAGGTTAAAAACATATAATTCAAGCTGTCACAGAAGTGTAATGTATGAGAGAAATGCCTAAGAAAAACAAAACTATAATTTCAAGAATATCGACGTGAAACGAAATGTTTTTTTAATTCGTTATGTTAATAACGACTATTCCTCATCAGGGTTTACTCACCTGGCTGTCTGAGTTGTCTTCTGCCATGATAATAAAGTTAAATGAGCAGTAACTGCGTCCTCTCAACACGACGTGACTCAGAAATTTATTTCCTGTTGTAAACAGGACAAACTTTTGTTATCGTTATCGTACGACAGCTTTGGAATGTTGACGTCACTCACCTCCAGCAGACTCTTGTGGTCTTAAGTTTTTCCTCTTACACCGGAACGTTTCTGCAACATTAATGTGTTGTGTAATTTATAACATATAAAGAGAAAAATTTTATTTGTTATTTTAGTATCGTACGTCTGTGATAGCACAGCGAAGCTCCAGTGTGTTGTTACAGTCAGCTGGTAAACATTCTTAAATCTCCTTCTCAACATTTTAACTCAAATTATTAAATATTAGCAATTTTAACTACATTTTGATACATATATCTTTTTTATTGTGTTAATAAACTTAAAACTGCAGTCTCTTGAATTGAAATTTATAATAACTTACTAAAATGTTGTGATATAAAACCGTTTGTATAACTTGGATATATGAGAAAGTTTCCCCCCCCCCATCCCTCTTTGAAGAACTCAAAAAATTTTGATGTTATAAAATGTTATAACATTTTTTATAACATCAAAATATTATATTTAAGTATTCAAATTCTACTTCACATTCAAATTTTTATTCCAAAGAATTTATGTACAGAGAACATAAGAGAAATGTACATTTGTGGGAAACCACTATTACTCAGTTTGGGGCCTGAAATGTATTACTATATATCTTATATCTATAATTCAATAACAAATATGTATAAATAGAAAAGAACATCGCATTAGAACTGCTTTTTATTACAAATCCAGCAACACTATCAAAAGTTTCAATTATTTCACCGTACACTGACTGCGCTTAAAAATAATAAGTAAATAATTTACTTTTAATACAATAGAATCCCATTTTAAAGACAACCAAAGCACTAATAAATATTAAATAAATATTTAATTAAAGGAGATCAAAATAAGTAATCCCGAAGGTGGTAAGGAGGGGTCTCCTTGGGTTCGCAAGAATCCATAACAGTCTCAGTCACGGATAAAATGAATTACTTATTAATGATTTTAAACGATCGTCGTCGCCCCTAAATCAAAACAACATATGATTTTAAATTTACTCTGGAACAGAGATTAAGTCTACCTAAGGTAATTAATGATTAAAATATATATTTAAACTAATAAAATACTAATTTTCGAGTCCGGTTTGGATAACTGGGTAGTAAGGTATTGAGGCTGACTTGGCCTTCGTCAACCAAAATAGCTGCCGGTGGTCCAGACGACGCCGACGACACTATGGTAATTATCTTCCTTAAATTACCACCTCGTGGCTCGTTATAGGGTGTCGTTGGTCACTGGAGAGCGTTCTTGTGGCAGAATATTAATGTCACTTCTCTTGTGTCTTATTCTGGGCGAAGAATATAGAGCACAGGAGGATAGGACTGCATGTGCCCTAAAGCAACATGTCATTTTTGTCCAAAAGGGATCGGCTATTTAGTGTCTCCAGAAGTTTACAATGGCTGATGAAGTGACTCTGACCCAATGTAAACTCAGCAAAAATACTCTCACAACCTACATAACTGTAATTGAATGTGAACAAAATAAATGCCAAATTAGGGACAACTCCGAAACGGGCAACTCCTTGAGCAGGTCGAGCAACTCCTTGGGCAGGTCGAGCAACTCCTTGAGCAGGTCGAGCAACTCCTTGGGCAGGTCGGGCAACTCCTTGGGCAGGTCGGGCAACTCCTGCCCAAAACGCTATGCGTACTAGTGGCTTTACAAGAATGTTAATTCAACTTATTTTCTATATTCTCTGTTAACCCCCAATGTAACTTCTTGTATATAAATAAATAAATAAAACTCCAATTACTGTTCTAATGTCCAAGAAATATCTAAATATATTTGCCAAAATGAAATATTACCCAAATTCTTTGTCAATTATTCAGAGTTTCTTTAATAGCATAGTGCTCTACGTCCTCGGCTCACAACCATTGTGTCCTGTAGCGCACACAACTACAGGACACTGTGCTACACACAGCTACAGGACACAATCGTTGTGTCCTGTAGCACATTGCTCTACGACCACGGCTCATAATTGTTGTATCCTGTAGCACATTGCTCTACGACCTCGGCTCACAACCGCTGTGTCCTGTAGCACAGTACCCTACGACCTCGGCTCACAACCGCTGTGTCCTGTAGCACAGTACCCTACGACCTCAGCTCACAATCGTTGTATCCTGTAGCACAGTGCTCTACGACCTCGGCTCACAACTGTTGTGTCCTGTAGCACAGTGCACTGATGTCCTCGGCTCACAATGCAGGGACCTAGGTTCAATCCTCAAGCAGGACATGATTTGTAAAATTTCCTTTCACCTGATGTCTCTGTTCATTTAGCAGCTACGATACCTGAGAGGTATTTGATGTGGGTTGTATCGTAGAGTAGGCCAATAGTTGGTCTAGGGGGGGGGGATCTCAATAAGCCTAAATACAGGCTTCTTGTTCCCCAACAGCAAGAATTTTTTAATACAGTAGACTGCCTGTATATGAACATTGTACTTAAAATACTGTACAGTATATCATAATCACTGTAACATTATAGCAATGCTATTAGAGACCATTATGTCTGTAGTTTTCTTAGTTAATTAACACATTGTGTGTGGTACTGTACATTGTAAACACACATTACTTGCTGATGCGGTGAAACAATCCACTAGAGCAGTTGCCGTGGCATAGTGGTAAGACACTCGCCCGGCACTTTGTGAGTGCTTTGGCCTGGGTTCGTATTCTGGCCGGGGAGGATTGGTCAGCCGCCAATCCTTAACTATAGCTTCTGTTCACCCAGCAATGAATTTATATCTGTTTGTTAAACGATTTGGCGAGTCATATTCCGGGGAAAATTAGGATTAAAGACCTGCCCGAAATGCAGTGTGTGCTAGTGGCTTTACAAGAATGTAAGAACTCTTGTATAAATAAAATAAAAAAGGCCAAATGTGGCACCTTGTAGCCAGTTGGGAAGCTTCAGACATAAAAATTGGTCGGTAAATCCTTCATTGGTGAGTCCAAGTGGACTCACTAATGAAGAATTGGTGAGAATTGGAAAGAATTGAAAGAATAAAGAATTGAATAGAAAAATAGTGGAGATAGAATTATGTTATGAAAGCTATTATAACCGTTAGGGGAGGACGACAGTGTTTCTGTAGTCTACATTAGGCTGTGGAGTATGATGCTGTAAATCAATATTGTGGACTTCAGTTTCACATTGTGTGGCCAATAAATGCACTGATAATTATTTTGATAATACTGTAGAGTTAATGATCCAAGTCACCCAAGTTAACTTTTTAACTGTAGATACCATGCTTGATGCATATGCCGTTGTGTCTGAGATGCTAATTCTGACATATCATGTTGTATTGCAGGCCGTGTTTGGGCTGCAGTTGGTGGTGACGATGGTGATGGCCAGTGTACTGTCTCGCATCACACCACATTACTCATTGGCTCGATGGCTGCTCTGCAGCACAGGGTATGTTCATACTGCTCTTTTCTGTCCCAATAGGGTGGTGAGTACATGTTTTCCACGGAAAAAATCTATTGTTCATCTGTTTCATGATGTTTTATTGAGTTAATCCAACAATTGTTGAAATAGGATTGCGAGTGTGTATATATGCATCAATTCACATTATGTGTATGTGTGTCTAAACACTTTTGTTGCTCATCTCCTAGACAAATTAGGAATTGCAGATACAGTTGTCTTCCAACAGATTGGTGTACTACCTACACCCTACTGACGAAGAGCTGCGAAGCCTGGCAGGCGTTCCAAAAGATAAAGGGAAAAAGGGAAAGGGAGGAGGGAAAGGAAGCAATAAAAGTGGGACGGCAGCAGAAGATGATGGGACATTTACTGTGCCTCGAAGTCTGGACCTGTCTCTGGAAACCTCACGTATGGTTCCTGGTGAAGTGATGCAGCTCAAGTTTTACACTGAGTATCAGTGGCTCCTTGACTTTTCACTTTGTTCAGCAATAGTATATGTTATCACAGAGGTACATACCAGAATCTTTATACATGTTCTGTGTTGGTAGTTTGTTCTTTAGTCAAGCACATACTGTACAGTACTATAATAAATGTTACAATATTCTGTACGAATCATGCAAATCCAAATATTTCAATAATATTTTTAGATACAGTAAGCTTTAAATGAGATATGGCATCATTGTATTTTATTGATACCTGTAGTGGAGTTATCATATCACTTCATTGGCCACTATGTACTGTATTCTTTAGGTCTCGTCAAATTTACTATATTAAATTGGACTGTTGGGCTGCTAGAGCTGACTTCACTTAGGTTTTTATATCCATAGAAGCTTGATTTATGCATCACATTTTGCAGAACCTTGTGGAGATTTCCCTTTAAAGACTTTCACTAGTCTGCTTACATTGCCTCTTGAAAACACTGAAAGATGTTTAAAAAATAGAGGCTCTAATGTTGTGCTGTTATTTACAGATCTTTATGGCAGTGGCTTCCCCGCAGGCTGAGGTAAATCTGAGCATGCTGTGGTGTCTGCTGGCGGTTGGCTTCTCTCTGTATCCTTTTATTAGCCATATTTATTTATTTATTTTATTTATATATAAGAAGATACATTGGATTTATTAGAGTACAGAGACTTAAAGTTTTACATTCTTGTAAAGCCACTAGCACGCATAGCATTTCGGGCAGAAAGAAATATGTAAGCTAAGGATAATTTATTAGATTATGAAAGTTGGTAATGTGTGCCAAATTTGAGCCTCAAGCAGTTGATCAACTCCTTAGAGTAGTAACTGTTGCTTTATACTCATTATTTGTAGCAAAAAGTGGAGCTGTAGAATAAATAGTTGGGTGAAAGTTATCCAGATGTAGATGGAACAGAAGCAGAATGACCTTTCCCAGGTTCATTACTATGGGATACTGAACAAAGATTGGTTTTAGTCAAACCAATTGAACACTTGTTGACCAAACCACATACTAGAAAGTGAAGGGACGAGACGTTTCAGTCCGTCCTGGACCATTCTCAAGTTGATTGTGTATCGACTCGAGAATGGTCCAGGACGGACCGAAACGTCTCGTCCTTTCACTTTCTAGTGTGTGGTCTGGTCAACATATTTCAGCCACGTTATTGTGACTCCTCGTCTGCAATTGAACACTTCTTTGTCAAGTCATTGGATACTTTAATCTAATATTTTGTATTAGCCCTTCAAATGCACGTGTCAAATGGGGACGATCCTGTCGCATCTGACCCTACTGTGCGAGTCAGTTAGGGATGAGGTGGTTGGACTGAGGTTTTGTCTTTGTATTTAGTGTACTGTATTTGTATCTTTACTGTATAGAAGAAATAATCATTATTTAGAGCTTAATTCATTCTTTAAATTGAATTTGTGATCATCCTCTAAACTTTAAAGTTTTAATTTCATTTGTTGTAGTAAATAACCTAAACAAAAATTTAGTTTATTCTGATATAAAAATTAGGTATGGTGTCCTAAAATATTTTGGTTCTTATATGATGTGTGATTAAAATATTTATTCTGAAGAGTAATATAGTGCCTTTAATTAATCACCTTATTCTTTATTTTCCTTAATATATGCCTCAGTAAAGTAATGTTCTCATTGTCCATGCTATATTTTTGTGGCGAAGACTCTGGTGGAGAAAAGGCTATGGTTGTCCTTTCGTTCTTTACCTATCTCCTCATAGCTCTGGGCATGCTGATTCTTGATGAGAGCAAGCTGGAATTGGGCTTAGACTTGGCGTACTCATCGTTTAATTCGAGTGCTGCAGCTTTCCTCAAAGCACAAGGCCTACCATCTGAGTAAGTATTTGTTTAATTTTAATTTGCAGACAGAAGTAACATGAGCTTCCATGACAGAATTGCAGGATGGTACATTGTGGTAGGTCTTGTACTTACCATGGTGTACTGCAGTACATTGGGGTCCAAAGACGTGTGATATTTGTTATTACCTAAGTGTAGTTACAGGATGGTAGTTACACTTGTGGTGTCCTGTCTTTCCAGCTCTCTGCCATATAACACTTTGAAACTACTGATGGCTTTGGCCTCCACCACCTTCTCACTTAACTTGTTCCAACCGTCTACCACTCTTAGTGAAAGTGAATTTTCTTATTCCTGTATTTCTTCTGCAGCTTTGTTTAGCTAATTTAAATCTATGACCTCTTTGTTCTTAAGTACCAGCTCTCGGGAATTTTTCCCTATTTTTATCTATCAATGAATTGTGAAGCACTTATTATGTGAGTGTATCCACTGAAAACATTTGCTAAATTCAGAATATTTTATCAAGTCATGAATTGAATCAGGGTCTTGATAGATTTATTTCCCTGATAACACTATCTTATAATTGCTGTAATAAATCATGGAATTACAAATATATAATTCAGTAATTAAAGTGACAGCTTATTTTTAGTAATTTTATGCCCAGGTGAGAGATAGGAGTTACAGTAATGTCACTACACTACACACAGAAATCACAATAGCGTGATGCATCAAATGAACAAATCCACAAGCTCAAATAGTTCAGTCGATTAAGGCAGCGTCTGGGATGATCTCGGACGTAGGTTCGAATCCTCGTCATGGCCCTTGTGGATTTGTACAGTAATGTTTGTCTATTCTTATCCAATTGTGTCTTCAGGAAGTTAAATTCCTGTCCCTGCCAAGGCCAGTAAGGAGATAGTGGTGGCCTTTAGATAAATGTGTAGGTGCAGGGTGGGGATGTTATTTTTCTTGTAGACATGTTTGCATGTCTTGACTTCTATTTTGATATATATATTTTATAATTTGTAATCTTTATATTAAAAATGTATTAATTTCATACATTTTCTTTTCAGTGGCCCAGCATCTAAAGTGACATTCAAGATAATTATTGCGATGCTCTGTGCATTAATTGGTGCCTTCTACACATTTCCAGGACTTCGACTAGGCAAGATGCACTGGGATTCTCTGAGGTAGGCATTTCACATGTATAAAATTTCTCGTGATTTTTGTAAGATAAAAAAATGTAGACCTGGAGTTCTGTTTCCTCTGTGAATAAAAGTGAAATTTTCAACAGGTATTGTCCAGCAATTTTCATATCATATTCTTTCACATGTTCTCCAACATTACAGGTACTGCACGGAGAGTAAGGTGCTGAAGCTGCTCTTCCACATCAGTTTTGTCGCCCCTCTCTTCTTGGTAACAATGTGGATCAAGCCCATTTCCCGGCGGTACTTCACTGAGTACACTTTGCCAGGCCGAGCTCATCCCCTGTGAGTGGCCTTACAGTGCTGGCTATTTCTTTTTATTTTTATTTTGATAGGTACCTTGCAACTACTGTCTCCACTCGATCATCCGGACTATATGGGAAGGACCCCCAGCCGGATTATCACATTTTTCGGATAATGGTACTTTTTCACCTACGAGTTCAAAAGTGACCATTTCCAACTATTTTTATACTACAAACAACATAATTTGAATTGCCTTGCTACATATAATTATTAAATATTCAACTAGAAACCTCAACTTACCTTGTTGGTGTTCGTCTTCTTCATTGATGCCACACATCTTGAAATTAAGAATTCTTAACAATTTATGTAACCTATACTAACACAACACTAAAATTAATACTTAAAATTACTGTATAGTTCATTAAGCAAAGTTAGTTTTGACAGCCAGCTGCTGAAGCCTCACTAGTTGAAGGCATTTTGGTTGCCTGTGAGGCCTCACTTGTTGAAGGCGCTTGCTTGCGCCTCGCTTGTTGAAGCGCTTGCATGCCCTCACTTGTTGAAGCGCTTGCATGCCCTCACTTGTTGAAGGCGCTTGGCTTGCCTGTGACGCCTCACTTGTTGAAGGCATTTGGCTTGCCTGTGACATCTCGCTTGTTGAAGGCGCTTGCTTGCGCCACACTTGTTGAAAGCGCTTGGCTTGCCTGTGGCGCCTCACTTGTTGATGGCATTTGGCTGCCTGTGACGCCTCACTGGTTGAACAACACGTAACTTGTCTTTAATTGCTAGGACAATCTTCTTCCTCTTAACACCTCCAGAACGATTGATGCTGTTACCAGGCATAGTCTTGGCCAAAAATGTTCAAAGTTACTATGAAAATAAAAAAGTTATTTAAAAAAATATTTCACTGATGGCACAGCACTGTGATGCCGCACTGGTTGAGGTGTATAACAGTAACTTGTCTTTAATTGTTAGGACAACTTTCTTCCTCCTAACACCTCCAGAACGATTGATGCTGCTACCAGACATAGTCTTGGCCAAAAATGTTCAAAGTTACTATGAAAATAAAAAAGTTATTTAAAAAAATATTTCACTAATGGCGCAGCACTGTGTATAATACGAGGGACGGACGCACATGGGTTGACCAGTGTTGGACGGGTCCACTTGGGGCAGCTATAGCACGTTACGTAGGCCGCCAGGAGGAAAAAACTCACAATATTTTTTAAGGAAACTTCAGCCTGTGCACATTGCTTTTAGGAAACTTATTTATTTGGTATTACATAATTACTAGTACTTATTACATTTGTTTTTGGCTATGATTAATTGTTCTAAAATTAATGGTAATTCCTGTACCCAGGTGGTCCCACCCTCCCAACACCACCCACCAACCCCACCCCCTCCTCCACCATGCATCTAGAGCCACAGACGGGATTAATACGGTATGGCCAAATTTTCATCCGGCCAAACCATCTTTTATCCGGTTCCTGTGGCCATTTTGGCTGGATATTGTGATAACTTTATCCGATCACAATTTTGGCCGTATAAGGGCATTTCCGGATGTTCGAATCCCGGATAATCGCATGGTTACAGTATTCATGCTTATTTGATAACTCTACAAGTATAATGGAAGACTTGATCTCTCAGTATTTTTTCTGCAAAGTTTGACTATATTTAACAGATTCTTTATAGTTCTTTACAGTTGGTTTACTGTTTAAATGCATTGAATTATGTCTCAGAGAATAGTAAAGGTAACTGCAGAAAGCCCAAACTTTTTCATATAAGTATATCTAACCTAGACATGGAACAATCAAATAAGCCCCACATCTGTTATGTTACCTAGTAATCTGTTCCAAACATTTTGAGCCAAGAGTCAGTTCAGGGCAGGAATGGCTGCCTACTGACTGGGTGCATTTTATAGCAGGTTAAATAATATGTTTCCTTATTCTGTAATTTAGTTGCTGGCAAGCCATGGTTAAGAGTGGAAGTATTTTGCATCCTTCCTCTAAAACAAATACAGTAGTTTAAATAAATTCCATGCAGCAGTCATTCTTTCACTTTATGAATGAACTATGCTTAACTGATTACATTTAAAGTTTTTTAATGAACTTTCATCAGGAGCAGCATTAAAAGTATTGCACCTCTCAAAATTTTTAATTACACTGCAGAGGGGTTCATGCACTTGTAATATCATTGACTCTTTCCACAGCTTAATACTAATTATTATTATTATTTGTTTTTCTTCAGTATGAGCTCTGACACGTTCGACATTCTTCGCATCGTGTTAATTCTGGTTGTGGGTGTGGTACGGTTGGGTATGATGCCCTATTACCTTCAATCTTATTTAAATCTCGCATATGAGAAGATCGAGGCTCAAAAGAAGGAATCTGGCCGCATCACAAATAAGGATCTTCAGAAGAAGGTGTGTTGCTACTGTCACATTCCTATAATGATGGGATTGGCAGGAAATTGTTGATTGTTTGAAAGATTTCATAATACTGTACATTATTTCCATGATTATAAGCTTCACCTATTTCCACTCACACCACCATGCCAAAAAAAAATTTAGTTGTGAAAAAAAGAAAAAAATATTTGTAGTATGTTAATTAGTAAAATTTTCTTTCAGATTGCTCGGGTGTTCTATTACCTGTGTGTCGTAACACTACAGTACATTGCACCGATAATTCTTTGTCTTTTCCTCTCTCTAATGTTCAAGACCTTGGGTAAGTATAAATTCATTTTTCATTCGTATATGTTACAAACTATAGCATTCGGTAAATCTCCAGTTATAACGCATACTTTTCAGGCCGGATTTACCTACCCACTTCATTGACAGGTGTTTGGCAAAGAAGGGGATACAGTATATGGATTTGCTTAAAATGCAAGGGACCCATTCACAGACCCGTGAGAAAATTGATGAACCTGGTTTATCATACCATTTTGACCCTACCTTAAAAAATGCTATAAGATTCAAAGGTCTGGATCCTGAGAAATACTGGCACATGATGGGGAAATCTCGGCACAGACAGGTTCTGCTGGTAGTTGTCCATCATATAATAGGTTTAAGTGAAATCAGCCCTTAGACTGTGAAATACCTGTATTAGGGCATGGCTGGTAATACTTGTAATATGGCTAATCACATTTTAATGACTGTAGTAGATAGATGCAACATTAGACTAAAAAAAAATGCAGCCTTTCTGAAAGCCATTGAGCATATTTAAAATAATTTTCTATGGGTTTATTTTAATTTTAATTTTGAGAGATTTGTGTTATTTAGGTATGGCTCTCGTACCGTTGATATGTGGTTTTTAGGCTAGGACATGGAAAATAAGCTATGTGAAGACATCTCTTACAGACACATTTTACCTATAGTTGTCCATCATATGACAGGTTGAAATTAAAATTTCACATAGTGAAATTTGCCCGTTCAGCATGGGAAATGTTAGGGTATGAATGGGAATTCTCTTTTATTTTGGCTCCAATCACCTTTTTAAGTTTGTGTAGATGAATAGAGTAAACACTAGAGTAAAGAAACATGCGCAGACATGCATCTTGCTTTAAAAAATTGCATAACACAAATGACTCGTGAAGGAATTGCCATTTTTATATGAATCAGTTGGTTCCATATAGCTTGCCAAATTGAGGTTGCACTGCATTTAATTCTTTATTGAAGACTTTGTCTCACCTAAAATGGCCTCTGGTCACTCGGTTGTATGAATACCTAATCAGTTCAGAGTGGAAAAACTCCAAGTATGCCAGTTTGTGTTAGTCAAATGAAAAAATTTGTATTGAGTTTGTAGAAATGGCCAGTACCAGTGCAGTACTGTATTTGTGAAAATGATAAACGCCAGTTTAGACAACATAGTGGAACTGATCCAGTCCTATTAAAACCTTAATAGTAAAGCCTACGATGCCAAGTATCAAAGCACTGAATATCTTTAATGTGTTATAGAAGTTATCTCACAAAAATGCCTACCATATGGGTTTATTAACAGATTTTCAGGATCAATTTGCTTTAAAAAATAGTGAAGACCTACTCAAATAGCATCAGGTTCACTACGACTGCAGATGCAATATCAGAATTCCGTTCTGATTGCAAAATCATGACAGTTGGTCACTAAAGAAAATTACAGAATACTGTACTTCTCATGGAGCTAGTACACATTGGAACTCTTACCTTTAAAGAAGAAAATAAATGGGATATTATCACTACATACAAGATAGTGCAGGAATTAGACAAGCTTGCATTGTCTATTTCTTGTCAGTTCTGCTAAACTGAATATTTGGGTTATCCAGCCAAAATCATGTCCAGATAATTTTCTGCCAAACTTCACCATATCCAGATGGAAATCCAGATAACTGCAAATTAGGTTACATAGATTTTCAAGATCTAATGAAGTCCTACTCTAACAGTATCAAACAAGAAAACAAACTACAACAAGGTAAGCAAGTTTGGTCCCCAGGCCGGGTTCGAGAAGAATTCCCGAAACCCTCTCCAGGTATGCTCCAGGTAAGCTTTAGTTTCTCTTAAATTATATTTTTTATTTATCTGTGGGGACATATATAATTAATTAATTAAATAATTAATTAATTTCCAGGTGGACTCAGTTGGGGAGCACTAATTGGAAGAGTGGTTGAGCCAGAAGAGTGTGGGTTGGCACCAGATTCAGAGAATGAAGACGCGACCACCATTCCAACTTTGCAAAATGTTCAGACCGTTATGGAAGCTACAAAAATACTTACCCTTGGAATGGAGGAACTTAAAAAGGTGCAGTATCTTCATGTGGAATATTTACAATATAGAATACAGACTGTCCATTTTAATCTGTGAAAGTGCAGAAATTATGTGTTAGATGTTGATGACTTCTTTATCCAAAATAGGTGTACAATATCATATTTCTTAAGAAATCAAAATCAGTTTATCCTATGTCATTTAGAGTGTTATTAACTGGATTAAGTTATTTTCAGTTGTCCAGTTAATCAAAATATTAAGTGGACATTTTCTGGGGGAGCCCACGGTGGCTCCCTGTAGCTGTCACTAAGATTTCTCTATTCTGCCAGTCATATCAGTTGAATGAGTTCATTTGGCGTACCAGGGATTAGTGCTAACCCCCCCCTCCCCCCTCCCCTCACAAAGTGCAGGGAGTAAAGGACATTTAGTCATTTCTCTGGGGAAAGCATCCTGAAAGTTAGTGAAGCTACACAGACACTGCTGGGTTTAGAAGACTCAAAAACCACTAAACTGCCAAATAACTTCCCCCAAACAAAACAAAATAAATGAAACACACAAAACTTGCACAAACTCCTCTTTTGTCAATCTCACATCCTAGGTGTTTCAGCTGATGTGGTAAAGCCCTCTAGCAGTTACCTTACGTTGATTTTGGGGATCAACATCTCCGTGGTCTGGTCTCTGACCAGGCCTCTTGGTTGATGGTCTGGTCAACCAGGTTGTTGGACTTGGCTGCTTGCAACCTGACATATGAATCACAGCCTAGTTGATAAGGTATCCTTTGGAGGTGTTTATCGAGTTCTCTCAGAAACTGTGAGGGGTCTTTCAGTTATGCCCCTTTTTGTGTGGAGGAAGTGTGTTGAACGGTCTCGGGCCTCTGACATTGATAGAGTTCTATCTCGCGAGTATCTATTGCAATTCTGCTTTCCAACAGGGGTATTTTGCACATCATGCAATGTCTTCTAGTCTCGTGTGATGTTATTTCTATGTGCAGATTTGACCAGCCCCTCTAATATATTCCATGTGTAAATTATTATGTATCTCTGCCGCCTGCACTCTAGAGAATACTCGTTTACATTGGCAAATATTTCTCCAACCCATCCTTTCAAAATTAGTTACCTATAGTTACAATACATCCACTGTAACCTTATAGTTACTGTGGATGTATTGTATTTAATATGGACTGTTGGACAAGCAATGTTCACATTTTGTACTATTTGAATTGTAAGGGTATAACAAAACCTGAAATGGCATAACTATAAACCTTACCTAACCTATAAAAGGAGATGCGCTCTTAAACCTACTTTAGTATGTATATGTTCTATATTAGCCCTAGGAAGAGGTAGGTTTGGTTCTTGCCTTCTTTTTTTGGGGGGGGGTGTAGGGAAAGGGGGCCCTTCTACAAAACAAGTATGTAGTAGAAAATGTATACATTCCCTCCATAGTAGCAAAAGGTATTATCATTTTGGATGACAGGATGAATTTAACTCATCAACATTCATGAAATTGGACATGCTCCAGTTCGCTAAATTTTTATCTTTACAGTATTATTATCATACCATTTCCCACTTATATTGAATGGGAAGGAACCTTTCCTTCCCTCATTACCACATCCCTATTTTTTTTATTCAACTACCAAGGTGACATCATACAACTCTGGCATACGTCTGCTTCATTATTGAACTACTCACTCATTTACACATTGACTCTTACCCATGTACTACTTCTTATATACAAAAATCACATCATTTTGCATAACTCAGCCAACTCCATATATATGGTATAACATCTTAAGTTCTTTTATATTAGCTTTGTCATATACTTTCTCCAAGTAAGTACAGGTACATGGCTTCTTGTAAATTATAAAACATCCACACTATTCCACTGTCTCTGCTAAATATAACAATTTCTGCATATACTTCATCAATACCTGTGACTTTTCCACACTTTAGCTTCTTCACACATGCATCTGCTGGCATTATCTTGCACTCCTCTCTCACAAGCTACATCAGTCATGGTCAGTTGTTCACATTAGCATCTTTCATCGCTTCCACCCATCAGACTTTTAAAATATTATTCCCGCCTACTTCTTCTCTCATTTTTACTAGCGAGTTTTACATTTTACCTGTCTCTTACCTGCATTCTCTCACTTTCAGGTTTTCACCACAGAGTTTTACCGTGGAGTGCTGGGCTTTACAACGTGGTGGTGTGTGTTTTCTTGGTTCCTCTCGGGAACATTCGGTGTTGCATACCAGTCATATTTCACTAAAGGATAAAAGACAATATGAGTTTTATATATATGGTATTGTTTTTTTTAAGAAAAATGTAATATATAAAGATTTCCTTTTAGATGTTGCATGTTTTGTGTGGCTTCATTTGCAGTGAAGCCAATTGTTAACGATACTTGTGTCTAGTAAATCAGTCATATTCTATTGATTGATGAGGCAGAGATCTGTAAATGTATGTGTAGTATTTGTATCCCATAATATGTTGAGAACATTTTTAAATGTACACTTGAATTTGAATATATATATTATATTTAGATGTTGGAAGCATTTAAAGAAATGTTATGATCTGAATTTTGTTTTAACTGGAAATATTGGCATGCTCAATATCTATCATCTGCGGATATTTTAACTGCTCCCTTAAAGGTTTAAATAGCAATCAACCCAAAAAAATGATTTAGAAAGTCCTGCAAATTAGATTTGATATCTTGTAAAGGATACTACTGCTGTAAGACCTCTAGGCTGTCCTGTCAGTGCATGTTTTCCCTGACCTGTTCCAGTGCCCTTGTTTACTTGCATACTTCTCAGGTGAGACTAATACACTGTCAAGAAATTTGTATCTGTTGTTATTGGTGGGGAATTGATTAAGGCTTTGTGAATGCTTATTGAGAATAAAGGCTTAAAGAAAGTAACTAGTAACATTTGTATATTTGGGGATGTTCTAGACACTGCAAGTTCAGTTTGCTTTTGCACATTTTTTTTACTTACCAATAATACAAACACTTATTCTGATAATGATACCAAACTTAATATGCTTGTATGTGGTAGCCAAATAATCATGTACGACTCGACAGTGAAAGCATGTGTTGCTTCTGTCTGCACAACTACAAGTTTAAAGATAGTCAAGGCTTTGTTTGAGACAAGACTTACGTTCAGCCAGCCCTAAATCCTCGGAGAGAACCAAGGGCCATACCGTACGTGTCATGGTTGTTAATAATATGCGGGAGCCTTGTAGGTAGTGACATAAGCAGAGTTAGTATAAATGATTGTAATCTTTCAGAAAATTCTAAGGCTATTAGTAATTTACATAAGCCATGTGTTTAATTTACAGTTTAATATTTAGTATTATAAGAATGGGAAAAATTATGAAAATGCAAAGTTTTTAAGTTATATAATATTGGAATAATAACTTTTATATATAATGTAATCTGTACTGATTACAAAATCTGCACTGATTTCAGTACAGTATAACAACATGACAAACATTTTTGTACCAAAAGCTTTTGAATTGCATTGCAAAATATTGTTACTCTGTTTTATTGGTCAATTTTGTAAAATGTTTGAATAAAATCAACAGATTTTTTTTATATTGACCAGAATTCATTAGGACAGGTATCAAAGACAACAACATAGTACATAGTGCCCATGAATATTAAAAGTACAGTACTATACTTGCCTAAAGAATTTCTGCTATTTTTTAATTGAATTAAGACTGTCATTGAGTAGGAAGATGTCTAGCAGCGCCATAAGTGAGACTGCAGTGGGTAAGACAAATAAAAGTCAACTTAATGGAAACAGAGGAAATATGTGATGAAACTTTAGAATGGTCTCGTTTAATTATGCTGGTGAAGAAGTATGGCATTGGTACCTGCACACACTCTCAGATACAATGCAGTATACAGAGATTGTACATAGTGTATACAAATTTCTTTAGTTCAGTTGCACCTCACTTGACCACTTGATCACTCGAGAGTCACAAGGCAAGTGCAGCTTCACTGCAAAGGTGCGTAAAAACATTGTTAATATTTATTAATTTTCTTGTATATTGTAAAGTATTTATTTTTGTTTATACTTCTATAGTACATGTTTATGTGTGTGTAAAAATAATAATTAATACACACATTGTTTCTGATAGAGAAAATTTGTTGTGGAAACAGAGACTTACTGCAACGGACTGTCATCGAGGAGTGGTCGGTCCCACCAGTCCATACAGGGGTAAATCCAGTTTAAATACTATATTTGTAATATATTACCAATAATAAACCTTGAATGATTACAATTGATCAAAATTGGTGCGTGCAGTGTACATAAGGTCCATGTTGATGTATCCTTTGTTGCTCATTTATTTATTTAATTATTTATCTATTTATATATATATAAGAAGGTACATTGGGATTGTGAGGATACATAGTATAGTAATTACAATCTTGTAAAGACACTAGTACCGTCAGCGTTTCGGGCAGTTCATGTGTATTCTTACTGCTGTAGAGTATTATTGCTGCAACATGTCATGCAGACATCTGTGTACTGTTTACAGTAATGATTTGAAATGTGTTGACACATAATTTTATATTGTTAAGAATTATATTTTATGTAACAAAATTAACTGTTTGGAATGGAGGTTTTTGGTTGTTGTCTAACACAAAATTTATATGTGGTGTATTCTCATTGGTAATAGTTTACTAATATGAAATGAATGCCTTTTTTCATGTGTTTGTGCTTCAGTGTCCATCTGGAGTGCCTGACGTGGGTATTTGTGGCATTTGCATGTTGTGTTATGCTAAACGTTTGCAGTTTGTGATAAAGTTTAGTTTATCTCTGCCAATATTGTATACTTTTTCTTTTAAGATTTTATAACTTTTTGTAAAGGATAAAATACCCTTTTTATTAAATGGATTATTTTGAATCTATTACTTTCATATCAAACAAAAAATGTAATAGAATTGTTAATTCTCCCTAACTAATTTCCCTTTATCTTTCAGCAAGGTATTTTGGAAACCTATTTCATACAAGATTTGTGCTCAAGAAGCTCAATGTGATTGTTGTGACTCATTTGGGCCGCCTGTAACCAAAAGTCGGTTCCTGTACCCTTGGCTGTTTCCTTGCTGTGTGATTAAGGAAGTTTAATGAATTGGTCTAATTAAATTTAAGATAATTTAGCCGGCATATCAATCTACTGCTACTGTTTGAGGCTGTGAATAAGGAGGCGATGAGTCACAATAACGTGGCTAAAGTATTGACTTGAGAACGGTCCAGGGCGGACCGAAACATCGTCGTCCCTTCACCTTCTAGTGTGTGGTCTGGTCAACTGTGAATAAGGGTTTATGTCAGTTAGGCAGTGCAGTAACCAGCTCAGCTGCTAGGGTGAGGCTGTATGCAACCAACAACCGTTCCAAAGACTTGCTGAACCCAGCAGCAGTAAATTAGATGATAATAAGAGTAATAGTGTGTGTGTGTGTGTAATTACGTAAGTGTACTTACAGGATAAGAGCTGTGCTCGTGGTCTGTCTTCCCAGCATCCTGTCATATAATGCTTTGAAACTACTGATTGTTTTGGCCTCCACTTCACATGTTCCAACCATCTAGCACTTTGTGAAAGAGAATTTTCATATATTTCTTCAGCAGCTTAGTTTAGTTAGCCTAAATCTATGACCTCTTGTTCTTGAAGTTCTGGATCTTGGGAATTCTTCTCTATTAATTTTGTCAATTCCTGTTGTTGTTTTGTACATAGTGATTATACTGTATCACCTCTTTATTTTCTTCTATTTTCTAATTTTTGCATATTTAGTACCTCTAATATCTCCTTGCAGCTCTTGTCTTTCAATTCCAAAAGCCATTTAGTTGCATGTCTTTGCACCTTTTCCAGTTTGTTGGTGTATGTGTGCAGTTCTTATTTTAATGTTAACACGAGAAATTTTGGTGGAGGTGTTTATTGACTGAATTATTGTAGCCACAGCATTGTTTAATATTTTGTGGTGAGTAAGTGTTGTTGCAGTTTACAGTGTGTGTAAGTGTGGCTGCGACTTGCATAGCTCCAAGTTTGAAGAAGGTCATGGGCCATTCTTTTACCTCTGAAGTATACAAATTGATTAACATCATGAGAGATAATTTGTTATTCTTTGAATATGATGATGTCCACATCTTTGTTGTATAGTGCTAGTGAACAGCCCGTCCTCCAAACAAAGATTCAGAAGTGATTCCATGCACCCGCCAAACCCCCTGTTTATGAATGAAAAATGGTTTACACACGACTCACAACTGCTGACGTTTGAGCATTTCCAGAACTAGTGCTTCACTGATGAATTTTGTTCGAATTACAATGCTGTAAATTCTTCAACATACTACGAATACAAATAATCGCCAACAGAACCTAAACACCTAACCTAACCTAACCTAACCTATGCCTATATATGCACAATATGCTAATATATTATAATATTAATTTATATTTGAGAAAATTCCCGTTTTGAATGAACAGCATGTTAAAATTTATGAATACGTCTGTGGGGTCGACTGGTGGATGGAATGGACTTGAGTCGAGGACGGGTTGTAGTGAAATGAAAACCTCACATCTTAGTACCGTACAGGTATATATTTGTATTGACTGTTTAATACAAACTTGAATGTAATAGTAATGTCTTGCAAATTAGTAATTACTTGTATGTTCATTAATCTGCATAAGAAATATTAATTACATCTGTTCAACAAGTTACTAAGTGAATAGTCGCCTCATGATATTCCTTTTGTGCTGCTCTTTACTTTTCTCTTATGGGGATAGAACATGGGAGTATTATTTTACTTTGCAACATTTGTAATAAAAAGGTATATATTTCCTACAATTGTAGAAAATTGTATAATAGGGTCTCTACAATTATTTATATTATAATACTCATCACAGTCTTCCTTTCCTCATTTGTTGTAAGATAATTTCTTGAGTGTGTAAGTACATACAGCATGTCCCCACTTGTTTGTTATTAAAATCAAGCTGGTGTGCAAATATTCAACCAAATGGAGAAGATATACTTCATCTAACTCAAACTAGTGAATTCTTAGCTGTCAATGGGTTCACACATACATAACCCACTCACATGGGAAAATACAGTTATCTGCTCATGCTTAGGACATAGTTCATAAAAAAATATTGTTAAACATTTAATCAATATTAGTTCTTGTTTGTTGTTTAAGGGATAAATACCCAGTATAGCTGTTGAGTATTATTGTGCTTATCTAATGGATACTTGAGGTATTAATTTTCCTCTGATAATCCATACTGGAGAATATAACAAATAGTATTTAATAAATTTCAAGTACAAATAATGATAAAGGAGGAGGCAAAATCCTCAATGCTATAGATAAATGTGCAGAAAAGTGAGTTTGTGGTTTGAAACAATTATATAACTAATATATGTTGTGTGAAATAAAACAGTAAGGCAGATAGAAAAGTACTCAAGATGACAATTTTGTTTGATTTGGATTATTTGAAGAAATTTGTGATTATTTATTACATGTCAACATTTACTTCAAGAGTGTTAAGATATTGGCAAGGAAATAACAATTATATTAAGATTGTGCAATATTTGAAATGTTAGTTTGTTTTCATATTACTATTATGCTTTCTTTCCTGCATTCACATCAATTTATTGGTCTGTATCATTCAATATTATACTTCTGCATTGTACTGACTAACCCAACCAGTTTCAGCCTGAGGCTTAAAGAATATAATTGCACTGCTACCCTTTCAAGAATGTTCAAAAGCACCGTAATTCCATAATTATTGCCTTGCAGAACCCGCCATACATGTATATTCCGTCATTTTCAAAAAGATATTCTCATATTTGTTGTACATGTAGAAATATTTATGTAATTTGGGATGAATTCATTAGAAACTGTACTGTAAATATTTGTGTATAAATTTTGTACATACCTGTAAGAGGAATGTTCACATTTATAATAAAAGGTAATGCAAGTTTTGTGTTTTAACACTGAAATTTGTTCAATAGTTTTAGTATGTTAGCAGCATCATACCAGTATTACTCTGGGAGAAGTACAGTATTTCAAATTGTCTGTTAAGCAAGATTCACCTAGTTGTGCTTGTGGGGGTTGAACTCTGCTCTTTCGGCCCGCCTCTAAACTGACAATCAATCAACTGTTACTAACTACTAAATATTTTTATTTTTTTTCACACAAACATACACAGGTGAGGTGGGATGCCAAGAGCCAGAGCTCAACCCCCACAAGAAGACATGATCACTATGTACAAAATTCTCAGGAATTGACAAGGTAGATAAAGATAAACTGTTTAATACGGGTGGTATGCGAATAAGGGAACACAGGTGGGAACCGATTACCCACATGAGCCACAGGGACGTTAGAAAGAACTTTTTCAGTGTCAGTAGTTAACAGATGGAATTCATTAGGCAGAGATGTGGTGGAGACTGACTCCATACACAGTGTCAAATATAGATATGATTGAGCCCAGTAGGCTCAGGAATTTGTACATCAGTTGATTGACAGTTGAGAAGCGGGACCAAAGAGCCAGAGCTCAACCCCTGCAAGCACAATTAGGCGAGTACAAGCACAAATAGGTGAGTACACACACACACATCTGGACTCTCAACCGGTGTACAGATTCCTGAGCGACTGGTCTCTATCATATCTACACTTGAAACTGTGTATGGAGTCAGCCTCCACCACATCACTGCCTAATGCATTCCACCTGTTAACTACTCTTGATACTGAAAAGGTTTTTCAGTATGTGTGTGAAAAATTAGTAGCTAATAACAGTTGATTGATTGACAGTTGGAGAGGCGGGCCAAAAAAGCAGAGCTCAGCCTTCGCAAGCACAACTAGGTGAGTACAGGGGTATTAACCCATGGAACCGCCTACCCGCCAAACCCGTAAACGCCAAAACACTTAATTAAATTTTAAAATTAGCTGGAAAAATTGATCAGGTGAAATGGAGGATACCTTTGACAAGCCTTCGGCTTCCTGTCCTAATCGAGGCCACTAGAGTATTAGTATTCCTCAGATAAAGACAAATTTAAATTACAAAAGTTCATGCGGCAATACATGTTTTTTAACCGTTTTCTTTGGTTATGTAGTACTATAAAACACTACGGTAATCCTCCGCCGTGTTTCAATAAGTCTCTCATAATAAAGTGCTGCCATCTATTGGCGACATTTATTACCAACAGCAGGTCATAAGAGCAGGTTGCTGCCTCAAATTCCCCTCATAACCCGCGAGTAGCAGAGCTTAGGAACAAGCAGTTGAGCAGTTAACACTAGCCACTCAACCCCCGTGACGTCACGTGGCGCGGCCACCACAACACCCTGAGCCTAAGACTTTCTGTTCCACGCGCGCTCCCTCCTTGCAAAAATATAGGCGAGGGAGAGAGTTATATTATATTCTTGTAACTAGCTCATCAAGATTGTAAACTTGCTTAGCTAAATGAATTGTGGGGTTTCAGTCCCTGAGCCCATTATGTGCCTTTGTAACCCTTTCCACTACCGCCCACAAAATGGGTATAGGGTGCATAATAAATTAACTAAACTAACTATATTCCCTCTCAAGTCATACATACTTCTTAGAATTTTTATACATTCCTTTTTATATATTCTTTCGTTTTTAAATCGCATGCTAGCTCAACAAGCTCTAGGTTACCAAAGAGTATTCAGAGAAGACCTTGTGGATTCTCACTGAACACTTTTAATTTAAATTAATATTTTCTCTTGTATAAGGGAGGTTATCAAAGGAAATTATTGTATTCCCATATGGTCCTCCCTGTTGTGTTCGCTCTCGACTCACAGTCTGGAATCTCGAATTCGGATCCCGTGTGGGACAGAACTGATTGGGCACGTTTCTTCTTCACCTAATGCATCTGTTCACCTAGCAGTAAATATAGGTACCATAGGAGTTAGTCAAGGGTTACATCCTTAGGGGGGGAAGGGTGAGGTGGACATCGATATAAGCCTAATATATTTAATAACAATAATAATTCATATTAAAAATATACATAATAATATTATACTGTATAAGGCTTTAATAATTGTTACAGAGTATATGTACATTTAATAAAGTCATTATAATGTACAAAACATTTAATTCGGGCATAACTTAAAATACTACAATGAGGTTGTTTAAAGGTTTGATAAGGTAGACATTTAATACTAACTATGCAAGAAGAAAGCTAACATATTGTTCAACAAATTTACCAAGTCATATACAGTAGAGGTTTTAATAAGAAGGGCACGACGTAAGAAAGAATAGGAGAAAATTAACACGTGTTAAATAGGAGAACATTAACACGTGTTAAATAGGAGAAAATTAACACGTGTTAAATAGGAGAAAATTAACACGTGTTAAATAGGAGAACATTAACACGTGTTAAATAGGAGAACATTAACACGTGTTAAATAGGAGAAAATTAACACGTGTTAACGTGCAAATTTAAGTATAAAATGAAGTGAAATATACTAAGATTTTAACGGCTTCTTGAATGTTTTGAAAATAATTGACAATTGTACACAAGACAGTGTACAATTGTCTTGTGTCTAACCTAACCTAACCTAACCTAACCTAACCTAACCTAACCTAACCTAACCTAACCTAACATTAACAGCCGTTGTCTTAACAATTATACTGTACCATGGTAACTAATTTTAAAATTTGTAGACGAGATTTAGGAAAATGATATACAATTTGTTTATGATATTTAGAAACTAGCATTAATAACATAATTTTTTTAATAAATATTGAGTATTATGAAATAAATATTGTATTTATATAATATTATGTATTATATAATAAATGCTCTTTTAAACGGCGATATAGAAGTACAATTGTACTTCTTTTTCCTACTATATAAAATTGAATTGTACTTCACAACTATATCATCATAGTTATGAAATATAGGCCTACACATATGGGAAACCTGTGAGAAGTTAGGCTTGTAGAATTTAATTACATGCACTAGTAAATTACTATAGCTTGTGGTCTTCTGAATATTTTGTAATTTTTATACGACTGATTCTGTCAATTACATTTGCTCATGATAACTAATCAGTTAAAAAAATATTAACCATACAACTTAATTTGTAAGTTAAAGCAATTTTCAGTATCGGTTCCATCTCTGTAAAGATGACTTTTTGTGGATTCTGTAGTTTTATTAATTCTATTTCCATATTAAGTTCGAGTTGTTTTCTATTGTATTGTGAATGTATTAAATTAAAATAATATATATTTTTTCTTTTGTACATTATTTATTACAAACTATATTCTTGTAGCCAAGTTTGATCGCCTGCCACGTGGAGCCTCAGTCTGCCCCCAGGCCTAGAAGAGGAAGGTTCGTTCCACTCTCCCTGCAACTCTTCATTATTTGCCTCATATCTGTAAGATTGTATTCATATTGTAGTTCTACATTGTTTAAAACTGGTATAATAAGGATTTACTGGACGATAAGATTGTGGCCGGGAATTCTCTCTCTCGCTAAGTACAGAAGACAACTTTGTTTCTTGAGATACACGTGGAGATCCTGTCAAGATGTACAACCATTTCTTATTTCTTTCTTTGTTTTGGAGATTTGTCTTTGGAGTGTGTTTTGAATTTTTTCTTTCTATCCTGATGGATAGACTGGCAATGGTGGTCTATTCTTGCATTACTTCTGGACCGTCCTTTATTCTTGGATCTATCCTTTCTAATATACTTAATTTGTCTACCATATTTTGCACTTCCTTGTGACCAAATTAATCAATATCTTTATACTTCCAGAAGATGGTTATGTTGGAGTGTGTGGGGGGGGGGGGGTTGTGTTTGAGTGCATGGTGGTTATGTTGGAGTGTGTGGGGGGGGGGTTGTGTTTGAGTGCATGGTGGTTATGTTGGAGTGTGTGAGGGTTATTATGGAGTGTGTGGTGATTATGTTGGTTGAAGTGCATAGTGATTATGTTGGCGGGAGTGTGTTGGGAATATTGGTTGGAATGCTTGGTGGGATGAAAATATCAAGTTTATCAACTGCTGCACATAATGAGGCTTGTAAACCAGTAGGCGTATAAATATATTTACCACATTTAATAAAAATAATCTAATGGAAGCCCACTAACGTCTCATTATTTCATCCTAGCCTATTGTGTAATATTGCACATTATATTGTATACAAAATATGAGCCACATATGTGTTAAACAATGCTTCCCGTTATCATTTACATGGAATTGTAACTAAAAATAACAAAGCACAGCTAATGACGTGAATTTGTCAGATCAACGATTTCTGTCAATTTTGCTTTTAAAATTATCTATATTTTTTGTAGGGGTCCACAGGTGAGACCGTGGTTATAGGGGTCCACGGATGAGAATGTGGTTGGTAAAGGGGGAATGATATATTGAAAGGCTGGGAACTACTGTACTAGAGTATACAGTATATAACTCCATTTATTAGTGTTACAAATAATAATCTAATAACAATTCTTTTTCAGGTCCCTAGAACAAGACTGGACAATGCAAACGGTAACGAGACGTTTATTTTAGTTACAATTATTGTAGTTTGTATTACTAATTGCTTTTGGTATCCTGTAGTAAATAGTTTATATATCTACTAAAAGGGGGGCTCCTTGCTACCTGTGCTGTGGGGGGGGGGACGCCCCCGCTGGGACCTCCCCCCCCCACCCAATTCATCGTTCATAAAACATCACCAAATATATCATGGGCAATTAATCACTGTAATTTTACATTGTCATGATCATTGGCAATTAATTCCCACAAACAAATAATTGACATTTATTAGCAATTAGCATTGATTCTTAGTTGCTAATTATTTGCTAATACGTTCTGCATATACGATTTGGATTGGTACATTGAATTATATTTGTTATTGTTGCCAATTACTTGCTATTAAGTTTGGAACATATTTAGTAGAGTTCATTTATTATGCACCCCATACCCATCCTGTAGGCGGAAGTGAACAGCATTACAAAGGCACATAATGGGCTCAGGGACTAACCTCTAAAATTGACTTAGTTGTCTTATGTAAACTGCAGCTGTGCTGGTCAGCCGTTGTTGTCCCCAGTAGCTGTATGTGCGTCACACAGGGGGGCCCATTAATTAGTAATCCATTAAAAGGATTACCCATTAATAAATGTTCACCAATTGGTTTCACAGTGGTCATATTGACTACAGTAATAATGGTCATCTCCATTACTGTAATTATGGTCATCTCCACTACTGTAATAATGTTTTGTTTTGTTTTTATTTATATATACAAAAGTTCTTTCATTCTTATAAAGCCACTAACACATAGCATTTTGGGCAGGTCCTTAATCTTAATTTTCCCTAAAATACGACACGCCAAATTGTTTAACAACCAGGTACCCATTCACTGACGAGGCAGACAGTTAAGGATTGGCGCCTAGTCAATCCTCCCCGGCCAGGATATGAACCGAGGCCAAATCACTTATGAAGCGCGGGGCCAGTGTGTTACCGCTGCGCTTCAGAATGGTAACTTTGATTAGAAATATAATATTTCCCCATACCTTACCTTGAGGTAAGGTATGGGGAAATATTATATATCTAATATAATGGAATGGAAATAAAATAATTTCCTCGGGAAATTTCCTCAGTATTTCCCATGGAAATAAAATAATTTCCTCGGGAAAATTATTGTATCAGCTATGAAAGCCCTGCCAGCAGATTAACATACCAAATTTCCTTTTTTGGGTTAACAAGCTTGGGTACAGAGCAGTGTGCAACTACAGTACTCAAATCTTTATTAAGGGTTACATAGTATAGGCTAAAAACTAACTAGGTTCACCTTACACCCACATTTTGCAGGATGGTTGTTATGTATGGGATGTGAGTCTGTTCTATTTTGCACTTACAAACTGTGAGTAGACTACAAGGCTATATTCTTTAATGAATGAAAAACAGTAGTCATTAAGCTCCAATTTTAGCTTATTACTTTTTTTAATTGATGTAACCTGATATCTAGGGTAATTTCCTTTACACATGTTAAGATGTTATTGTCCATAAAAAACTTTCTCTAATAAACTAATACTGTTTTTTGCAAATTTGCAGGCTACTGCCAAATCAGTTATGAAGACATTCTCAGATTGTGCCTACCACATAGAAAAGCAGCAGCTCTTTGAAGAGGCCATAGGTATGTATGCTGAAAATAATTTATTTATTGCACATTTATTCCTGTTTATGAGTTTGTATAGTGTAGTTTGGATAGTAATGCAAGAGGTTAAAGAGCCATAGCTATGTATTTTACAGTGAATTTTGACACAAAATTTATTTCAGAAAATAAAGTGCCCAGTTTATAATCATCCCTGCCTTCCCTGATTAAATTTAGTACTGTACCTGGTGTAAGGGGGGCACCCACTTCTAAACCGTATCTTACAACTGAGTACAACTATCAAAACACATTGAACAAATCCACAAGGGCCGTGACGAGGATTCGAACCTACGTCCGAGAGCATCCCAGACGCTGCCTTAATCGTCTGACCTACGACATGACCATGTCGTAGCTCAGTCGATTAAGGCAGCGTCTTGGATGCTCTCGGACGTAGGTTCGAATCCTCGTCACGGCCCTTGTGGATTTGTTCATTTGATGCATCACGCTATTGTGATTTCTGTGTGTAATCAAAACACATTCCTTACTTTTACCCCTTCTGCCCCTCTATTTAATTAATAAACCAGTGTGCTGACAGGTGTCCAGACTGTGATGTAGGTTGACACCTGTCCCGTCCTTCACTTACCAACATGGAGATTGCTCTCTCACCCATGTGAGAGGTGAGAGGGCACCCTCTCACATGGGTTTCATTGGACATCCATGTGAGAGTGATTGTCATTGGACATTCTTGTAGAAGCAGAATACTACAGTAATTTTGAATCAATTGTTTAGACTTGGGAAGGGTAATTGAAGATTTAAATAATCAAAGCATCTAAATAGACAAGGCCCTGATGTAAGGGGGAATAGCTCAGGGAATAGCAAGCATACATACTAGTATGAGGAATAAGGTATGAATTAATACTCAGAGAAATTGTAGTTCATTCATTTGACTATTTATAGAAGTTATCACTGTATAAATCAAGAGAATTGAGTTTGTTTACAAATCCCTAAAATTAGCAAGAACTGCCATAAATATATGGCAAATATTACCTAATATGAAGATTAAACTTTAGTGTATGTAAAATATTATTAATTAATAGAATTTCGGCACTTGTTTCACTATCACACTTGAGAATTAAATACCTAAATTAGGTTTTTGTCATGATTTACTGTGTTTACAGTGCATCCACTTGGGCTAGACGGTAGAGCAACGGTCTCGCTTCATGCAGGTCAGCGTTCAATCCCCGACCGTCCAAGTGGTTGGGCACAATTCCCCCCCCCCCCCCCCCCCCCCCCCCCCCGTCCCATCCCAAGTCCTTATCCTGACCCCTTCCCAGTGCTATATAGTCGTAATGGCTTGGCGCTTTACCCCTGATAATTCCCTCCCACATTATGATAAGAAATAATAAGATATACAGTATTCATTTATGGAATAACTTTTTGTATAAATCTCAGGTCTTGACATTGGCTTCAAAATTTAATTAGCATGAAAAAGATTTAAAATGTAAGACTTGAGCAGTGCAAGGGGTTATGAGGTAAACCCTAATAATTGAAAATGTTCCTGCTAGGGACAAGAAGCCTTGAAGGCTTATTGAGGTTTCTTAGATGTTGATTGATATTCACCAGAGTGCAACTCATTGCAGTTGCCTATCTCCCAGCAAATTAATTGCCTATCATTTACTGCTAGGTGAATGGAGGAATCAGGTGTAAGGAAACATGCTCAAACATCGCCGCCTACTTAAAAATAATGATGATTGAGTAGGCTGCATAGTAGAAATATGTAGTAAAAATATAAAGTGACTGCACTGACAAAATTGGCCTCTTATTTATTGTTTCGTCATCTGCAGGATTTAATTTTATTTGTCTCGCCTACTGTAATTTCTTTCTTCATCTTTATCATCCATATAATTCTTTACATCTGACACCTTTTCGTCTCCCTATTTATCTTCCTGCATCCTCATCTTTATCTATCTATCTTTCTCTCTCTCTCTCTTTCTCTTTCTCTTCCATACATGTTAATTTTAGAAGTCATAATTAAATTAAAAAACTACATTTTAATGCTTAAATAATTCATTCTGCTGTACTGTCTCACATTGATAGCCTTCTGTATTCCATTTTAAAAAATAAATTCTTACATACTGCTCATATACTTTATTATAACTTTTCAGCAACGTTATATGGGTTGGAGTATGTGATAACCATAGGGCTACAGGGTCGAATGATGTTCCAATGCACGGTAGGCCCTGTCGAATAATGTTCCATTGTAGGCTAGGGTGCTGTATGAAGTTAGGTTAACGAATGATGCAGGCGATGAGTCATAATAACGTGGCTGATGTATGTTGACCAGACCTTGCACACACTAAAAAAGTGGAAGGACGACGTTTCGGTCCGTCCTGGACCATTCTCAAGTCGATTGTGTGGTCAATCTCAAGTCGAAACGTCATCGCCTCTTCACTTTCTAGTGTGTGGTCTGGTCAACATACTTTAACAAATGATATTCTGTTGCATGGTAGGTTCTGTCGAATGTTGTTCTGTTGCAGAGTGGGGTTCCATTAAATGATGTGGTAGGTTCTATCAAATGATGATGATCTTCAATTTATAATTGCTTACTGAGAAAAATTACTTACGGTTGTTCTGATGCAATATTTGCAGTTCCAATTGTCACATAAAAAAATATTAATTTTTTTATAATTCACTTCTTCAGTTCATAAATGTTTCTGATTTTATTTAGAGTTAGGAGTTACACTGTTAAGTTTTTATATTGTGCACCAATTTTTTTCACCCCCCATTATGCCTGAAATGCTCCACATATAAGTAGCTGTAGGCACTGTATTTGTCTTGTGTAGGAAACCTACACTGTTGTTTCATCTTTTGTATGTACTTTTTTCTAAATAAAATATTATTATTGTGAAAATTAATGGAGCATTCTGGGTCACTTTGGCCCTGTTCCGTAACCCACTGGACCACGATACGATATAAGTCCTAGTAGTCTCCGGTAGGTAGTCACAAAGTCTCTTTTGATAGTACAGTCCCAAAAGATAGTACAGTTGGGTTAGTTGTCGACTCGTAGTCAAGAATTCCGTGTTTGAATCCCAGACGGGACAGGCATGGTTGGACGCATTTCCTATTATCTAATGCCTCTGTTCACTTGGCAGTAAATAGGTACCCAGGAGCTAGTCAGCTTGTGGGGTTACATCCTGGGAAGGATCAGTAATTAAGTCCTGGGGGGGAGGGCATCAATATAAGCCTAACATGTATTGTATGTATAAACAGGCTGCCTGTCACCTGACAATAAATTATTATTAAATACTGAAATTTAACCTGGGATCCTACTGAATTCACTAGGAGTCTTGATCCACTGAGCTGATACCACAGCAAGTTTTTTAAAATCTCCAGATTGCTCCAATGATTTTTTCATAATGATATATATCACACCATTGTGATTTCCTAGTGATTATTATTATTAATTATTATCATTGTTATTATTATTTATTATTATTATTACAGTATTATTATTATTATTATTACAGTATTATTATTATTATTATTATTATTATTACAGTATTATTATTACAGTATTATTATTATTACAGTATTATTATTATTATTATTATTATTATTATTATTATTATTATTATTATTATTATTATTATTATTATTATTATTATTATTGAAAAAATCCACTAGGCCAATGAGGTGGATGCAAACCTATGTCCTTGGCATTGCCAAGCCGCATACTCTACCACTAGACCACCAAGGACTTAGAAAGTCATACAACCGGATTTATACTGAAATCACAGGAAGTCTGGAGGGCCCTACTGAAGTCAGTCTAGGTTTTCTGTATGACCCACAAGCACTCGGGTGGAAGGGCAGAGTGATCCCGCACCTTACACCTCAACTTCACAAACACAGAAATCATATTAACATGATATACAGTATATCAATGAGAAAATCCACTAAGGCAATGAGGTGGATACGAACCTACGACTTTGGCATTGCCAAGCCTACTTCTAGATCACCAATGACTTACTACTATGTTTCTTCTTTGTGCATCGGACAGGTGCTTGCATCTCTTTATCCCTAATTGCCAGTATACAGGAGGGGTTATCGGGATTATCAATACCGGTGGCCACCCGTCGCCCATGCATTTATTTGTTTAAAATTTGTAAAAAATCCATTTCTTAACATATTGGGATGAAATTTTCATGACGCTGATGCTAACTAACGAGAGATTTGTTTAAAAATGTTCAATATTTTTCATATTTGGAAAAGTCTCCACATTCACCGGGCCCCTTAAAATACTAAGCCATTTGGAGGACGTTGATCCGCTCAATTTCTTCAAAAGGTCAGATGTAACATGAACGAAGAGCAACGGTTTCAAGCTCAACAAACCATAAGAAATGCTTTAGGACGTGATGCGGTGGAGGCTGACTCCATACACAGTTTCAAATGTAGATATGATAGAGCCCAGTAGGCTCAGGAATCTGTACACCAGTTGATTGACAGTTGAGAGGCAGGACCAAAGAGCCAAAGCTCAACCCCTGCAAGCACAACTAGGTGAGTACAATGTAGGACAGAAAACAGGATATGCTTTTTCACCCATAGGGTTGTAACCCCATGGAATCGCCTACCCCCTGAAGCCGTAAACGCCAAAAACTCTGTTGTGTTTTAAAATTCAGCTGAAAAAGATCAGGGCAAATGGGGGGACCTTTGACAAGCCGCTGGCTTCTTGTCATCGAGGCCACTAGTATTAGCCTCAAGTAAATAAATTCAGGTAAAAGTGGATAAAGGCGGCCTATTTAAATTAAAATGTTATAAAACAAGGGGACATTAGTGGAAGCTGGATATACAAATGAGTCAGATGTAAGGAAGTTCTCATTCCCAGAATGGGTAGTAGAAAAATGGAATGCATTAAAGGAAGAGGTTGTCAAAACCAATTTCATAAACATTTTCCAAAAGAAATATTATCAAATTAAATGTTTATTTAGGTAGAAGTACATACATACAAGATTAGTTACAAACATAATGTAGGTTTTCTAGATAGAACTAGTACATACAATGCCTAAAGTCACTAATATGCACAGCGTTTCAGGCAAGGTGTGGGAAAAAAACACTTAAGACTAAAACTTAATACTAATTGAGATCAAAGCATAAATTGAGTTGAAAAAGGGAAAAAGGTGGGTGAGGGGGGGGGGGGGGGGGGACCTGGAAATCAGCAGTTATACAAGTTTGTCAGCAAACAGTATTGTTTGAAAATAGCAAGACATTTAGGGGTTGACATTAACATAATAAAAACATTAATACTGAGAGAAGTAATAATAAGTGCACTGGGTATAAATGGCTAGGAGGCAGAGTGTAAAGATCTAGCAATACAGTGTCTTGCTTCGCCATAGTCGGTGATAGATAAGCACTGCAGCAGAACCACTGTCGCCATGCTGTGACAGAACCTCTCCCTGTCACCATGCTGCAACAGAACCTCTCCCTGTCACCATGCTGCAACAGAACCTCTCCTGTCACCATGCTGCTACAGAACCTCTCCCTGTCACCATGCTGCAACAGAACCTCTCCTGTCACCATGCTGCAACAGAACCTCTCCTGTCACCATGCTGCTACAGAACCTCTCCTGTCACCATGCTGCTACAGAACCTCTCCTGTCACCATGCTGCTACAGAACCTCTCCTGTCACCATGCTGCTACAGAACCTCTCCTGTCACCATGCTGCTACAGAACCTCTCCTGTCACCATGCTGCTACAGAACCTCTCCTGTCACCATGCTGCTACAGAACCTCTCCTGTCACCATGCTGCTACAGAACCTCTCCTGTCACCATGCTGCTACAGAACCTCTCCTGTCACCATGCTGCGACAGAACCTCTCCTGTCACCATGCTGCGACAGAACCTCTCAATTCAGTAATCCAAAAATGTTCCTGATATCTGGCTTCATAGTCTCAACTAGTAAGGTAGAATAAATGCTGTATCTTCATTACTAGTAGAGGTCCCAGGAAGGAAACTGGTTTATGATGCAATTATTAAATGTATTGATCATTACTGAACTAAATAACCTATATTTGCAGGTGTGCAACAAAGAGATGAACAGTGAACACGCTTTATCTGAGCACAACCGCTCTGGCACCCATCAGAAGGTAATAATTAGTATAATAACTAACCAGTGAAGGACAGGAAATAGGATGCAATCTTTGTAGTAATTATATGCATAACAGTAGATGAACAGTATGTTAATAATAATTTTTAAATTGTGAATGAAATGATAATTAGATCACTGAGAAGAGTTTTAAGTTGGATGGGCAGTTGCTGTATGTAAATATATTGGTGGATAATTATAGGTGATTGGTAGATACAGTGAATATTTGGAAATGAGGTAAGTAATTATCAGAAGAAGGCTCCAAGCTGGGAAAACTATGTAGCAGTGGGATGAAAGTACAGTAGTTAAAAAACTATAGTAATTGGTAAAGATTGTGGATTAAAATTTGAATACATATAAATGCTGCAGTACTGTGTAGTAGCTAGAGATTAGTGGCATGTTAATAGAAAATTAATATAACCAGTAAGAAATTTATAAATTATCTAAATGTGATCAATAAATAATTGTTGGTATGTTAAAATTATAGTCTGTGCAACATTACTTAAGAGTGAGAATGTGAATTCATTACAGTAGTGTTTAAACTAAGTGGCAAATGTTTGAATGGAGACATTTTCTCTCAAACACATCATACAAATGTTAACTAATTCACGTATGCTTACCTTTTACCTTTGAAATGTACTTTTGTAAAATTATTTTACCTTTGAAATACAATATACCTTATAATCACACTTTGCATTCACTGTTTGGCCAATTAATCTTCTCATTTGTTTTTAAACACACTTATACATAAATAACAACAACATACATTCATGCTGATACTGTACACACTCATTTTATACTCCTAAATGTCTTCTTTTGCCTCCATCTTTCCCTCAGCACTTCGAGTCCTCCTAAAAATTCTCCTGTAGCCTTTCTCTACTCGCAACCAGACTTCTGCTATTTTACAAATCTAAACCACTTTCATACCCGAGAATATCATCTATAAAAACAGGCATTTCCATATTTTGCCTGCTGGAAATATTTCTTAATATACCTGTAAGTAATCTGCTGGTCATTAAAAAGAAGAGAGTAACTTGTGATCTTTTCTCTAGAATACTGACAAGGTCTACAGTGTGAATCCAGGAAGCTCATCAGCACTTGCCCAGCAGTACAAGAAAGATTCATTGCAATACAAACTGGCCACTAGTAATACTAAAGCTATTGGTAAGTTTCAGACAGTTTGATTACTTTTTGAATGTACAGTACATGTGTGTATGTTTATGTATATGTATATATATATATATGTATGTGTATATATATTGTGATGAGAATCTGGAATAGAGCAGTGGCTATTCTGTCAGGTCTTGTGCCAATCCCACATTAATAAAAAAAAAAAAAAAAATAATGTAGAACCTAACCTTACATAACATAACCAAGTCAGCAGTTCGTGTTCTGAATGTGGATGTGTGGAATGTGAAATCTATGCAAATAAAGGGACCTAGTCTATTGAACTCATTCCTTAACAAATTGAAAAGCTGTCCAACTTTTGCCTTATTCACAAATAAAACTAAAAAGTACCTAATTCTGATCTTCATAGTTTCCTATCTAGTGCTTTTAACTCGTACTGTATCTAGTGCTACCCAATCCCCAAATATATATGTACCTAAGTAATACAACTTTACCATTGTAATCATTGCTATTATCTTATACTGTATCATGGTTGTTATATTGAACCTATATTTTACTGCATTATACCTTGAAACAATCCTCAAATTATGCTACAATGTACCTGTTGATAACCCTTAATACTTAATACTGTTGATAACCCTTAATAATGTACCCTTAATGTACCTACTAATTTTGTCAATGTTTATACACAGTGTATTTTGTATACTTTCTTACAATGTACCTGTAAAGTTTTATTTTTTAATAGAAATTACCTACTAAAAATTACCTGTTAGATTAAGGATCTGCCCGAAATGCTATGCGTGCTAGCAGCTTTTCAAGAAAGTAAAACATCAATGCTATGTACTCTCATAAACCCAGTGTACCTTCTTGTATAAAAATAAATAAATAAATGGTTTAAAAGTTAATGCCAATAGCATATTGGCATTAACCAATTTTTTTTTTTTCAGGATTGCAATTTGTTGAAGAGTTCGTTGAAAGAGAAGGTGCAGTATCCTACTTCAAATGCAATTTATGTGGTGCTCATGGCCAAATGGAACCTATATATTGGCATTTGATTGGTACCAAACATACAGAGAAATATGCTGTAAGTTCCTCTTAAATATTTAGAATTACATGAGTTATGTGTATGCATATTAATACCAAAATGCATTAAATTATTTTCTTTCCTATAAGATAGTAGAAATTCTAATTGAACAGGACAATAACATGTATGAACTATTATGAGAGCAAAAGCCACTTCTCATTTCCACACTCCCAAATGAAAATAAGGACTGTACTGTATAACATTTGATGTACTTTTCCTGTTATCTCTATATATGTTACTAACACTTCAAAAGAATTTGCTTTCTTTTTATGCTTACCATAATGCACATGTCGAATATTAATCGAGTGATTAGCTGCAAATTTTATGCTGCACTTCAATCTACAGTACCTCTTTTTGAAGACTTAAGTGAAGTTGGCAGATTTCATCTTCATGCACTCCTCTCTTATCCATAGATTTTCTAAGTTGTAGTTTCAGTAGCATACATAATGTTACAGATTCTCTAGTTTTATAGTTTCATACTGGATTCCATCTACCTTGTAATTTCCTCCTTTAAATTTAACGTCCTTTAGCTGCCCAGAACACTATACGTGCTAGTGACTTTACAAGAATGTAAAACATCAATGTTATGTACTCTCATAAACCCAATGTACCTTCTTGTATATATCCAGTATAAATAATTAAATAAATAAATTTGTTGACCAAACCACACACTAGAAAGTGAAGGGATGACGACGTTTCGGTCCGTCCTGGACCATTCTCAAGTCGATTGTCTCACAATCTCACAATCATAGTCTCACAAGTTTCACAGTCGACTTGAGAATGGTCCAGGACGGACCGAAATGTCGTCGTCCCTTCACTTTCTAGTGTGTAGTTTGGTCAACATATTTCACCCATGTTATTGTGACTCCTCGTCTGCAAATAAATTTGTCTATTGTAAATAATTTTATCTATAATTCAGAAATAATTTCCTGAGCTGGTTCCTCTACCATATGTAACGTGTCCTGTTCCAACAGAACATAAGGGTTGAGAGTACATCATCACCTGTTACGGCGAAGAATCGAGAAGAGTACCGGAAGTTCATTATCGGTGCAGAGGGGCAGCGCCTCACAGATATAAAAACCATTATGGGTAAAGCTGTAAATCTAACTAAAATTTATAGAAACTATTTATTCATAAACAAATCAATATTCTTGTACAGTATTACAAAGAGTAAACACTGAGTATTGTAATTGTATATTTTTCAGTTGTCCTCATCAAATTCAAGATAAATTTAATTGTCTCTAGAACCTAAAGTTTATAAAATATACCTGAATGGTGCTATATCTTTAATGGTCTCAAAGATGACAAGAAGCTGGCTGCTTGTTAAAAGTTTTCCCATTTGTTCTGATGGGTTTGTAGAGCTGAATCTTACTTTGCAGCAGTATTTTGGCATTTAACGGCTTAGGTGGGTAGGCAGCTCCATGGGTTTATAATTCTATAGGTGAAAAATTATCTCCTGTTTTCTGTTCTACAGTACATTGTGGCTTGTTGAGCTTGAAGCCATTGTTCTTTGTTTGTGTTCCATCTGACCTTTTCAAAGTGTCTGGTTCAATATCCTTTGTTTAAGTTCATTATTTTTAAAGTTTTGATAAGATCAGCCCTATCATGTCGGATTTGCAATATTATTAACCCTGTGGCCCTCAACTTTTTGAGGTCTGAGAGTAAACTTAATTCTAGAATGATTTTTGTCACCCCAGTGATGAAAATTTCTCGAAACCAGATGTGTCTTTCTAAAGATGAGGTCTCCATGCTTGGATACATTGATCCAATTCAGGGTGCACCAGAGAGTTATACAGTAATAATAATTCATTGTGTTGGGAACAGGCAGCCAGAGTGCATTCATACACATTAGGATTACAATATATCGAGGTTAACCCCCTCGATATATATGTTTCTCTCTCCTTGTTCTGCCATATCATGTTTGGGATGCATTTGTTAGTGCAGTCTTTTTGTTGGCCCATACTTCTGATTCTCGCATAGGGAAGATTAATGTTCTTGTCTGAAAGTTTTTGTTAGTTTCATTTCTGGTAGCCACTTTTTATGGCTTTGACTGTTGTCATCTTTTCTAGATGGGAAAGTGGGGGAGAGCCCATTTGGTGGTTGTATGTTTGCTCCAGCTGAGGGGTTCCTCTTGTTCTGTGTAGTGGCAGTGATTCGCATTCCCTTCCAACCTCGAAAGGTTTTTAACATATACAGTATACCCTGCATATTTCACATCCAAGCAAAAATGTGCACAAACAGCCCTGGGCAGGGGATGCAAAATGGCATGTGCATTTTTGCAGTAATAGTACAGTACTTTTGTCTACCATAAGGCAGTATTACTACCATGCCTTATATTGCAGATGGTCATCTTTAACCTGCCTTCTATTTTTCCATGAGCCTATGTTATCCACATGCTTGCAGTGTTCTCCACCTTCTCTTCTGTGTCTTAGGCAGAGTTTAGTGTGTGTGTGGTTTGAGCATTATACTCTGGTGTTTTTTCAGTGTGGTACCTGGTCAATGTTTCCAGGCTGTTCCCTCCAGGGTTACATGTCACCTCAATCTTTCCATAGTAGAATCCTGTTTTCTTGTCCATTGTGAAATGGCTTCGGAAATCACCGAGGGAGTCTTTCCCGAAATTCAGTGTTAAATGTAATGAAACTTCACTTTCTAGTGGATTCCTGCTCCTGCCTTATCATTTTTGTTTGTAGTATTCAAAGGGTATGTTACATGGCAGTGTGTAAATGAAGGCAACAGCTCAACATTGGCCAGGGCAGCCACCTGGTGGTGAGCAAGTGTTACTAATTGCTGGTCACTTACCGCTACAGAGTGCTTGCACATTTGTGTCACAGTTGCCTATTTTGTCCATGTGGATGCTTGTTTTGTTTGGTCCTTCCTTTTTTATGTTTTCTCCTTTGGATTACTGTTGTAGTCTAGTCATCCCAGACTCCTCTTGCCTCCATTGATTCTGGTACTGGCATATAGTAAGTGCTTATGAATCTAAAGAGCCTGGTGTAGTAACCAGGGACCAGGATCTGGAGTTTTATCAGGTGAGTAGCCTTGGGAGCTACTGATGGACCCGCCAGAAAGAGGCATTACATTACATTCCATGCTGGTTTTTGTTTATATTTTGTGAATTACATTACTAAATGTGAAACATCTTGTTTTAGTTTATCAGCAGAAATTACTTCACTAGGTGTGGAACATTATCCATATGAATGGATTAAACAAGGACGAAAACATCACAGCAGAGCTGCTGGTGGCACGGGTACAAGTCAATCTGCACAGTCAGATGAAGAAAATATGCCCATGTAAGGAAGCAATTGTTATATAGTAAAACAATGTAAAAAAAATAATAACTTTCTGTACAATACTGTGAAAACATCATCTTAGTAATTTTTTTTTTATTCCCGTAGCATTCTACTTGATCAGATTTGGATTTGTGTTAATTAAAATACAGGTATATTTAAATTTGTTCTTTAAAATTGTTTCTTTTATAGCCACACCCATTGTAATTGTATAGAATCATCTTGCAATTTTGTTTTTGGTGTTGTATAGTAGCCTGTATTCTGTCTACTTTGAACTACTGTATATCAATACTACAAGAGGAAATGCCTGTTTGTGTGTTTGTCTGCCCAAAAGTTCCAGGCCAGGTGCTTGGGATTAGCCTCACCAAAATTTGAAGGGGTCATGGTCTGGGATACAAGATAGACATAGGCTGATAGATGTAGGTGTAAGTTAAATGCTATAAGATATATAGTCATGCCAGCACCCAGTGTAATTTTCTTGAATTTGAAAATGAAATTCAGGAATGTGTTGTCTGTAGATTATTGACATTATTCCTGCTGTTTAGCTGTGCTTGTTCTCACAGGTAAACAGTAGTCTACTTTATAAATAAATGGAAATGTTTGTCTGTTTGCAGTTTTAGCAGAAAGGGGAAGGGTAAGAAGATGGAGATGTGGTGTGGAGAAGGGGAAATGAGAGTGAAAGAGGGGGGGGTGATGCAGGGAGAAAAGGTGTGGAAAGAGGGGGGGTGATGCAGGGAGAAAAGGTGTGGAAAGGGGGGGGGATGTGGAAGAGGTGAACTATTCCAGACACATCCGGGTACTACTTACTAGTATGCATATGTACATCCACCAAGTAATTTATGTATATGTAATTTACCAAGTTAATGCAGCTATGTATGTGTGTATGTATGTACTGTATATAATACAAGTATTCTCAATGAGTCATGCCATTATGTAAATTTTATGATAATTTCGTCCATTAATATAAACACACCTCTTGCACCCCTACAAAGCCTATTATTACAACAAAACTCTGAAGGAACATTTTATATAAACTAATAAGTTTTTTCTTTCTAGGGAAGCTGGAGAAATTGGCCATGAAAAGAACATAGATGAGGCAGCATCACTCACAGGTAAAGTAACTTAACCTAAGAATTTACTTATGTGTAAGGTACAGCATTAGACATACTGTAAATTTAAGTACATTTACTGTATTGTAAGGTCATGAAGCTTGTAAGCTGTACCCTAGAGTACAAACTCACAAAACCCTTCCTTACTTTCTTATTTGAAGTAAAGGTATGTTACTTTAAACTATGGATATAGAACCAATGGGCATTTATACACCACTTCAATCACAAGAATGACCACGCGGGACCGGTACCATATTTTTGCCAAGAAACAAGCAAAGTGCGTGCATTACATTTATTTAACCACAGGAAAAGTGATAATACACACAAGGAACAATCTCACTCGCCAGATTAACGAATACAGTTCTCTTCATTTGGATATAAATGGAGGTCAATAATCTTACACAGCGAGACAAGTACCTCACGAGCACATACCACACATCCTCCGTCTCTGTGTGTACTCACCTAATTGTGCTTGCAAGGGTTGAGCTTTGGCTGTGTGTGTGTATAATTGGGGGAGTCTCAGCCCTCTCTCTCTCTCTCTCTTGTGGCGTGCAGGAATGCTCCTCACAAAAATGCGCGGGATAACTTTTACACACTGAATCATACTCATTTACTAATACATACTCTCAAACACAAATGAAACAAAAATTAACACAAATAAAACAAACTGATATTTTAAATAGAAAGAAACATTTACATGTACAACCACAAAAACTGAACTTTATGTACCAGTCATTACAGTACTGTATTTGGGTGAACCTCTTTTTAGTAAGCGATTCATTACATAGTTAAGGTTTCATAGTTTATAATAATTATAATATTTTATTTAGGAAAAGTACATACATAGTTGCAGAGTTACAAACATACTGTTGGCTTTATAGATAGAGCTAGTACATACAATACCTAAAGCCACTAATACGCATAGCGTTTCGGGTTTTGGTTTACTGTGGTTATAATTAATTTAATTTTCCCATTTCTAAGAGTATCTTTTTGCACAGTCTATAAAAATTTACCTGAGGGCCACTAACACACTAGTGTCCTCGATGAGGACAGGAAGCCTGCGGCTTGTCAAAATTCCCCTCATTTGTCCTGATTATTTTTTCAAGCTGGATTTTTAAGTTCAGCAGAGTTTTGGTATTTATAGTTTAATGAATGCTACTAATACACATTAATCATAAAACCCATGGAACTATCTACCCGTCAAAGCTGTAAATGCCAAAACTGTTTTAAGTTTTAAAATCGAGCTGGAAAACATCAAATCAAATGAGGGGACGTTTGACAAGCCGCCGGCTTTCTATATTTGTCGAGGCTACTAGAGTTAGTGGCAATCAGGTAAAAAAATTGCAGCAATATGCAAAATATTGCTGCTTGGGGTACTTAGTTACTAATTACATCTTTGTCATATAAACCTTAGCTTAAATTCAAATTCAAATTTTTATTCAGAAGAATGCATGTTTAAAGAACATAAAATAAAATAAAATGTTCATTCAGCTAAAAGTACATACATACAAGATGAGTTACAATCAGAATGTTGGATTTCTAGATAGAGCTAGTACATACTATGCCTAAAACCAATAATACGCACAACATTTTAGGCTAACATAGGAGTAATGTACAATTGTGGGGACAGGAGCTACACATACTAATGAAGCCACTATTACAAAGTGTTTTGGGCAAAACTTGCTAACAAAGGTAAAAAAAAAATAACACATCCAATAAAAATGTGATAATTAATGATGACAGGAATAGACTATTACATTATGGAGTTTTTAATTATATTTATGTATTGCTTTTTTATATATTTTTAATTTGTTGTGTTGTCTTTTTGACTGTTGTATTGTGTTGTTATAATCAACTACGGGTCTGCTTGGACCACACGCTAACAATATATTTGCCTCAGTTTATATTAATATACAGCCTTTTGATAAACAGTAAAATAGTGAATTTTATACTATATCTTTTAAAAAGCAAATTTAATACAAATTGTAATTATTTAAGTTGTGCTGCTTGGAGATGTGAAAACCACAATATTTGTGAGTAATGTATCAGTCTGATGTGCTGTCTTCTTTTAGTTTCAGAGGAATTACCAAATGTGTCTCGTGTGTCCATTGGAATTCAGGCACAAAATACAGATGTGGAGCCTTTGGAGAACATCATGAACAAATTATGTATGATGATGTCATTAGGGGATGACCCAGCCATTAACATTAAGAGTGATGAGGATGCCCTTGCCTGTCTTAACGTCATGAAAGATTTATCATTAACACTGTATGAAGCCACCAATTATAAATCATCACAGACTGTGAATCCGAGGGAAAGAGAAGAACTGGATATCCAAAAGATGGTATGGAATATAATGCTCAACAGTTTGGGCCTTTACTCAAATTGATGCAAATAGTTGATAAAGTATTTATTAATGGTACATTTAGTTCTTGCCATACATTGAACAATAAATTACCATGCACAAAATATCCTAATGACATGGAATCCTGTTGTCTCTTGTTGTAAACTCTGATTTTTCATGGTAGTCGTCTCCTTTATCACTTTATCATTGGATACATTAACTTATATTTATAACTTCAAATGTAAAATACTTCATATCTTAAAGTAACTACTATATATATGCATAATTTTCATATACAGTATTGCCATTAATAGCTTACTATTGATATACAGATTATTTGTATAATAATAATGATAATTTTATAAGAAATATATAGAGCATGATATATTGGATAATTATTTGTTATAGTTTATGTATGCCTAATAAAATAACTAATATGCAAAGCATTTCAGGCATAACTTAAAATAATTGTTTATTTATAGCTTTGATTGGGTAAACACTTAATACTTAATGAGAAGTAAGGTAACATATATGAATTGTTCAAGAAATAATAATAATTTTGCAAATGATATATCAATTTTATGTAATACTTAATGAAGAAAGTCATAGACTGCATTATTATAAAATCTAAAGTTTCAGCAAATGGACTGGGATAGTATTTAATATTTACAATGACAGAGAAACACATAATATACTTACTGTGTTTTGGATGGAGAAATGTGAGTGAAATTTGTTACATGATGTTATTCCTTATTGTGTAACGGGTTGAGAGAAGTACAGTTTTTACTCATACAGTATTTTATAATGTTCCATAATTTGTGACCTAATTTGCATTGCATTTTTGCTTTAGTCTGCAGGATGTCCCATAGGACCGAAACCAGATCCCATAAATCTTAAACCACATCCCATATGTCTGTAACCACATTATATAAGTTTGTAACCAGGGCCGTCTTAACAGCATTATGGGCCCCTGGGCAAACCAGTGTGCTGGGGCCCCCTACGACAACCACTCACAGGAATAGAAATTACAGTAAATGGTCGATAATATTAAGCATATCATAAATTTATTTTATTGGCACTTCAACAAAACTGGTGTTAAAACATTAAAAACCTGCTGTAGAGCAGCAACTCTACCAGTAACTAATTCCAATGGTAAATTATGTGAACGAGAGCTAGGACATACTCTCCAATACTATATCTGTGATTGCCCTGTTATAAGTGACTTCAGACCAAATGGTATGAGGTATTTTGAGTTCTGTAAGTACTTCATACACTGAGGAATATTGGAAGATATTCTGGTGTTGTACCCAGATTTTGCTAGTGGAGGCAAATGGATCAGCCATACATTTCATTTCATGTTCTCTCCAGATTTTTAGTCAGAGTTGATTTGTTTTGTATTGAGGCTGGTATTTTCTCCCCTGACTCCATGTATGACTAAACATCCTGAGATAAGAATATTGGATGAACTTATAACTAGTTTTTTATCTACACTGTGTAATCTTTCATATAGAATACGGTAGCAGCACATTGCTGTGTAAGTATACCTAAGCTTGTTAATAAAAAAAAAAAATTAAAAAATCGGGTTTCATCATTTCATACTATGGGGCTAGATTTATGAAACACCCTAAAATGCTATGCATAATTTGTGCCTTTACAAAAAATATAAATACTGTGCCTACTATGAAACTACTGTAATCAGTTCCTCTGATTTTTATAAATAAAATGTTATTTTTATGATGGATTATATTATTTAATTAATCAATTGTATTTTCTCTTATTTCAGAACATGTCCAAAGTATTGGGACGTGTGATGCAACGACTCATACCGCATCATGAGGCTCAGCTCTCTACAAAGTTAAATCAGTGATTGTTATATTGATTTTATTGCTCTTCCCCAGAAAATATTTGATTGTGTTAAAACAAAGATATTGTACTGGAAATACTGTATATTTTATTCTTATTCTTCTTGTTCATTGAGGAAAGTGTGATTTTATCATCATTATTTTGTTTGTGTATCGATGGTCATGTAGAAGAAGAATAGCTTACTTTTTAAGCGATAAATTTTGCACTACAGTATATTTATTGCTGGAATATATTCCATTAAGGTAAGTTAGATTTGATTTAGAATATCTGATGATAATGTAGAAGAAATATACAAATTATAACAATATTCTTCCTATTTTCCTCGAGGATGTTTTAGATTACATTATTACTTATTCAAATTCATCTCACAGTTGGTATTATTTCTAATAAAATAACAGTATCAAATTTAATTTTAATTTGTAGTCAAGGCATCCTGTGCTCTTCATACAGTATAATTTGATTGAGTATTGTTCTTTCTGAATTTGGCACCGAGGAAATGTCCTGGTTGTGCCCATTATGTATTGGGTAACTGGTTGTGCCCATTATGTATTGGGTAACTGGTTGTGCCCATTATGTATTGGGTAACATGCAAGGCTACAGTATATTGTAGTCTAGAATATTTTTGTTTTTGAATATAAGGGTAATCTTTGATTATGATGTTCTTTCAATTTTATGGTGAAATATCAGTCATTAGTAAAAAGATCTGCAGTGATATAATTCTTTTTGCATTACAAGAACATGAAAAATCTGATTGTAAATGCAGGCAATTTACTTTTTAATAAATGTGTTAGTAGTTATTTTATTTTATTAGCCTTCTGGTGTTTGTACAATGTACTGTGTGTTATAATAAATTGATATGGGCAAATTCATTACAACCCCATATGAAATGTGGTCAAGACAGCTGAAGGAGGACTAAGTTGTGGCTTTATGTGGGCCCAGGACAAATAGTTGGAACCATCAGAAGCCAGACTAAATTAAACCATTTAGTCCCAGTCACTAAATGCTGGTCAGCAGCTTATATCATAGTTCATATATTATGCACCAATTTCACCATCCTGTATGTGGTAATGGGAAAATGTTGAGGCATAATGGGTTCAGTAACAACCCCAAAATTCATTCAGTTTATTATTTATTTATTTATATATTTATATACAAAAAAGGTACATTGGGTTTATGAGAGTACATAACATAGATGTTTTTACATTCTTGTAAAGCTACTAGCACTCATAGTTTTGGGCAGGTCCTTAATCTAACAGATAATTTTAAGTACTGTAGATAATTTCTAGCAAAATTGAAAAAATATTTACAGGTACATTGTAAGAAAATTTGACAAAGATCAGTAGGTACATTAAGATAAAATTTGAGGGTTATCAACAGGTGCATTGTAGCATAATTTGAGGATTATTTAAAGGTATAATGCAGAAAATATGCGTTCAACATAACAACCATGATATTTATTATTTATTTATTTATTTATTTATTTATACAAGAAGGTACTTCCGCCCCACTGCCTTCGTGAGTTACGTCTGAAAACTCTTTGAATGTATGGTCAATGTCCGTTTGATGTGTGGTTCTTAATTAAAACATTATCACCACTTCTCTCCTTCTCAATTTGGGATTTGCAAGTGTCGCAGCACGACTGATGTCTTGGTGAACTTGGACGTCTATATTCGTACTGCCTTCGCTGCGAAGACCTTCCTCGTTGCTGTCTTTTTTGACAGCTTCTTTTCTTTTCTCCCTTCCCTCTGGCACTTTCTCAGCTCTATGTGGACGATCTTACCCTTTGCTGTCGCGGTGATGACTTGCCTTTCCTCCAACGGCGGCTTCAACTTGCGATTGATGCCGTGTCGTCCTGGGCCACCAATTATGGCTTCAAGTTCTCTACAACTAAAACTTGTGTAATGACTTTTACTCGAAAACACGTCGGTCTTCGTCCACTTTATCGCTTTATGGTCATCCCCTTGTGTACAAAGAGTCTGCTAAGCTTTTGGGGTTAATCTTTGACACTCGTTTGTCTTGGTCACCCCATATCTCTTACCTCGGAATTGAATGTTCCAAGGCCCCAACTTGCTCAAGGTCTTGCCCTGGGAGCTGACAGGCGCACGCTCCTCTCCTCTCTCGTGCTGTCTAAACTTCATTATGATTGTACTGCTTACTCGTCTGCCTTTCTTACTCTTTGCCGTCTTGAGGTTCTGCACCATACTAGGTTACGCCTCAACTCTGGTGCCTTTCTTTCGACTCCTACCTTAATAAGCTTGTATGTTGAAAGTGGCATCCTGTCGCTACAAGATCGCCGCAAGACAAATGCAAGACCCTGCATGTGGAACACAACCACCCACGCCACAACTACCAAATTAATAACATTACATTATAGCAGATTGATGCAGAAAAGGACATTGAAGTCAAAATCCACCACTCAATGAAAGTTGCACAGCAGATAGGAGGAGCAGTCAAAAAAGCTAACCAAACATTTATAATAATCAAGCATACCTTTGACTTCAAGGAAAAGAAGGTAGTGATTCAATTGTATAAATTTCTGAAGCCTCCCATTTGGATCACTATTTAAGCATGCGGGTCTCATCTTCAGAAGGACATGGCTGCTCTGGAGAAAGTGCAACACCGGGCAACAAAAGTCATTCCAGAGCTAATTCAAGTTCAAGTACGTTTATTGAGACAAGAAAATATATCTCAAAGGGATTACGCTATTTCTATCCCAAACAGTCAGCTACCAGGATCGTATCAGGAACGTAGGAACGGTTGAGGGCCACGTGGGTAACAACCCTGCTAGGCATGAAGAGTGGATCTTATTGAAACTTAAAATACTGAACAATTTGATGGATGTTGAGTCGGAAAATTTCTTCAAAGGGTCAGATATAACAAACAAGGAGCAACGGTTTTAATTATCCTAAACAAGCCACGTTGAAGGACTGAGAACAGGAGATTCTTATTTACCCACAGGGTTGTTAACCCATGGAACCGCCTACCCGCCGAATCCGTAAATGCCAAAACTCTGTTAACTTTTAAAGTACATCTGGAAAAGATTATCAAGGCAAATAGGGGGGACCTTCGACAATCCGCCGGCTTCCTGTCCTAGTCTGAGACTACTAGTGTTAGTGGCTCAGGTAAATTAAGGTCAATATAGTTAACTTAATCATGTTGAATAATATTTATTGCGAGATATTTTCCATACATATTTGATTCCGAAACTCTTTCTCTGTGTATTAATTATATTTGTAATTGATTTTACAACATTCTTCATGTTGGGTGGCGGAGTTTACTTGAAGGTTTTCCTTTATCTCGTAACAAATGGTTTCGAAAACGTACGTGCCTGGAAATATTTCCGGTTTAAAAAATGTAACATTCAACCTAATTTTCTCATTAAATCCGCTTAGCTTATAAGTATTGTGTATAAAAATCTTTAAATTCCAAATAATTTGATGGTATAATAATTATAATAGACTGAAAGTATAGTAATTTGTGGGGTAAGAGCGGTAGATATACAGAACGCGAGGGGGATATAAGAGAAGATGAATCATCTGGTCGGCCAGAGAGTGTAATGACAGTAATGTGTTGACCTCCTCGGCTCCCTCAAGACTCCCTCCCCAGCCATGTCACCTCAGAACCACGAGCAGGTGGTGGCCCAGGCCGTCGCCAACAGGGTGAGTGAGAGGCCAGGAAGGAGGTGGTGAGGCCCTGGGGAAGTGACGTTGTAGTAGCGGAGGCTGATGCACTACACCTCTTGTCATGACTATTGTCCTCTCAGTGTTCGCAATATTGGTGTCCTAAACGGGCGCTGGTGGATAATATTTATTTTATAATAATGCGGGTTCACCCATTTCAAGGGTCACGTGAATTGGGAATTTGTGTGACACTTAATATTAATGTAGGAAAGAATTAAGGCTCAGAGCTTTACCCATAAACATGTGTGACGTCACACCAGTGAGAAACATGTAATACACATGTATAATTGGCAGTGAATGATTGAGGCAGAACATGCATATCAATAGGCTAGGACATTATCAAAAAGTGTCAAGGAGGTAATCCTCAATACTGTCTTTTTAAGATGATTAGAAAAGTCAAAACATATTATACATACATGCATTGTATGTACTAGCTCTTATCTATAAATTCAGCAATATTTGTATCACCTCTTGTATGTATGTACTTTACCTGAATAAACATTTGAATTTGAATTATGCAAATAAATGTTATTCAAATAACTGGTGACATGAATAAAACACATAACACTGTTTAACATATTAGGTTCAAAGAAGAACTTGACTAGGAAGCCAGTATTCCTAGCAGGCAACAATAAAGTGCTGTCAGCCACAGACACTGCTGTTAAATTCAATAGTTTCTTCTCGTCCATTAGCACATTCCTTACAAATGAAATCCCAGCACCTGTAGCTAATGTTAATGACAACTTCAGAGGCAGCCATCCTCAGTTTCTCTACCTATCTCCTAGTATTTCCTCAGATGTTAATGTTGTAACCCTTTCACTTTCAACTAATTCAAGCACCCCTGCTGAAATACCAACCCTAATATTCATAAAAACTTCACAGTCTTTAGTTATGGCTATTGCATTGCTCTACAAGTCACTTGAAGTCTGAACCTTCCCTGATATTCTATAAAGAAAACTAGTGTAATCAGTCAATAAAAATTGTTGATCTCACTGAAGTCAACAATTTTAGTCCAATATCAAACCTGCCCACCTTGTCCAAAATATTTGAAAATAATGTACAAAGAGCTTTATTTCTGTATAGCTAAACACAGTATAATTAGCTCTTGCCAATATAGCTTCAGACCCTCCAAAAAGTACCAGTGATACTCTTTTTTTTTTTAATATACTTGACTTAATACACTCGGCTCTTGGTAAACATGAGTACAGTACTCTGTTGTGGTTCATTTGTTGACCTGCCAAAGGCTTTTGATGATGTTAACCACAGTGATCTTCTCAAACTGCAACACTATTGAGTCAGAGGTCACTCCCCCTCAATTCCTGAAATCTTACCTCGGTGACAGGCTCCAGTATGTTTCTGTGAAAGGCGCTACTTCTCTCACCCATCCAACTAACATTGGGTGTTCCTCAGGGTAGTTAGTATACTTGGTCCATTCCTCTTTTTCATTTACATTAATGACCTTCCAAATGCCACTCAACACCTCAAGCCAGTTTTGTTTGGTGATGACACAACCTTCATTTTCTCTAACCCACTTATTCTAAATAACATTGTGAATACTGAACTAAAAGTCCATCGGTGGCAAACTGCTAACAAACTCGCCCTTAACGTTGATAGGAACATGAGGTCCTGTGATGTGTAGATTTGTGAAAATTACGTGATGTGTAGATGGGTGAAACTGCTGTTGTGTGGTGTGAATGTCCACTTGCTACTGTGAACATTATTACCAGCATTGTGTTCACTGATATCTGAACCTTGTACATAGTCTTTATTGCAGTTAGGGTTTTCTATGACACGTTAATTGCACAATACAGTAATGTTATTTATTTTGTCATTAAGTATTGCTGTGAGCACAAGCTGCATAGTGGTACTGTGAGCTGCAGCATGTGCTATCCGCAGTCACTTGCTCAGTAATGAGGCCCTCACATCTAGGGAGGGGGTGCCCACAATTTTTTATTATTTAAATTGGTGTCTGTTTACTGGAGGCCTGAGGAAGCAAATATGAGCCCCTGTGTATGCGTGGGACTTTTAAATCTCACGTGGTACATAAAATCATCCCTTTATGACTGATGTAGTGTGGTCAGATATGGTGTGACCATCCCTGTACGAGTTATGCAGTAGAAGGGTTAAAATGAATGATTTCAAGCTCATTCCAAGTGTACAATACAGTAGAGGTGGTTGACATCAGCTCAAGTAAGTATTTTAATGTAAATGGCCCTTTTAAGAGAGATACTGCACGTGTAAATTACGTATCTTTTAATACAATACAGTAATGTATGTTACAGTATATGCAGCATGAAATCTCTTCTATAATATAGGGAGAATTCATTTGGACACTACAGGGCAACAAGGCAACACAATTTTCACTTCAAAGAAAAGTAAAAAAAAAAAAATTGTTATGCATAATGCATTTTTTATTTTCTTTAAAATAAAAACAAATTATTTAGAGTAAAAGACAGTATAGTAGAGTAATTGCTATCATAATAGGCAAATTTGAGCAATAGCTGGATGCAACAATATTTTGTATGTGCAGGATGGGGGGGTCTAGTACAAATTGGTTTATTTAATCAGGAGTGCAGTGTACCATAGGGTTTATTTTATTCACTACAAATCTTTTCATATTTGTTTTTAAGAAATGATCAAAATTTAAACAGATATAAGTTTAAAGTCCATTACAACATAGTACTGTACTGTACGATATTAGAACATTTAGTGTCTTGAATAAAACCGTTTTGAATTAAGAGGTTACAATGCCTTGCAGTACTGTAGGGCACTGTACAGTATATCAAAAGCATTGGGGGTGCTGGAAAACAGACTTAGAATCTTTGAATATTAGTTCCTCTTAATTAAGTTGCACTCTGTATAATTGCATCGTTCCTGCTTCTGTTGCTGAAGCACATTTTGTTTTCCAGTATCAAAATGCAGAGAAGACGAAGGTGGACGTCATGACAGCCCTCCACAACTATCGAGGACTATCACCAAAGCTTGACAAGTTTGGTAAGGTGTGCCTGTCACCTTGTATGGGAGAATATTCTGAAATATTGCCCTTATCTAAACATAATGTTGGGGTGCCAGTATGAAAGAGTATTTAGAAATACAGTATTGTCATTAGGCAATCCAAGATGTCATGTTTGGTTGCCAGTGATTGTAGTTAGTTATTATTAAATTAATAAGTACCATATTAGCATTGCAATAGACTGGCTCTCTGATGACATTGACATCATCAGAGACATTGACGAGTCTTGGGTACAGTTTAAGCTTTTGATTCGATTCCACCAAAAGGGGATGGATGTCTGTTATGGGTTCCAAAATCTACTAGAGTACTGTATCTCTAAATATCTTTAAATAAATTTCTTTAACTTGAATGACCCATTTTGTTAAATCATTGCAGATTATCACTAATTATTGCTTTTTTTTTTTCCTTTTTATTTTTTTTTTGTTGTAAATACAATATGGCTATAATAAATCCAGTGTAATTTGCCTACAGCAAATTCTTCAAAAATATAGTACTCTATATTGGATTAATTTTTTTTCAGGTTTACTTTTTCCTGTATTTATGTACTGTACTAAGATATTTTGTTTATCAATCTTGTGTCAAGCATAAATTGTGGAAGATCTTAATAAACTCTTTGTTTGGCAAATAAAGGTTACCTATTTTTTACCTCTTGTATTTTTAGTCTTTAATGATGGCACCGATCGAGAGTTGTTGAACCTAGATGGGACGATCCCAGTCCGTTACAAAGGTGAGGGAGCGTATTAGCAACACCACTGATGCTCACGTGGCTTGAGGTTTGGCAGTGTACCATCCTGGGTTTGAGAACTAAATTATATATTTTTTTTAAAGTTTGAGCCAGTTCTGTATAGTTTATTCAAAATGTGTGGTCATGACCAAACGTCTCAAGCCTCAAGATGGGCTGTCATCTTGTAAGTGGTTTATCAGTATCATTTCAAGGAAACAGGTTACCTTTTGTTGAGATTCTTACCAATGGACTACTAAATTAGTTTAATGTGTTTCCTTCAAATGATGCCTTAGTTTCATAGATAAGGTACTGTATGTTTTGATACCTCATTTCCAGTGTAATGTTTCACAGCTTGCTCATTGAAGCTGTACATTAAAAACATTCAGTACTTTATGGATTAGCAGAGTTCAAAGATAGTGGAGAGTACCTAGAATGTTTATCTACTTGCCTTTATTGTTTGACCAATTAGTTTTCTAATGAATGATGGCATTCTAAGTATTCTTGCTTCAGTGAACAAAGCATTGTGTGTCCTGGCATTGCCAACTCAACCCTCACTGTATTTTTTCTTTTTTCTTTGCAAGTATTCCGCAGTGGCACTTCACGCTACTTACTGTGTCTTGAAGGCACGATACCTGTTACGTATAAAGGTATGGTGTGGGGTGTGGCTATTTAGTTAACTTGAGGCAAGCAATAATAAGCAGTACTGATCATATTTAGAGTCCATATAGACAGTCCCTCTGGAGTCTAAGCTAGAAATGTTCAGCTTTAAGAAAAACTGAGAGCAGTCAAAATATTACTAGTCTCTGGGCACATTTTGTGGCACTAAGGGTACTCTTTTGTTGAAAATTCTTGAAAATAGTAGGGATTTGAAAGATGCATGGGTTCCCCCTACCTTGGTTCTTACCTCATAACGCTGCTGCTCCTGCACCACTCTTTGCTGTCCTGTAATCCTGTAACCTTTGCATTTTGATATTAAATCTTTGAACTGTTGCATGTATAAAATATTCATTAATGTATCTGTATTAAAAATAAATGCATCACAACTAAGACAATTCTACGAAGCGTGTTTAATTAGGGCCTATGAGGGTGCTTTTTGTAGAAATTTGGGAGACTTGTGGATAATGTATTGGCAGTTTTACTGTGAACTATACTTAAAAAAATGGTTAATAAACTGAGTAATATTCAGGAGCGTTACAGTGATATTTTTCGTTGAGTAAAATTACAGTAAGTTCATCATGTGATGCATTAATTTTAAGTTGCTTCAGCAGTATGCATCAAATGAAGATGTGTTTTTTTTTGGCCAGCATTTCAGTGCTGATTGGTGCCAAATGATTTTAATGTCATTGCATTGCAAGCTGCCGGGGGAAATGCAGCTCACCACCTCGTTACCTTTAGCAGCCATGATGGGAAAGGGGGAATATCATGTGGTTTGCCTCCTAGGTCGTTTACTAGGCCAATATAATAGATGATGTATGATGATTTTTGTATTGTTTTTGTATTCAGATTATTTCTTCATATGGGTTTTAGTTAAGGTTAGCACATGACAATGAGATTATTACATTTCAGGGTATTTTCCTTGCTTTTACATACAGCTCTTCAATTTCATAATATAAAAATATATTTTTTTTTTATTTCAAATGGGAGGGAGGGAATTATCAGGGAAAGTGCCAAGCCATTACAACTATAGTATATAGCACGTGGAATTGGGTCAGGATAAGGATTTGGGATGGGATGGTGAAAAAGGAATGGTACCTAACCACTTGGATGATCGGGGATTGAGCGCCGACCTGCATGAAGCGAGACGTCGCTCTACCGTCCAGCCCAAGTGGTTGGGCTTGTTTCAAATGGGTGTAGCTGAAATGTACCCATCATTAACCTGAATTGTGTGTATTTTTAGCATTAAAATTTCTTTTGTTTTGCATCTTTGGCTTTAATAATTTGTAGTCACAACTTAGAAAGATTTTAAGTAACCAAAAGTTTGTAATGATAAAAGTAGCTTTACAGTATTTTGCTAGTCTTCCACCTGCCTAACATGGGGGAGAATCTATTTAACAAGACCTGCGTGGAAGTAGATTTTTGGGAGGTATAAATGCAATTTTTATATCGGAACTGGTTTTTACTTGTGGTGAAATGGCTACTGAATGTGGAATGTAGCATGAAAGGCTGGTTGTATGTTGTGGTACTAATGTTCTGTGATGCTGCCTAGCGTGTAAGGTAGAGCACTTGCCTAACAGCGATTACCGAGTAGTAAGTTCTAGTTCCTTATGTCCCACCTAGTAGCCCAGTTATTCATATACAGGTATCTCAAACCCTCATATGATGATTGTTATTTCTTGTGTGTGGGTGCCTCCCCAACCTGTGAAAGCAGATGGGATAGTGATGATGCCTGGAGATTTGTGCCGGCATTTCCAGTTAAAAGGGTTGGAAAAGAGAGTTCATTTGCTTATCATATACTGTTGGAAATATTATTAGGTTCTAGTATTTAATTTTTTTGTGCTCCTGCCACTATTACCCCACTTACAATTTTCATTGGGTAGAGAGAGAATAGTCCAGAGGAAAATAAGACAGCAATGTAGGAAAATAAATCCAAGATTCGGAGACTTGTCAGTTTACCATATCTTCCAAACACATTGATATATTAGCATCATATAGAATTGGCAAAAGTCCCACTTTCTGACTACTACCATAGCTAACAGGGCCAAGATCACAAACATAGGGCACACAAAGTGCAATCAGGACCAATATCTGCAGCTGGTCTGTACAGTGAGTTAATATTCTTGCTAGACATATTTTTCAAGCTAACAATAGAACCAGTCTCCAGGTTATCAACAAGGACCTGCTAAATGTAGTAACCAAAGCCACTTATCAGCAAGGTAAAAGAATCCAAGTTGATCCTTATCACATCCACTGCCTTTCAGGCTGCAGATTAGTCTTTATGAACTGACTTAACCCCATCATTGCTCAACACAGCATAAACACACAAAATAAATTGATTCTAAAATAATGACCTACAAGCCATCCATGCCTGTATGATTGACAAAAAGTGTCACAAGACATTGTTATCTTTGCAAGCTAATAACGCTGATAAATATCTTTTTAGTGTATATTTAATTGTGAATCATACACTCGGGTAGTGCTTCAGCAATGAATGCTCTTTCAAATCAATGGTACTGTAGTTTGTAATGGGGAAAATGCAGCATCTACTCGACATAACACAACTATGAAGACTGTGATGACAGAGTTGCAAGTGTGAATTGTGTGAAGGTGCCTGCATATGAATCTTCCCACTATATGAAGAGTGGAAGAAAATAAAGTGGATGAAACTTAATACTAATAAAGTAGCACAAGAACTCGTCAAAGGCGATCTCAATTCTCTGATTCGACACCAAACATGCCAATTTTACAAACCTGCATTTCCTAGCATTACCACTAAACGCAAATGTATGACCCTCCAAAAACTAACAAATTTGTTTGACCCATTGTGACTGCACTAGCTAAGCCATCATCTTCAAGCCACATGACACTAACAAGACGTGCCGTTCCAATTGTTGCAAAGGGTGCATGGAAGCATACCTCTTTGTTCATCAAAGTCTTAAATGCCCTCAGGATAGGACACAGACTTCCCAGATTTCTGTTTTGGGAAGTAAATACTCAATATTAGGCCTATACAGTGTTTACATACCTCTCTTAACAGCCTTACCTTCACCTCATGTCATACTGAATAAGTGGTCACAACATAATCCTGGTGTACACCTATTTTAATATAAAGTATGTCGCTAATTACCTTTTTATTAATTAGCTAATTACGAGGGGCCACGAAAGCCTGGTGGATAGCGCGCAGGACTCGTAATTCCGTGGCTCGGGTTCGATTCCCGCACGAGGCAGAAACAAATGGGCAAAGTTTCTTTCACCCTGAATGCCCCTGTTACCTAGCAGTAAATAGGTACTCGGGAGTTAGTCAGCTGTCACGGGCTGCTTCCTGGGGGTGGAGGCCTGGTCGAGGACCGGGCCGCGGGGACACTAAAAAGCCCCGAAATCATCTCAAGATAACCTCTTAACTCTTGCATTGCACTATTTTCTAAATAGATTCATTTCACAGCACTTAACAAAACTTGGCTAACTCCATGAATGCTTATTACTTAAAAAAAAAAAAACCTTCTCTATTATCCTTATACTGTATTATTCTTCTGAAGCTTTGGACATCTTAAAATCTTTCTGATGTGCTTTCTCTACTAGCTGTCTTGATGGAAATAACTGATCTACACTCACCTTCTACCACTAACCTAAACCTGTTTATTGCTGATCAATTTCTCTCTAATTTTTTTTTTTGTTCCAGTCAATATCTTACCATGTTCTGTACCTTCCCTATTACATTTGATAAATTTATGCCTCATTAATTTCTGACACACTTCCTATATTCTCCTTTATTTTATTTATTGTGTCACATCTTTCAGTCCTCTAAAACAGTATCATTGTTAAATGCCAGTCAACTAATTCCTCTCACACACCATTCTATTTTTTCCACTACATTAAATAATTTATGCATATACTGTACTTTGACACTTGTAGCTTTACATATCTCAGGTTCGTCATTGATGTATTCTCCTCTTTCATAAATTTATCAATTGGCATATTATTTGCACTCTTCTGCCATCATCAATTCCAATAGTAACTTCCTCCCATTAGACTATATAACAAGAAATATATATATGCTCTTCACTTATCTCTTCTTCACCATTTAACATTTTCCCATGTCGGTCTTAAACATTCCCATTTACCCCTCGCCAGTCTCTACTACATTTCATTACAGTATTACAGTATAGTCATCCTACCAAAAAGTTCTTCTCACTGATGACCAAACCACACACCAGAAGATGTTGAGACGACGATGTTTCAGTCCATCCTAGACCTTATCAAGTCGATTGTGATGGGAGCGAGGGAGGCACGGGCATAAGTAAGGCAAGGGTGAGGTGAGGAGTAGGTGAGAGGAGGTAATTCCTAGAAGAAGGAATTTCCTCCTTTTCCTTCTCGTTCCTCTCACTTTTTATGCCAGTTTATGCAACTCCACAGAAAATAGGCAACAATACACACATTAATGCCAGTTTTGATAGTAATGCATCAGTAACAGAATTTAGACTCATTAGTAACACTTGTAGTTTTCTCTAGGTCAATAAGTACCATTATATTGTAGAGTATGTCACATGTTCGTGTCATTTCTCCTGTCAGTGACAGAAGTCTTGGGGTCGGCTATGGTTCTGGTGTAATAAATAGTTAAAGAATAAATTTGTATATGTTAGAAAACGTTGATAAATTGAGATGCGCTCTAATATGGGTGTACTGTTTTAATCTTGTTGTACTTTTTCAAGGAACATAACTTTAAAACTGTCTATTAGTCATTAAAGGTGGTGGTGGTGGTAGTATAGTAGTTACAAGATAGGCTCAAAATTTCTTCTTTTCTTGCTAAATTTCATTGGTCATTTTCCAGTATGGCATGGTTTTATTTCAGTTCCTTTATTCCTGCCAACTGTTTGAACCTTAGGGAGAGGAGAGGTAGGGGAAGAGCCTTCTGCTTTTCTGTCTTTTTTCTGTCTTGATCATGTTTGTTCAGAGACGATCTACTCCAATACGAGTGGCATTAGTAATATTCCTAGCAATGAAATGTTGGTATAGATTCAGGGGGGCTTCTGTTAATTTCCCATAAAGACCTCGCAAAATACATTGCTGGTATTATTGGGAAACGATGGCAAATTTAGGGACAAAATTATAATGATTGTAGAGATTAATAGAGATAAGGCTCTTAATTATGCAATATTGCTATGAATACTCTAGATATACCATATCCGACAGTTACACTGACAGGAGTGGTGTGAATTAGTGTTCTTAAAATCTTACTTGCAGTGTACACTATGTTAAAAAGATTGCCTATTAAGGCTCAAGCTCCAAAGTTTCAAAGTAATAGTCAGAGCATAAAACTGTTAAAGGAATAATTATAATCTGATATTTTTGGACCAGAACTCAGGTGTTGAACTATTTTTCTGGTTACCGGAGCTATGCTTTATGGAAGCAATGTTTATCGATATTTATAACTGAATGTCAAATATGGTGGAATGAAGTATGTTTATAAGGGAGTTTTAATTTCTCAACTTTTAATATGTGGGGAAAAAAATTCTGCTATTTTGGGCCTAAGACGTTTACTACAGCAAGGCGGCGATCATTGTGAATATTCATTACGGAGAACCTTTTGATGCTTTTATTTGTCACTGTTTTGTAGAGTAGCAAAGGTAATGGAGAAATTGGCTTACAGAAGACAATGCAGACATGTATGCTTTCATGCTTTGGGGGAGGTGAATGCTAAATTATTTGTTTTGCGAACTCTCTGCCCTAAGTGCTGTTTAAAATAGAGCACTGATCATCATCCCTAATTTGTGGTCTATAATACTCTAGATATGAATACTGTATTTTGTTTGTTTTAGCTTCCAAAATGTAACCTAGTTAACAATGAATGTTAGTTTATGTGAATTTATTAGCATTCTTTTTTGGTTATTGGATTTAATGAAGGCAGTGTATGTGACTACGTGTATTTTTTTTTAGTCTGATTCTTGTTTAGCTAGTTAGGTTTGGGGATTGTTGAATTGTTTTGTTTGCACTTGAGCGTGAAACTGTTTGCACGAGTAGTTTGCCAACTTTTACTTTTGCTTTTTATGGTGTAGTTTTCTGCATGCATTTGACACTTTATTTTGACTGCTAAAGCCAGTGAGGACCTTTGTTTTGTAATAAGTTTTTACTTTCAGTGTGGGTTATATGCTTTGCTTCAGCTAACATTGTTTAAGGCATGCTTGTTGTTATTTTGTTTATAATTTGACAGTTTCTTGGATTATAATGTAAATATGTTTTTATTTGTAGTTTTGTGGTTTAACCCCTTCACTCCTGATGTGCTGGGTCTGTCACAAACCTGTTTTCAAGAATACATTGACATACCTGGCACATCAGTGCCTCAGTTATTTCCCTGAGTAATGTGATTACCTTTGTGAAGGCGAGGTGCTTATCTTGCCCAGAATGTTACTGGCATCACGTAAGCTCCACCCAGCCCCCTCCCCCCCTCCCTGTCACAAACCAATTGGGTGTTTTATCCCCCCTTCTGCCAAGCCCCTCCCTTCCACCCCCTCTAGCATGCATCATCGAACTCCTCGTGCCTCAAAGATTAGTGGGGGGGAAGATATGACATCGTTGTTGTGGAAGGTTTAAAATGGCAAGACACTGACAATGGAGATGACGGTAATGTCTCGGATATCTCGAAGCCAGGCAGAGAGGATGATGACTTGCAATCTAGTATTAAATGAAAAATTAAATACTTTTCTTGACTGAAGTGTTTAATGTCGAAGTATGAAGTATGTTGCTGGCATCATATAAGCTCCACCTACCCTGTCACTTAACTAGTTTTGTGTTGTATCCATCATAACTCCCTTTCCCTCGCCCACCATCTGATAAACAATCTTTGATCTCTGCCTTAACTTCTGCACAAGTTGGCATCCCTCGTGACGTGGGTACCGTCGGTTATAAATTTATAATTTTACACGAAGATCTATAATACACTTTTTTGAAGGCTAACAGAATGGAAAATGAATGTGCCATTAATAGTGGTCAGTATTACCCACAAATTGAAGTCATATTGCAGATGTGTAGCAATTGCTCGATACGACACTAGAGAATCAAATCTACACGATGGAGCGAAGGGGTTAATTTTTTTATGTGTTGGTAGCTGCGTGTGTCTCTGTGTTAATGTTTTTTTCACTTAAATTATTATTAATTTTGTTTACTCTTAAGCTTATGCTGATAATGCAGTTTGGGATATGAAACATAAATTACAGGTGTAGGGTATGGCAAAGTGAGTGTTGTGATAAAAATACAATAGTTCTGCTGATATTATAAATCCTTGTTATTGTCCCTTATTTTAATGTAGCACAAAGGACATTTGATTAATATAGTTTTGGCCGCTATTTTATTTATATTTTTGATCTTATCAAATTTATAAGTTAGTGTAAATGACAAATTATTCTTAATACTGCAGTAAAATTTGATGGCTAGGGGGTCATGATTCATATACTTAATTGTTGTTACTCAAAATCAAATTCAGAGCTTTGCCTGCAATTTTGACTTCTTGTAAACCTGTGCATGGTTATCTTATAAAGGCATCTTACGTATTATTCAGGTGCAGTTTACAACATTCCAATCTGCATATGGCTGTTGGACAACCATCCCTTTTCCTCTCCCATGGTATATGTCAAGCCAACTCCAGACATGCTCATCAAGGCCTCTCGTCATGTCGACCAGAACGGGAAAGTGTATCTTCCCTATTTACACGAATGGAACTTGGTAAGGGGCTTTTTGACCTTCAGATGTAGCTCCTCCATTTGCCTTTTTAAAAGCCAAATAATTTGGCAATTGTCAGTTTTAATGTGCACTGTATCCCCCATCTCTATGGTCAACCTATTTGACCAAAGAGATGGGGATTATTCACTTGTTGATTTCACAACTTATAATTGTAGATATTTATTATTGTAGCTATGATTAGCCTTTAGTGAACACTGGACACAATTCTGTTTGCCCTTATCACATTTGTTCTCTGTTTGCCTGTGTTAAATTGTTGTTCTCTATTTGCCCTTATGGCATTATTATTCTCTCTTTGCCCTTATTAAAATGGCTGTTCTCTGCCCTTATTACATATGCTGTTCTCTGTTTGCCCTTGTTATATTGCTGTTTTCAGTTTACAGCTATTACACTGCTGTTCTCTGTTCACCCTTATTACACTTCTGTTCTCTGTTTACCCCTAATTGTCTCTCTTACCTTGTATTCAATGCTTAATTTTCATGCAAAATGAGGTATTGTACATTTGCTCATAACATAATACTATAGTAATATAGTTTAGGCTGGTGTAATTAGGTCAGCGGAAATTTTTGTATTTATTTGGGACTAAATAATAGTTGAAATGAAGGGCTACAGGTATTACTTTGAAAGGTATTTCAACTGCTCAGTTTACTTGCTTTCATTAGGAATGAAAAGAAGGAAAGCATTAGGAAAAGGGGTTGAAAGGCACAAGGAGTTGAACCTGATCTCTTCCTTGACCTTTCACACACAGTAGTCTCACAGTTGGTTAACACTTGAACAGTCTGATGATACATTTTAATGGCATCCACAATTATTTATTTTAGGTTCTAATGACACTTCAATGCGTCGTCTGATCTCGGAATTTGGTACACAATTTGTGTATTTGTCGAGAAGCGTTGGAGAACTACTGGACTATTAGCCAGAGTAAATGGGGGCAATGCTTAAAACCCTGCTTGGGCTTCAGTTGTAAGCTTCAGGAATCCTAGAGGGTTCAGTGCAATCCCTGGTTGAATTGCTTTTGACCATGTCTTGGTGTGGTGGTCTAGGGCACCAGCTTGGGAGTACCTAGTGAGCAAGTTAGAATCCTCCTCGTGGCTCCTACCAGTTTTCTCATTGATACAACACAATAATGTGATTGCATTGTGAATATGACCAGTGTTTGCTTTTAATGAAGATTATTAAACTTGTGGCTAACAGCAGTAAGGTAAATGTAAACTGTTGAAGTAAACAAATTAAAATATGTACCTCTAAGAATTTGTCAGTCTTTGCCACCAGAACTATCTTTCCAGGTTGAAAGAAAATGAGATGAGTAAGGAAGAAGTATTCTTCTTGAGGAGTAAAGTGATGTCATTATCCTTATCTGGAATGTACAGATATTAGGAATCTGCAATCTCTGTGGCCAGGCTTTTGAAACACCCTGTACACTTTCTTGTTCCAATCTTCATCTCATACTTTTCTAGATACTGAAAACTTATTTTTCCTAACCTAATTTCATAGTTCAGTGGATATGGATCAACATCTGCCTTTTCAATTAATTTCCTCTGTGAAATCATTGCTTATTTCTTTTAGGCATTACATTATGTATTCCTGTTACGTAGGTCATAGATCCCTTGTATTTTATACCACTCGTATGAAGTTTACAGAGAAAACTTTCTACTATGATATTAAGCTTTTTTCAATCTTTACAGATGAAAGTGACTTTATTTTCAGAATTCATCAGATTTGCCGGGTCTTATCCAGATTATGATCATAACATTCAGTGAAATGCCACCAGTATACTCCAAGCCTAAGAGTGCACAGCCCGCCACAGGATCACCGTATCCCACGCCATACCCTACTAACCCTCCAGGTGTGCTCTCTCTCCATATATATGAGTCTGTACATTGTGGGATAAATGGGGCTTGAGTTTGGATTTGGAGTGTTTGGGCCTGCCAGTTAGCACCCATTGTTGAATTGTATATCAAGGTGTAGAATATAATGCAATACAATAAGTTGTTTTTCTGATAAATGCAGGGCAATAGTCTCCTTGAGCTACATATTTTGGCCTTGATGTAAGATAAAACATTAATGCCAAAATAGGTGAAGCACTTAAATTCAAAGGAAATTTGCATTATCGATGTTATGCAGGCCAAGTTGGGGCTAATTACATGGAAACCACTGACAGCTTGGCTTTGGCGGAGGCCACTCTCACGATATGAGAACAAAACAACACGCCAGACGATGAGGAGACGACGACATTTCGGTCTGTCCTGGAGCATTATCAAGTTGATTGTCAATTTGTTACTGGTCCAGGACGGATCAAAATGTCGTCGTCTCCTCATCCTCTGGTGTGTGGTTTAGTTTTCGTAACCCAGAAAGACACTTTTTTTTTTATTTCGCTTAATTTTATATTTTTTAGGGGGTTAAGAAGTGTTTTTTTTTTTAGTAATGTTTAGATATATATATTTTAATGGTAGAGGAATGAAAAGTTGATTTTGGAATAGAAGATTATTCAATATAACCTTAATTTAATTTGTACCAAATTTGCTAATGTCTTTTATGAAACACATCTGTTGTTGTTGTTGTTGTAGATTCAGCTACTGGTACTTGGAACAAAAGTTCCAAGTAGCCTTGGGTATGGTGAGCCCATAGTGGACTTTGATGCTTGTATCAAGTACCTACTATGTATGTGTGTATAATTTGTAACATTATTTGCCATTGTGATTTTGTTCATTTTTAGATTTTTAGTTTCTACCACAGATGTGGCCAGTCAATTATACAGTGCTAACCAGCATATATGCATTTTCTTAGTGTCTTTCAGGGACTGGATTAAAGATCTGTTAGACAACATATAAACTAGTAAGTTACTGAATACTCAATATCAGACAGCTTACTTTTATTTACATTTTCTGTGGGGAGCCCTGTCGGCTTCCTGGAACTTTCGGTCTGATATGCGATACATTATTATAGGGCATTAGTCAATGGAGTTCAGCCTACCCGGGGACCACAAGCCAGAACCTGGGGCCAGATTCACAAAGCAGTTACGCAAGTACTTACGAACCTGTACATCTTTTCTCAATCTTTGGTGGCTTTATTTACAATTATTAAACAGTTAATGAGCTCCGAAACACCGGGAGGCTGTTTATAACAATACTGTAACAACAGTTGATTGGGAAGTTTTCATGCTTGTAAACCGTTTAATAAATGTAACTAAAGCCGTCAGAGATTGGGAAAGATGTACACGTTCGTAAGTACTTGCATAACTGCTTCATGAATCTGGCCCGTAGACCCCTCAGAGAGGCACAGGGAGCAATGGCCTCTGGAAAAGCCCCCCCCTGTGGTTGGGGGTATTCCTTCTATGCCATCGACTGGGGTTAGGAACCCAGACAAAACCCGTAACAAAACAAACCCCACTTACCAAGTGAGGTTTGTTTTGTTATGCCTACCTTTCTGGGTTCCTAACCCCAGTTGATGGCATAGAAGGAATACCCCAAACCACAGGATGGGTTTTCCAGAGGCCATTGCTCCCCTTGCCTCTCTGAGGGGGCCAGGTTCTGGCTCGTGGTCCCCGGTAGGCTGAACTCCATTGACTAATATATCACATATCAGACCGATAGCTCCAGAGAGCCTCCAGGCTCACCCAGAAAATGGGTTTTTCATTACATTCAACGCTGGTTTTTTGCAGGATATATGCCAATGCCTGGAGGTGGTCCAAGCCTGCCATATCCCCCAGCTCAGCCAACCGCTTCCGGAGCGTATCCGCCTTATCCATCACAACCTGGCTATCCACCCACAAGTACCCCATATCCAGTCTATCCCCCAACTAGCTCAACAGGGTACCCACCTTCCCAGCCTGGTGGACCCCCTGCAACCTACCCCCCACCATACACCCCTGGAATACAATACCCCTCATATCCATCCACCACCTCTTCGAACCTACCTACTCAGGTGAATCTTTCTTAACTCTTGTGCTGATAAACTGTTAAGTGTGAAGTATATCCATGGGTAAAGAGGTTTTAAAAGGACAAAAAAATTAGTAATCAACTTGCCCTATTTGAATGTTTTTTTTTCTGTGAAGAGCCGCTACGGCTTCCCGGAGCTATACTGGGCAAAAATTGCTAACCGAAAGCCGAACGAGCAAGCAGACCTCCCCAATCAAAAAACGAGCAAACAAGCATGACACCACAGCCTCCACGCTGCTGTCTGCGCAACTCCCACCTTCCCAGGAGGAGAGAGGGGGTGTTTCAGACCTCCCATGCTGGCTACCCAACCCCAGTTCTGAAGGTGTTATGTTGGGTGGCGGTCGATCGACTCGGGCTCCAATCCTTGAGCATAGCTGTACCTGGTGGTGGTGTGCTGTGGTGTGGTTGTGTGCGAACCAGGAGTAATTCCAGAAGTACTGGAGCTGCATGCGCTTAGGGTCCCCCCTTCCCTAGGTGCCCTGTAAGTACAGTACTACCCTTGCAGTTTAGGGTTATCTTCCATAAGCCGTTCGGGAGCTACCTCCACAGGGTTCTTTTGCTGCTCGGTGATTGCCCACCCTTGGGGTCAGTTGGGGTTGTTCCTGCCTCTATTGGAAATCAAGTTGTGGAAATCATAAAATGCAAATGAAGTGCTAAACAAGTTGAATCTGAATCTTGGGTTAGGAGGTAGTATCGTCACTGGCTGGGGCGCAAAGTACTGTGCAGCTGTCTGATACAGGCATACCTCAGTTTAAGAGTTTAATTGGTTCCTGGAGACGCCTCGTATTCCGAAAACTCGTATACCGAAGCTAATTTCCCCATAAGAAATAAAGGGAAATGAATTAATCCGTTCCTGACTACCCCAAAAACCTCACATCAAACTAAATTTTTATACCTAATTCATCTAAATGAACCTACAAAACTATGTTCAAGTTATTACTTACCTTGCGGTTGAATGCTGTAGGCGTATGGAAGATGGTGAGGAGGGGGGAGGAGGAGAGGAGTTACTGTTTGGAAGGGGAGTCCCCTTCCATTATCACATCAGGCAGTGAAGACCTTTCTGATGTGCTCTCCCTGGGACGTTTTATCTGAGTGCCACTAGGTCCTGGTTGAGGCTCACTGCTCGATTTCCTCACCACAAATCTGTCCAAACCCTGGCTTTCTCACAAATAATGGCCTCCGAAACACTGTCACCCATTAACTCCTTGTGTATCCAAATTAATAACAACTTTTCCACTTCAAGTATTTGTGGTCTTTGTTTCGTTATTGTTCTGACTCCTTTTGCCTCTTTAGCACTCATAATCTCATTTTTCTTCTTAAGTATAGTGCATATTGTTGATGTGGCTTTGTTGTACTGCCTACAAAGTTCAACAACACGTGTACCGTTCTCATGCTTCCGAATGATCTCTTGTTTCTCCTCTATTGTCATCCTCACATGGGCTTTCTGGCCTTTATCCTTACCACTGGCTTTCTTGGGACCCATGGTGAGATATATAATAACAAATTATGTAGTCAAATCACCAAAAATCCGCGAGAAGAATTGATGTGGGGTAGTCACTGGGCGCGAGACAATGGTAAACTGAGGGGCGGAGGGGTGGAGGGGCGACGATCGCCGAACCACCACGCGCTGGGGTCGGCCTGTACGCGTATCAACAAACTCGTGTCCCAAGGTAACCCTCGCGTTCTGAGACATATTTTTCGAGGAAATCCTGCTCGTATTCCGAAAAACTCGCATACAGGGACACTTGCATTCCGAGGTACCACTGTATACACATAGCTGGCAGTTTTGTTCCCCTGTGGACGTTGTGCTTTTGCGGGGATTTTCTTTTCTTTTTGTTTTGTTTGCCTTCTGGGGGTCTGCCTTGTGTGACTGTAGGTCCACTTGTATTTTTGATGGCCCTCCTCTAGGTCCCCGTGATTATACACGTCGCAGGGGTTCAGCTTTTAGTGTGTTTGCTTGGTAGCTCTGGGATAACCGGTTAGCAGTACCTTGCCTGGGCTTTCCTTAGCAGACAGCCTAAGGGGCCCTGGAAACCCCCATTGGGGCTCATTAATCCGATGGACGAGACCTCCGAGTCCCACCTCGCTTTGTGCGAGTTTGAAGGTTGCTCTGTCCCCTTGTCTCAGGGTGACATTCACCATCTTTGCCTCCTCCATGCTGCCTGTTGGGTCAATGACATCTTTGACTCGGAGTTTTGCGAGTGGTATTCCATGCATGTACTCCAGTCCACTGTTACTGATATTTGGGTGCAGGCAGCGTCTGCGTTGCATGCGAGGTTTTGGTTGCTGCAATGCGCTTGGTTGGTTGTCTTTCCAGATGCCCTGCAGCTGCCCCATTTGTGTTATAGATGAGGGCCTCTGAACTGGGGTTGAGTAGCCAGCGTGGGAAGTCTGGGACTCACCTTCCCCCCCTGGTACCCCCCCCCACCAAGGGGGGGGGGAGTTGTGCAGACAGCGGTGCAGCGGCTGTAGTGACGTTATGCTTGTTTGCTTGTTTTCTGATTGGGGAGTTCTGCTTGCTTGTTTGGCTTTCGGCTAGCAATTTTTCACCAGCTGTATTTTTTTTTGGGGGGGGGGGGGATTCCTACCTTTCTGAGTGCCTGAACTGGTAGATGGCAGATACAGACTGTTCCCAACCACACTGGGGTGTCTATAGGCCATTGCTCCTTGTGCCTCTCTGAGGGGGGCCAAGTTCTGGCGCTAGTCCTTGAAGGCTTGGAACGCCATTGATTGACTGTTGCCACGGTCTAATATATATACACATCAGCCCGATATAGCTCCGGGAAACCTCCAGGTCTCACCCAGAAAATAGCGTTTTATTTCATTCAATGCTGGTTTTTTATGATAAATACAAAGGTTTGTAATTTTAATTTCTTTTAGGGTTTTAGAATTAAAATTTGTAATATAAAAGTTGATAACAACGCCAGATATTTGTTTGAAATTTTGTTTTATCTATTTTCCTTCCTAAGTCACTTTTTTAATTTTTCCTTTGTGGATACATTGTTGAGGCTGTCTGAGCCCCAGCATATTGGCAAACCAAAATGTGGAATTTGACGGCAGATGGTTTTAATGCTATTGCAGTCCTAAATGTTATGTTCATGTTCCAGTACGTATAATAATGAGTTAACTTGCCTTGGCACTTTAATAAACTAATGCAAACCCTCATACATGTCTCCCTCCTATAAATAATACAAATGATGTTTTGTGTTATTCATTTGTGAGTTGGCCTTATAACTAGTTTGTCTTGCAGCCCACAACTACTGAGACAAATACAACAACTGCAAGTACTGGCACTATAACAGAGGAGCACATACGTGCATCGCTAATCTCGGCTGTAAGCGACCGGGTTCGTGCTAAACTTCGTGACAGCTATGGAGGTGCTCAAGCCGAGGTCTCTGTATTGAGGCAGCAGCAAGCTGACCTTAATGAAGGCAAGACCAAGGTTGAGGGACTGATAAGCAAATTAGAACAGGAACAGGTAAATTTCGTGAAAGCTATTTTGTTGCATAATACATGTGTACAGTATATTTGAAGTGCAAAGGATTTCATTCTTAAGTTGGGCCAGCATTGGAAGGAAACGGGTATCATTCTTATTGTTCTACCATAGGTAAAACATCGTTTAGACATGACCTAATCGACTGTTTGCTCAAATATATTGATTTTCTACTGTTTTAGGCTGAATTAGACAAGAATGTAAGAGTACTGAGGGAGAGGGAAGCAGAAATCAAATCTGTGCTGTCTCGGCTCTCATCTGCTACAGAGCCTCTAGATGTTGACGAGGCAGTTACCACCACCGCTCCTCTTTACAAACAGTATGTATATAATTGCTCATTAGTAAAACAAGAAATTGTTTTACTAATGAGAAATTGTGATTTGGATTTTTTATTCATAAGTATTTTTATGGAATTTATCAGTACAAAAGTGCATTGTGCTTTTAATAATGACATGTTCTCTATTGTGTTAAGAACTAGGACTTTTATTCATTTTCAGTATCTGCCATTAAGTTAGTTTGTAATGCTTTTACATATGATGGTAGTTTTGATTTTTTGGAACCTGCATATCTTGTTTGTTAACATCCAGTCAGCTTCACTCCACTTCTCTCACATGTCTTCCATGTCTTATGTCCTTGGAAAAGTGCAAACCATCCTCTCTACAAAACACGATCCACCTACACACTCTCTCGTTTCTTTCTTGCATTATGAAGCTCCCATTTTCACTTCTTAGGTTATTTCACCTTTTGTCTTGTTTATCCTTTCCATTTTTATTCTCTGCTTATGCCCAAGCTATCTTAACACTTTTTCTAGTTATATTTAAATGTGTTTTGGTTTCAGGCTATTAAATGCATATGCTGAGGACCAAGCTACACAGGACGCTATTTATTACTTGGGCGAGGCATTACGACGAGATGTGATTGATTTGGACCTGTTCTTGAAGCATGTCCGCTCTCTTTCTAGGAAGCAGTTTCAGTTGCGTGCAACAATGATCAAGTGTCGAGCCAAGGGCAATATGGCTGGCTAAGTTGTGGAAATCATAAAATGCAAATGAAGGGCTAAAAATGGTTGAATCTGTTAAGAGGCAGAGCTAGATGTATCATCCTTTTAGTTTTGTAAATTAAGTTTTGTTAAGTATCATATATGGTATTAGAATATGGTTTTAGAGCAAGATTTGCCTGGTTATACAGTCAGCATCGCTTGTTGCCATTTTTAGATGTGCAATTTCTCCACCTACAACCACATCTGTGGTTGTTTTACGGAACATCACAAGGTTGTGTGTTACAAGTAGGCCTACACATCACAGGGTCGTGTGTTGCAAGTAGGCCTTCACATTCAGTTATTGTTGTGTTAATGTTCATCCATCACATTTCATTGGTTACATATTTTGGATCATTACTGTATTTCCATTGTAGAATTTTAACAAATGGTTCACACTAAAAAATGATTAAACTTCTAAAAAAATCATAAGAAAATGTAAGCAGATTCAATTAGGGTTTTATCTAAAAACCAAATGGTAATTCCTGTAATAGGTGTGTTTAATATTGCCTCAGCCATTAATAATTATATAAACTCATGACGTTTAGTAAACAGAATCTTTATTTCTTAATTTTGCACAGAAATACAATTCCACGAAGTGTAAATAAAGGAATTTTTATATGCCTTTAAGTTCATATTTTGTTTTGTGAAATTAAGCAGCAAAACGTGTTTACCACGAGTTGTCACGCGTTGACACGTCCTGCTAGGGGTTGCTGGGGATAGTGATCATTGTTGTTAAGAATTTAACATCTCAAAGTGGCTAAAGTTCTCATCTTTTCCAGCATTTTATTTCATGCTTTGACCATTAAGAAAGGATTTAGTAAGTGCAGTCTGTACTAGAGTACAGTAATTTTAACTAAATTAGTTTGGGTTTGACATAGATCATGGGTATGAACACATGGGGGCACTGCTTGCTTGATGATGATTGCACTGTAATTATACCTTCTTTCATGTGCTTCAATTGAATTTTGTGTTTCTTATACACTCAAAATTTTCCTTAACCATAGAAAATATAAATTGCACTAAATATTTATTATTAATTTTGTTACACAAAAGTTGTCACAATTGTCTGTTTATATTATATCTATCATATTTTTCCAGTTATCACTGTTACTTGTTTTTAATACCATATATGACTGATAGGCTTAGTAGTGTTACTGTTTTGCCTTTGCAATCAAGGTTAGCTATTTGGAGTGTTGAAATGTCAAGTGGACGTGTGTTTTGAGAGAGCTTGAATGTGAGAACTTTTCAAAAGATCTGCCACTATTAATGTATTATATATTCTAATAGTTCTCCTACATTATTGCTACACTGCATTTACCAGAAGCTCACCTGTTGTAGAGATAGGAGAAAAATGCAGTTGTAGATTTAGTATGTCCTAAAACAGGGAATGTATAGTAATCAGTACCTCAGGTTTCAGAGAAGGAATATCACTATTCAAGAGTATTCAAAGTTATTTGGAGGACTTTCAGACCTAATTGTATGTGCTTTAGTTTAGTTTTGGGGGCAAAGTGTAGCAGTGGCACTTGGAGGAGTCTGCATATTTGTGGGGATTGCTCTGACTCAGGTAGGGAAAGGATGGGTTTACATTATGCATGCCTTGTAGCAAGTATCTGCCTCTGCATTAACTGGGTGCTTCATCATCACAGTTGCATCATGTCACACGTGCATGTTGTGTCGTGGAGTAAGTCATGTCTGCACTGCCGAGTTGCATTATCAAGTTCACAGTCTGTGTTATGCATATTATTTGTGGTGTTTTGTTTTATTATATAAGATGTTTCAGTATTATATCGTTTGGTTTTTTGATTTAGGAAACGTTATCTGCAAACTGATTAAAATGAAATATTGCGCACATGATATATTACATGTGCTATATTTTATTGTTTCTTCTTACTGAGTGCAAGAGTAAGACAGCATAGGGAAAGTCTACATGTCTAGACCACTGACCATGTCCAAGTGGCCAAGACCAGAAGATGTAACAGCAGAATGAACTTTTGCCAAAGAAATCTTCGCACTCATGTTCCATTGTGCTTGCTTTAAATGCTGACTGAACGGTGAATAATTGGCTCCAGGAATAATGACCAATGCACTTGCAATGCATTGTATTTGCTTTAATGGCTGAATGAAGAGGGCATAATTGGCACTGGGAATATTGACCAATGCATTGTGTCCCAGGGAGCTGTTGCTCTGGTCCAGGAAATATTTTTTCTAAGTCACTTGAATATACTCATGACAAAACTGTAATACTGTATATGAAGTTGCACATTTTTGCTTTAATATGTATAATTGATTCAAGACTGTTTGTGTAGCATTTCCATTCATGTTGAGCATCCCTTTGTATTTTGAATTCTTTTGATTTTGTAAGTACTTTCTCATAAATAAAGTTTAAGTGACTAACTACTTGTCAGTACTATCTTCGTTTATACCTAAGTGTCGGCACTCCAGTATGTCTTGCTGCATTTTATCTTGCAATGCATTTGATTTTGTTGAGAATAGTCCGAGAGTAGTATTGCTTCTTTTGTGATTTGAGACAGCATTCTAGGTAAAGGCGACCGCTGTATTTTAAGAAATATAGCATAACACTTCAGCATTAACACTTTCACATCACTTTTTTGTTCTTCGGGTAAACAATGAATGATGTATATAATAACACTTGTGGGTAAAAGAATTCTAACATGTAGGTGACTAAAAATTTACACACAGTCTGTTAATTGAAGGGTTCTTGTAAAGTTTTGAGAATTTCCTCCTAGCCATAGATGTATAGATGAGAGTACTACTAATTGTTTATGAAATAAAAAGAATTTACGGTAGCTTAGCAGGACAGTTTTATGATAATTTTAAAATTATTACAAGTTTTGGTAGTGTATTGGCATTGACAGTAATTAATTTGTATAAATGCACGATCGTAATTATTTATAGTTGCAAGTGTGTTGAAGGTAGTAATTTGTAATTTTAAAGATTGCAAGATTTATAATGTTTAGTAACTAATGGAAAGTTACTAAGAATTACATTGTCAAGGGTGGCAGTGGTATTGCAAATGCTAGCAATAATGTTGGCAAGGGTGTTGTAAAGTGCCAGTGGTGGATATTACAAGGATGTGCAAGTAGTGAAATTAGCAAATGTATATCGAGTGCCTGTGGAGGAGTTGGTATGGATTGTAATTTGTTTGATAAGACTGATTTCTGAAGAAATAAAATAGTTACTCCTAGTATTAAAATATCCTCTGCCTATTCCTCTCACAGAAGTAAGTTCTGAAATGGTAAAATAATTAATATCTAATACGTCTAGAACCGACAAATTTTTTCCAAACGCGAGCGTGCTTTTTTAGTGCACAAATATGTGTAGTATAAATTAAATATGTAAGTGCATACATGCATTGTAGAAATATTAAAAAAGATTTTTATAATCAAATTTATATATTATAATAAATTTAAATTAATATTTCTCAACATTCATTTGCCGTCACAAAATGAAATGGGATTGCCTTGCCTCATTACATATTCTTAACCCTTAGTGATGCTTTCAAATTTTAAAAGCTTTCATCTTGTATAAAAAAAAAAATGTTTTATTAGGAGAGGAATAGATATGCAAAAATCCTTAATTTTATTTGTGTTCATTGAGATTTTGAACCTGTTCAAGTTGACTGGGAATATAACTTGGATATGCTCTTCAGCAGTTATAAAATTTGTATTAATTTGAAAGGTGGTACTTATTAAAGTGAGGAAATACAAATGTGAATAAATGTTTTGTATATGATGACAAGCAGGTTCTTTATGGCCAATGTAGCAATTGTATGGATATACAGTGTACTAATCTTTGTGGATAACATACTAAAAGCACAAATATAGTAACATGGTGTCATGTGTGATCTGTTTTTGATCAAGTAACGGGTATACGTATGTGTGAGTGAGAGGAGTTGTATACTCAACAGGTAGTGTGTGTGTGTGTGTTTTGCACTTATAAGCAGGTAGATGTGTGATGGACCCTCTTGACAAACTTGCTGACTGGCCAAGTAGTCAAGAATGTTTATTAACCCCCATACCATTTTTTTTATATAGAAAAGATTATAAATTTATTTTCTTGGAAAAAACATGTTAAAATTTACACAATTAGACTTTTAATTCAAACTAAGTATCGTATGCTAGACTATATGGGCCTTCTGTGATTGGTGACATATGACTGAAGCTCCTCAAACACTACACAGCTTTTATTCTTGTAGAGACATCTATCATCAATATTATCATATAAACTTGTAAGTGGTATTTTTATTCCAGTCCTTGCATAGTACTGTATTGCATTTTTTTGTGATCGGCTAGCGGTACATGCTTATAGGAGCCCCGACCTTCCTGGAGATGGTATAGATAGCAGAGTGACTCAAGGAACAAGGTGCTAGTCAGTGGAAGATTACTGTCAAGTTCTGCAGGTTGGTAAAAAACTTCAAGTTTGGCTCAAAAATTGTAAAAGTTTATATCTTATAAAACAAATATTCACACACTTTTTCCCTCTCTCCACTCTTGCCCTTCACTCCTATCCTCTTATCTCCTTCACCACTGACAAGGGTGTTGTTCCATGGTGAAGCTTGTGCACAAGTGGAAAATATTAAGTATGTTAATAGGGTGTTTGTGGACACTTGCAATCTGCACCATAAAGATGGCAAGGGTGCTCAGAAATTATGCTAAATGTGGAGAAAAGAAAATAGCTTGAAGTTTAACAGAACATGTAGGATGTACAACCAGAGGGAAGAAGCTAGAGAATGAGGAAAGTGCTGGATAGGAACGAGGTGACTAGGCAACAGAGGAAGTAAACGAGATGTGAGGGTAAACTGGCGAAAAGTTCCTCTTAAGATCACATAGTCCTAATAATCCAAAAATATCTATATGGCTGCGCCTTTATAAGCAGTCAGCTTAATTTGTATTCCTTACTGGTAGGTAGTATTCCTTACTTACTGGTAATGTATTCCTTACAACAGCCTTACTGGCTGTTGGGCCTTGAATAATCAGCACTCTATGACCAAACTACACACCAGACGATGAAGAGAGGTCGTCTCTTCATCTGGTGTGTGGTCTGTTACATAGAGTTACATTCCTGTACAGCCACTAGTACGCGTAGCATTTCGGGCAGGTCCCTGGAATACGATCCCCGCCGCGAAGAATCGTTTTTACAACCTCATTTTACTGTTGAATTAAACAGGCTACAGTTAAGGATTTGCGCCCAGTAAATCCTCCCCGGCCAGGATACGAACCCATGACAAAGCGCTCACGTAACGCCAAGCGAATGTCTTACCACTACACCACGGAGACCGGTGATCATAACTTCAGCCACGTTATTGTGACTCATCGCCGGCAATCAGCACTTCCACTTTTTGGATTAATCTCTCACAAAAGGAGTTCCACAATTTGCAGAGCAAAGCTCATTTTCGTCTCTTATTACCATGTTTTTTTACTACTTGGGGCCAATGTGTTCTCATGTTCAGAGTAGCCTAACATTGACGTTATAGTGACTGCTTCCTTGGCGCGAGCATTCTTTAAGTGTTCTAAATATGCTATTACTCGTTTTCGTCCTGTCTTAATGACACAAGTTCCTCCTTCCAATAGTTGCTCATATAATAATGTCTCCAGCTATTACTTCGTTAGTGTACTGTAATTCTTCTACTATTTATGAAAGTGTACAGACTGGGGACATAACAGCACATATAAAAACTTGTATTTTTGTAAATTACATTACATCAATATTCTTTGTTAGTTTAGGATAAATCACTGTTTTAGCACAGGCTGTTGGCCTAAATTCTAATTGAAACAAAATCAGTGTAATGTATTACTGACATCAGTGAGCTATTACTGACATAGAAGACTAGAGTGAGTTTAGCTGGAAAATTATATGAAAAAATAAGGAAGGAACGACTTGAGAATGGTCCAGGACGGACCGAAACGTCGTCGTCCCTTCACCTTCTAGTGTATGGTCTAGTCAACATTCTTCAGCCACGTTATTGTGACTCATCGCCTGCAAATAAGGAATGAATTCTACCCTCCAGTGAGATTGACGGGAACGATTACCAGGAAATCGTTCAGCTATGACAGGGAAGCAAGAGACTGGTAGAATACAAACCAATCATTAACTTACAATAAGGACCCGGTAAAGGCAGGACAATAAACCAGTGCCTCACCTCCACATCACCAGGGGTCTGGTGGCTAAGTGGACAGCGCTCTAGACTCGTGGACCTAGGGGCTGGGGTTCGATCCCCGCAGCCGTCGGAAACAGATGGGCAGAGTTTACTTCACCCTGATGCTCCTATTATCTAGCAGTAAATAAGTACCTGGGGGGCTAGACAGCTGCTACGGGCTGCTAACTGTGTGTGTGTGTGTGAGAAAAAATATTAGTAGTTAGTAACAGTTGATTGATTGACAGTTGAGTGGCCCGCACGGGCCGAAAGAGCAGAGCTCAACCCCTGCAAGCACAACTAGGTGAATACATTCCCCCCCCCCTCGCTGACCAAACTCATCAGCCAACCGCTCATATCTAATCAATCTACATCTTTCATTCAAATTTATCCAAAAAGCTTCCCACACAAATTCTGTCCCATTCCATATCTCCTTCACGCACTCCCCAACACGTTCCCCTTCCACCTAACATCTGGGTCTCCACTCCTCTTTCCCTTCTACATCTTTACCAGCGCGGCCAGCACCCAACTTCCAGGCTCACAGCTACCTAAACAGAGGACAAGATTAAAAAAAAGAGTGCATATTAAAGTTTGCTGCACCAATGCTAATGGAATTGAAATTGAAATTGAAATAAGTTTATTGATGTAAAATACACACAAAGGGATGAGGTAGCTCAAGCTATTCTCACCCCATTCAGTACATCGTGTTAATACATACATAGACACACATCACAAACAATAAACGAACATTCTGAGAGATAAACATATACATTTCCTCCTTTACACAAGTAAATACTAATGGAAGGTCAAAGAAAATGACCTGAAAGAAGCACTGAGGACCTTGAGATAATAGTAATAATATAAATTAAGTACTGTACTTAGATAATGTAAAGGGTTATAGACTGAGAATGCCCTCGTCTGACCTAAGGTGATTGACAAATCACCTTCGGTGACTAAGGTGATTGACCAAAATAGACAAAACTTCGCCTCGTGGCTTCTTGCAACTCAAATGTTTGCTTTGCATAAACATCTTTTGTTTCTCTCAACCTTTCGTCTGAGAGTTGAATCTACCCGCTGGCTGCGGGTTCTTGGGCACAATGCGTTGCTTTGGTGTGGGAATGGCAGTATGTATGGCGGCTCCGGAAATTCTATATACGAGGAAGGGGGGTTGTTTAGGGGGAGGAGGAAGCAATCTGGTTGGCAATAGAAAGCTTTTCTTTATCGTAAAGCTGATTTACAT